CCTCGATGGCGTAATACGAGATCTAGAGGACTGAAAGCTGGTCGTCCGACGAATCCTGGTCTGTTAATTCTTGCTCTTTGAGGATATGGGACGCTAAGGGGGACGGTAGAGAGTTGGCTGACACAAGGAACAGATCCCTTCGGAAGCTCGGCGTGACGGAGAGAGTGGAGACGAAAAGTAATGCGTATGTTTGGATGGAGAATTGGGTCGAGCGAGGAGGCGGAGATCGCTGCCTTTTGAAGTTGATCTCGAGAGAGAACGACGCAGCTGCTTGATGTCACGCTGGGATTAACGTGGATTCCGTTTGGCGACGGCAGATGGAGAGTCCCTCCCCCTCGCGGTGTGGTGAGAATGAGTTTAAAATTTTCAGACAGTCGGCATCAAACTCCAAACAGGAAGCGAAAGAGCAAAGGAGATTTATTGCGAAAAGGTTCGAATGATGATGTGTGCGCAACCGCAGAGAGTCAAAGAGCGCGAGATAAAGGATCTTGCCAAGTCGCAGGGAAGTATATATATATATTTTTTAAATTATTTTTTTTTTGTTGAGGATGTTGAGAGGAAAGCACCGTCAGAGAAAGCGTAAATGTCGCGATGCAGTGGATAATAGCGAAGAGCGACAAAGGACGGAGACTGCCGTGTATGTATTAATATCTGCCAATGATAACCCCAAAACCACGCATAAAGGTTGATCGATGAAACGAGAGAATAAGGCCAGAGAGTTTCAGGAGCGATTCTCTTTTTTTCTGTCGAAATATATCGGAAACGGAGGGGGACAGTCAGTTCACGACAGACTCGAGGAATTCGCACCGGTTGGCGCCTCCATTCGTGCGCTCAGAGGGATGCTTCCTTCGAGTCAAGTGACGAGGGTCTGACCAGAACGAAGGAGCGGGGTGATCAGCAAGAGCGAATAGGTATTGTATGGCAGGCGACAAAGGAAACAGGAGGAGCAGCACGAGAGAAGGTGGGGTTGTCCAAGGCAAAGAGGGTGTGCTCGGACAAGAGGGTGTGTTGAGCGCAGCAGGATTCGACAGGTAGGAGATAGTAGGGAGGAGGAATGCGCGCGCAAAGAGGACAGCAACGTCAGAAAAAGACGCGACGGACAGAGGAGACGTAGAATAGAGAGAGAGAATGGGTGACTGCTGATGGATAGGACGGAGATAAAACCATAGGGGGAAAAGAGCCAAAGGATGCGATGGAGCGAAGGGAGGATTCGAGGAAGGACGAAGAAAGCGACAGACAGACAGACAGACGAGGCGCGAGGGAGGAGGCGCGAGGACAGGTGGGTGTGGGTGGTGGCGTGTGTGCCAGACAGACACGCCCGCTGCCTCTGGTCGTTGCTCTCCCTCTGTGATGTACTGGCTTCAAATCAGCGCTGAGATAGCCCGTGCCTTGACCTGAGCAAGCGAGAGACAGCCGGTGCTGGGACTGGGACGGGGACTGGGAGGGGACTGAGGTGAGGTTGAAGATGTTGTTCTCGAGGCATTCCTGGCATTCCTCGCAGTCTTCGCTTCTTCGCCACGCGTGGGTCGGACAGCGCGTTCAGTGTTGTTGTGGATGGCCCAGAACGGCTAGCGCGGGCTTGGCGTGGCCCCAACCAGGACTAGTGCGCGGCAGCAATCACGGGAGACTTGAGGGGTACGCGATAACAGATAGCGGTGGCAGCGGGGGAAGAGGTACCGCCTTTGTATCCGCGGCCGGTGGTTCAGGGGGAAACATCACAGGAATATCAGAACTAGTGAGTTAGCTGATAGTTAATATAATCTGAGAGCTATAAATATAAATTAAGTGCGCTGCGTAATGCCCCTGGAATGCCTTCCAGACAGTTCTCTTGCCTGCCATTCCCCCCGTCAGCAATCCAGCCAATTCGAAATGCCAATATTGCCGGCATTAGTGTTGCCTTCTATTGGTGTGATGTGCACCTGTGGCTCGTTCCTGGTTCTTCTTAAGGCAAAACGGCGCTGAGAGAAGGTCTTCATAGGCTGAGAGAGACACCTATGGCTGGCGCAGACTCACACAAGCCCCAGACTCAATGCCAGTTGGTGCCTCAATCCTCCATACATACATTGGAAAAAAAAAAAGATATATCGGCTTGTACCTCTCGATTTTGCAATTCCCATGGGGAAGGAGAAAATGTCTTCATTGGTCTCTCTCTTTTTTTTTTGTTGTAGTTGTCGTCTTTATCTAAAGCCCACATAGTAATTGTTCCAAACCGCGGTTCCCCCAAGCTATATCGATGCAGGAACTCTCTGCGCTCTGCCACTCGGACGCTTCATGAACAGATGAAAGAAAGAAAGAAAGCCTCCGGACGTGGGAATCCCGTCGACCATCCATGGATACCCCGCTGAAGGTAGCTGGGTAAAAACCTTGTTCCGGTTGCTATCAATATCCTACCAATAACCAAGGACTTTAGACGGAGCCAACCCAACCCGAAAGATAAAAAAAAAAGCTGGAGAAAAGAAAAGAAAAAGAGGGAAAAAGAAAAAGAAAAAAGGAAAGAAGAGCGAACATTTCACAAGAGCATTTATCGTTCGTTACACTGACTTGGCTCATTTGCACTACTACTACATACAGCACGGTACTTTGCTTATGTGCCAGATACTTACTGCCCATGGGCTTGCAGCTGTCTCTTGTTCTCCCATCCCTTTCTCTCTCGAGTCTCCTCCGTGTTCAGAAATTATATTATTGAATGAAGGTGCCTGTCTGCTACGTGGTTCGCTTCACCACTTCTCGAATTCTTCATTCCCGGACCCTGAATCTGCATACCCGTGCGCCCGGACTTGAGGATACGAATAGGAAGAAAATGCAAAGCGAGAAAAACGAAATTAAGGAATTAAGAAGAAGCTTTCCGGCGGACTTGTGCTGCCGTGCTTGTGTATTTTATCCTACCCTAGATGCATACGAAGCATGCACGTATGGTTACGAGAAAGAAAAAAAAAGTACTCCTGCATCGTTCTATTCTTAGCTGCAGAAGTGTAAACTGAAGGGAGCAACAGTGGATCTATATACATTTTATCAGAATATGGCACAGGGGCGAAACAAATTAAACATTTTTCTAGGAAAGAAAGAAAGCACAAAATTTGCCCGCAAAATTCACAATTTACCCCTTCATCTCACTTTCCTGCCCCCCCGTTCAGCATGATATCCTGGATATCATGTTGCAGCGTATCAAGAATGGAGTCAGCTTCAGCCTTACTGATCCGATCGCCGTGGCTAAATATCCCCACATCGAGCCCGTTATCTCTTATCGCAACTTCCACGTCGATCCCGGGCTGGGGTAGAGCATATATATGGTTAGCACAAGGAACTTTGCCCCCAAAAAGATAAAACAAAAGAGAAAAAGAAAATAGAACGGGAAAACTCGCTTATCCACGACAACGAACGCCTTTTTTTTGGTTGGGGAGGTTTGAGTGGCTTACCATGTAAATATCTGCATAAGTCTCGCTCAAGCCTGGTTCCAGCGCTGCTTGGTTGGAATTCGGCATTTCTCCAGGGCAATCATCCGACGTGCTGTCGCGGCCAACTTCAACTCCTTCAGCTGCTTGCAACGGCACAATCTGAGCCATCCCCCTTGTAAGCTCTGCAGGGCTATGAACTCCACCCGGTGTAACCGGCAACTTAATGAAATTCACAAAGGTATCCAGTTTCACCCCGGTCCAGTCCGCAATATCGATCAGAGAGACGCATGAATGTTCGACGCGGCTCACCTCATGCAAGTCCCCTTGGATTCTCCGTGCCTGATCGACGATGGACTGCTGTCTGCTGTCTGTTTCTCGTTGGAGGGCAATACGTAGGGGAACTATGTTGAGGGTAGGTGCAATTAGTTCTGGAAGGCCGTCTAGGGAGTGCGAGCGGTTTGCGAGGTAGATTCCGACAGTGAGGTTGTCGGGACTGGTAGTGTTTCTGTGGTCAACTCTATTATTGATGATGGCGGAATGGATTCTGGCATAGATGGCTAAAAAGAGAGCCTGCACGCTGACGCCGTACGATCGGCCGAGCTTCTCCAGTTTGTCAATGTCTTTCACGAGAGATTGGCGGTATTTATGAACCATCTCTGCGTCGATTGGCTGTCTGATTTTTGGAAGCTGGTTTTCTTGTTGTCGTTCAGAATTCCTGACAGGCGCAAGGTAGTGTCTCCAGAAGTTTTGTCGTTCTTGTGGCTTGGAGTGTATATGCTGGTGGATGACTAGCTCTGATATGTCCACTTTGGCATTCTGAGGTTTGGCGCTCGGCCTTGGGCTGGTGCAGAGTTCCGCAAGCATATTCATCATTCTAGGCAGACTGACAGCATCGTACAAGGCATGGTGGATGTGAAGAATCAATATCGTTTCGTCCAGCTGCTGTGAAGCATATAATGTTACTGGTATCTGCTGGCAAGGGCGTGCATCGAGGATCATATTCTTTTGAATTTTCAAACCTTGCCGCCATACGATGGGATTGTTCACCTCCTTACGTACCACCTGTATATAGGGCAAAGACCGTCTTCTCGTGGCGATAAATTGTGTGCGCAAAATTGGAAGGTCGTTGATTAAAGCCATCCAGGCCGCTGAGAGGATTTCCTGAGTTACAATCGCATTTGCTATCCGGTAGAAGAAGCATGGGTAGAAAAGTTGCCCGTTGGAATTCTCATGGACGTTTAGCATATAAACTTGTCCAGAAGTTGCTGGAATAACTTTCTCTACCTCTTGTGTGTTAACCCCATGGGACTGTAGTAGTGACAGTACATTCACCGCTTCCAACATATTTCCTAATATTTTGTCGTGGTCTGGTAGGAGGGCTTCACTTGGCTCTGACACGGCTAATTGAGCCATGTTGGGAACAGTACCAGCCCGTAGCATATCGCTTACGGAAAGTAGGATACCTTTCTTTTTCAACAGTGCTGCCACTTTAATGGCGCTGATGCTATCCAGGCCAAGATGGAAAAGTGTTGCTTCGCGGGTTATTTCTTCCACCGGGATATTAGATATAGAAGATAAAACAGCTCTAATCTCTTGTTCTAGCGGAGAAGACCGAATGGTGGTTGACGCAACTTCACTAAAAGGGTTATTCTCTTCACCCCTGTCCTGCTCTTGAAATACAGGGCTCTGGCAGATCGATATGCCATCGTCGCTGAAATCAATTGTCTCACTGTCAGGGTATTTGATAATGCTCTCAAATACAAAGTTGAGCCTGTCAAGGAGCCTGGAGGCATCAAGTTCTCCTAACACGGTATCTCGACAAGCAACTCGCCACACTATGGAATTTTTAAGCGCTTCCATTTCAACGCGCACTGGGTACTCGACATCGGAAAAGCCACCAATAGACTTATAGAGTAGCTCCTGTAAACACGAATCTTGACGCGGCCGCTTCTGAAAGATGAATAGGGTATCAAATAGACTTTGGCCCCCAAAACCTGCCACTTGCTTGGCGGTTCGAAGAGGGATGTATTGATGCTCGGAGACAGGTACCAATGTTTCTTGAACATATTTTAGCATATCTGACCGGCTCCCGTGCAAGACGATGCGGATAGCCACTGAATTCATCAGCGGGAACATGAGTTGCTCCGCATTTGTATCTGGGATATCTCTTCCCGCTAGTATAGTGCCGAAAACGACGTCGAGCTTTCCCAAGTAGCCACTGAGTACGAGTGCCCAGCATGTTAAACTGAGAGTTTGAAGTGTGATACCCTGATTTTTGCAAAAAGAATTGACATCTGTGATCGGAATATCTAAAGCCTTTTCCATGTGGTGAACATTTGAATAATCCCCCCCAGCATTTATCTGCTTCGGAAATGCAGTTGGGCAAGCACCACCGAGAGTTCCTTTCCAGGATTGCAAGCCCAGCTCGTTTCGAGTCGAATTCAAAATATGGCTTAGAGCTTTGTCGCACGATCCCCTGATATTGGGACGCTGACCAGAGTAACAGGTCGCAATATCCTCATTGAGAAGATCTAATGACCAGCCATCGTACATCGCATGGGGCATTGAGAGAAGCAAGTGCCGTTTATGTCCTTCATTTACTGAGCCTAGCAATTGGACCTTGAATAGCGGTTTCCCCGCCTGAAATATAGCAGTTGCTTTCCGCCGCTCCTCTTCCAATATCGTATCAACAGATCTACCGATCGTGTCGACCACGCTCCAGTCTATTGGTTTCCCAGGGTGGTGAATTAATTGTGCATAGGTAAACGGAAAACGAGGATCAGAGACTTCAGCGAATGAGGTTCGAAAGATCGCATTGGCATCAACAACCTGCTCCCAGGCCCTTTTTAGTTTATCGATGTCCACGTTGTCCTTGATCTCTAGAATATCATGATTAAAGTAGCGATTGAAGTCAGAAGCGACCATCTCAGCGACCATTGCTTCTTGAAGAGGTGTAGCCGGGAAAATACGTTCGATCTGAGCTAGATCGAATCGGTCGTTCTCAAAGTAATTCCGCAGTTCTTGTTCTAGCACCTCCAACGAAGCCTGTGGTTTGACCTCTCCATTCGGTTCGTTTGATTCAATATCATGCAGGATGTTTTTAATGGTCTGGCCGCGCATAATCGCAGTAACGGTCACTCTGATGCCAGCGTTTGCCAAGCGGGAAGATAGTTGGATAGCATCAATGCTATCTAACCCAACTTCAAAAATAGATGTGTTTTCCTGAATTGCGAGAGCATCTATATTGGCAATCGATGCGATCTCTTCACGAAGTCGAGATGCCATGGCCGTCCACTCAAAAGGTAGAAGTGTGAAATTGGAGGTGTAGCCGTTAGTATGCGGTTGAATGTTGTCAACACCAGCACTTCCAATTTTGGAGTTATCCGATCCCTGTGTGGCAAGATTCAGCTTGCTGGACGGATTATCCAGGAAGTCAACTAGCGTGTCACGGAACTGGAAAGTAAGTTGCTGTGCAGCTTCAGTAGTAAAACTGGAAGCCTGTGTCACAAGAGTTACTGCCAAAGAGCCATCCCTGTCCCGCTGCACCTCAAATGCTGCCGGGTAGTCGGGTTCAGATTGGGAAATTATCGGTGACCACAGTGAGCCTGCCGAGTCAACCTTTTCATTGGGTTCCCTTTGGAAGACAAATAGATTGTCGAAAAGAGGGATTCCAGATCTCCGTTGCAGCCATTTCATAATATCTCTGAGAGAGGTGTGTTGGTATTGGAGCGTGGAGATATAATACTCATGACAGCATCTCACCAAATCAGCCATGGAGAAAATTTTTGAACATGAAATATTGCAGGGAAGGGTATTAAACATTGGCCCAACGACATCTTCAGTGTCTTTGATATCGTGTGCCCTGCCTGATACTATGACACCAACAATCGGAATGAACTTGAAATGTCGTTCGAGGACGCGGAGCCAGCATGCTAAGAGTACAGATTGCTCTAACACATCGAGCTTTCGTCTTAATGGCTCAAGCTTCTCTAACTTTCCGATTCCCAGTATTGTGACCAATGGGTCACCTTCGTGTGCGTCGCTTATAAATGGTAGAGGTTTTGGAGGGCCATCAAGATGTTTAAGCCAAAACTCCTTCGCTCCTGGTATTTTGCATAGGGGACCTCGGGCCAGACATTCAATATATGGCGGTGTTTCTGGTGCGCTTGTATGGTCAATATATGCTTGTATAACGATATTTAATAAAAGTGGTAAGGAGTTTCCATCGTATAATCCATGGAAAATATTCAAGCACATCCATCTTGTCCCTGGCCCTATGACGACACCGGCTTCCCAAACTCTCCCAGTCAAGTTTGCAGGTTCACTACACCACTCCTTATATCGGCAGTTGGCGATACTTCCAACTTCGACATCACTGATGGCGGTTGATTCAAACCACGGAAAATAATCTTCTTTAAGGATAACTTGGCAATAGTGGCCAGCCGTTAATGGAAATTTGGTTCGAAGTATCTGAACAGAACTCTGAGCTTTCAGCCACGCAGTTTTGAGGTGAGAAACATTAACGTTCGATGATAACTCAAAATTGAAGTTTGTGAAGTATACCGGCTTCTGGCTTTCAATAAATCGATATATCATACCCTCTTGTAGGGATGTACAAGGAACGACTGCTTCGATGGATGCTAAGGGAGTCCCTAGTTTGCGGGCAGCGATCGTAAGATTCCTATGGGCGAATGCTGTAATCCGCTGTCTAGATTCTTGATACAACGCCTTTCTAGTAAGTTCATTTGCTGCAGATCGTTTCAGTGCGTTGGAAAGTGCCATGATGGTTGAATCTATTTTAGGTTAGTTATTGAGGATAAAAGGAATAGGGGCATACACTTCGCCGCAAAAATACTAACTTTTCATTAACAAAGATGGTTGAGCTTCTTTAAATCCCGAATCTCTCAAAACTCTAGAGAATGAGATGGCGGAAATGGAGTCTAAGCCAAGTTCAAATATGCTTGACCATGGTGAGATAGCAGAGACTTCTACCCCTGTAACTTTGGACACGAGAGCTATTATTGCGCATACATCCTTCGATGGTGTTTGGGAATCGATTCGAGTCTGAGAGGATAGCCGCTGCATCTCCTCCAAAGTAATATTCTCATAGATTTTTTTCAGATGTCTCTGGTCAATTTTATTATTTGCATTTAAGGGAAAAGCGGTTACAGGAAGGATATGTGTCGGAATCATGAAACCTGGCAGTGTTTTATGGCATGCTTGATTGATTTCGGAAAGGATTTTATTCATTCCAGGATCGAAATCGATTCGGCATGTCAACGCATCGGGGTTTTTTGGCGTATTCGTGGTGAAGAATGACACAAGCTGCTCTTTTGACCGACTTGTTTGCTTCAAAACCATCGTAACGACTTCTCCCACCTCCTCTGCAGAATTGGAAATAACTTGGTTGATCTCCCCAATTTCAAGGCGTTGGCCACGAAGTTTGACCTGATCGTCGATCCGTCCAAGAAAGCAAAAACTGCCATCATGGAGAAGTCGCACTAGGTCTCCAGTGCGATAAATCCGTTCACCCATTTCTTTAACATATTGAAATTTCTCTTCCGTGAGCTGAGGTCGGTTAAGATACCCTCGTCCAACAAGGGTTCCTGTCACGCAAAGCTCCCCTACGCCACCCCGCAGGACTGGTGTCGTAGTTCCCGGTTTGCACACAACGCTACCGACATTGTCAAATTGTGGACCAATATTTGACGGTTTGCCATTTCGCGGCACCCGAGGGAGCATCGTGCAGCCAATAGTTACTTCTGTCGGGCCGTATCCATTATATATCACTCCGTATTCACCCCAAGCTTCGAGAATTTCTTGTTTAAGCTGCTCTCCGCCAGTGATAAAAACTCCACGACGAAGTGAGGGAGTTTCTTCTGGGTCAAGCAAGCGTGCCAAACTGGGAGTTAAGTCAATGTGAGTGATCTCGAGTTCTCGAATGGTGCCAGGCAAATCCGCAAATATTGTGTCCCTAGGACAAGCTGTTACACATATTCCAACGCTCCAACTCCAATACTGTTCCAGAACGCTGACATCAAAATGGAACGCTGCGAATTGTAACCACCGAGATGTCTCGTCCCAGTGACCATGGAATAGTCTTTGGAAAGAGAGCATAGCCTGGACAACATTGTCATGTGTTATTTCGCAGCCCTTGGGAGTGCCTGTTGTTCCCGAAGTGTACAGGCAGTAACAGCAGTCCTCTGGTTGTATCTCCTCTTCTAGAACTGGAGGCAGAGAAGGTATACCGTCCAGAATTCCCGGACTATCCAAAATTAAAACAGGCAACCCTTTCAGCTCATTTTTCTTCGATGTCGTGGAAAGCAAAATTTTGGCCCCGGAATCGTTCAAAATGAATTTCTTCCGCGCTTCTGGGGCTCCTGGGTCGAGAGCAACATACGCGCAGCCAACTTTCAATATGGCCAATATCGCAAAATATGCCTCAGGGCATTTATCGAAACAAATCCCTATCAAATTTCCCGGGGAAGCGCCGTTCCTTTGTAGCAGCCTGGCGTATTTATTACTGACCTCGTTAAATTCTTTGTATGTCCATTTTCGCTTGGAAAGCCCTTGTTTTCCAGGGATTTTGGATGCGAACTCGAGAGCTATTTTTGACGGGGATTCTTGAGCTTGTACTTCAACAAATTGGTGCACCAACTTAACGGGAGACGAAATTCTGGCTTCCTTCGCTGCAACGGCTGACAGAATGTCCTTATTCTCCCCGTTTGTAAAGCAAACGCAGGGTGAGTCGAGGTAGGAAAGTGTATCGATTAACAGATCGTCAAGCTGTCTCAAGAGAATTTCAGCTTGGGGTTCTGGTAAAATATCGGTCTCAAAAGTGAGTTGGAATTCGAGCTTCCCATCTCTAAGTATTAGCTCGATTGAAACTGGATACTGTGATTCATATTAGCTCCAAATATGTAACTTCTCCTGACAAGACAGAGCGAACATTCTTACATTAGTTCTAGCATCTTCATCATAAACTTTCCAGATATCATTCTGAAACGTGGTCGTATGTTTTTGAAATACAAATATCGTGTCGAAGAGCGAAGATCCAGATCCTACCAGTTGATGAATCTTTGATAATGGGGTAAACTGGTATTTTACCAATGACACATCTAGCTTCATAACACGTTCTAGTAGGTTTCTATTAGAACCCTCGATAATGTATGATGAAGGAACGGTTGTAAGGCACGGGAACACAGCTTTTTGTGCATCTTCGAAGGTATTTCGCCCAGACAGCACAAGCCCAAATGTAACTCTGCTCTCTCCTGTGTAGGATGCCAATATTCGAGCCCATGCTACTTGCCCCGCAGCCTGAAGGGTGACACCGGCATTTCTGCAGCCCTCTTGTAAAGATTGGAGCGTTTTGGAACACGACTTAATTACCACACCTACCCGCTTCTCTTGATGCAGTGGGCCCATATCGGGGAACTTTGTGATACAAAGGTCCTTCCCGAATTCCTTCCAGAAGGTTTCACATTCCAAATCATTGTATACCTGGTTACTTGCAGATATGATATAATCCTGAACTGGTAAAATCGGAATCACTGGATCTAGCACCTCGCATTTCAGTAATCTAGAAAGATCACAAACAAGCAAATTTAGGGACTGCGCGTCGTACAACGAATGAAGAGCAGAGAATTGCATTAGTACATTCGATTCACACTGCTGTATTGATACATGCCACGGCGGTTGATGAAGGTGTAAGAAGGCTTTTTTTGAGACTTCCTTTCTACCTGACAATTGTTGATCTCCTTTAATTGTCAGGTTTGCGTCTTCAGCCCATGGAAGTCCGAATGTCTCACTTCGGTAAGTGATCGCGGCGAAGGGAGCCTCTTCATCACGAATGCTAGTGAAACCTGTTCTAAGAATGTCATGAATTTCTGTTACGGCAGTCCATGCTGCTTTCAGAGTCTGTAGATCAAGGGAAATATTTGATTCCAAGATTATATGATTAAAATACAGCTCACCCTCGGAGTTTGTAAACAGAGCCAACATTCCTGATTGTGCAGGTGTGCATGGACGAATTGACTCAATACATTTCTCCGGAACGTCGATTTGCTGGCAAACAGTTTGCCAATGGCGGGCTTGAAAGGACATGAAGTCAAATGACAAAAGGCAACTATCGTCAACCTTTTTCTCTCGCACGAGGAGTGATGCAAGCTCGCCTACAGACGGGTTCTAACATCTTGTTAGCATAGTGTCGAAGGAAAAGAGTCAATTCTAAAATAAGAAATTACCTCAAGAACGTCGCTCGCAGTTATTTCGTATCCGAGAGCTTTAAATCTAGCAGATATTTGCACTGCATTTATACTATCGAGCCCTAATTGGAATATCGTGGTGTGAGGTTTAATGTGTGTGTGTGCGATATTCGACAGGGTCGATAGCACTTCCTGAACTAATCGGATCTGGAGAGAACTTTTACCAGAGCATAAGCTCAGTTTCTCACCTTCACCCCAGCTAGGCCTCCCAGTCTCTGCAGCTAGTGTCAGATGTCGGCGTAATTCGTCTACAAAGGATGGAAGGCCAGGATCAAGAATACTTGAATCCATCGCTCTACCCGACGGGTAGAGGAGTACATTTTGAAGAGAAGCTGAGAAACTGCGAAGCATAATCTTCGTATCTTCTAGACCGAATTGTGCATCATCGTAATAAATAATTAACCTCAATGTATCAGCCTCATCGTTTGGAACAACCTCACAGACAAGGGGGAAGTCCATGTCTCCTTTTTCTTCAACCAACTCCCATATTTTATCATCCAAGCGGTGAATGCTCTTTTGTAAAATAACTAAAGTATCGAAGAGGTGGGAATTGTTGTGGCCGAATTTTGATTGTAGATGGCGAAGAGAAGTTAGTTGATAGGGCATAACAGCTGAATTGTATTCCTGTAGATGCTTAGCAAGGCCTATGTTCATTGTATTCGAGTTCGCTTTAATTCGAATGGGGAGCGTATTCAAGCAAGGACCAATGATGCGCTCCGCTCCGTCCACAGGGATGCTTCGACAGCTGAACACGTTTCCGAAACAAATGTCGGGCTTTTGTGTGTATAACAATAATAGTTTTGACCACGCCGCTTGGACAAGGGTGAGGAGAGTCACCGAGAGATCTTTGCAAGCCCCCATAACTTTACTCAGGGGAGTGCCAAAGTCATCCTCAACAGTCTGAAATGTCCTTGAGGTACTATGATTGGCACGATTTTGAGCGTCAAGTAGGTGAGAAGGAGAAAAATCCGAGAGAAGTGGCTGCCAGAATTGGTCAGCTTCTTCTATATCCACTGCCACCATCTGCTCAAGGTATAGATCGAAAGGAACTATCTGGGGTAAGGGTTTCCCAGAAACATCAAGTTCAACTTCCTGTAGAAGTAGTGACATAGCTTCGCCATCATATAGCGCATGATGGATTATGAATAGAAAAAGCGTTTTCCCGCTTTCAGCTATTCGAAGCACCGTCAATAAATAGGGTAGAGTATTTTCTTTGCCCTTTGCGAGTTCACGCTTTTGTTCTTCTATATGGCTGTCGAGCTCTTTGATCGTCGTACTGATCTCATTCCAAGGCAGATTGACCGACTCCAAAACGATTTGCGCAAAGGAAAACCGAGATTGACCCGTGGAAGCGAAATAGGAACGAAGAATGTCGTGCCTCTGGACCATGGAGACCCAAGCGTTCCTTAGTTTCCCAACATCCCTAACCTCAAAAAGGAGGTGATTGTAGTAAGCCGTGGAGTTGCCGATGTATTTTCGCAGAAGCATCGCTTCTTGCAATGGTGTGCATGGCAATATTTTTCGAATCAGGCACCCGGAACCTTCGGCATTCTTCCTTAATTCTTCCACAAATTCACGAGAAAATAATAATCCGATATTTGGCAAGCATTTTTTCTTTGTTAGTTGAGAACCGCTCCTTTCAATATTCCTGGACAGGCGATACACGGTGTTATATTTCATAATTACCGAAACATCTACCTGCCCAAAACCATTCAGTTTGAGATGTCTTGACAAAGATATAGCTGAGATTGAATTTAGACCCAGGCTGTAGAATGAGGTGTGAAGGCCGATATCTGCCTGTGAAACTAAAGTAACTTTGGCAACAGCCTCTGCGACTCTCATCTCGGTGTCTGAGAATTCACGTTTATCACTGAGAGCTTCAGTCACACAAGAACACAATTGTAATGTTTCTAGATTTAACGTTCGGAAATGCTTTAGCAGTTCCAATTTATCAGTCTTTCCGGATGTTGTTATTGGTACCCTTCGGATAGGGATGAGCATGGACGGAATCATATACTCTGGAAGCCGCGCCCTGATGAGATCAAATAGTTTTAGTATTTTATAGCGATTCTCACGGGCTGTAAACTTATCCCCATGGCTTAATGCTGGCACCCAGAAGCAGACTAGTTGTTGTTGTTCGTTAAGTGCATCTGTGGTAATGAATGTGGTGCAGTCTATAACTTCCGGGTCTTCTAATATGACACGGTTAATCTCGCCCAGCTCAATGCGCAGACCCCTTAACTTAACCTGATCATCCCTACGGCCAGTAAATGCCAGTGATCCGTCAGGAAGCATGCGCCCAAAATCACCAGATTTATATACTTTTCCGTACTGAGGGTGGCAAATAAATTTACTGCATGTGAGAGCCGGCATGTTGAGATATCCGGTACCCTATTGGCGGTAAGTAGGTTGAATGAAGTATATCAAAGTGTAACAACTCACAACTTGATCACCACCAAAGCAAAATTCGCCGACAGCACCTCTAGGGAGTAATGAAAATCCCTCCTCCCCTGAAATCACGAACGCCGAGGTATTTTTAAAAGGTGATCCAATGTGATTTATAAAGTCGGCTGGCTTGAGATTGGGCCGCACAGTGCAAATATTCGTAGTCTCGCTCGGGCCATAACCTGTCAAGGATAGAGTTAGTGACACGAAAAGCGAAGGGATTACAGAAATTACGAGAATCTACCTTGATAAATGCCCCTGCCAGCCCATGATTTAAAGACCTTCTCAGTCACTGCCTCTCCAGCAGTAACTAAGAATTTGACTTTCGGAATGTTGTCAGGGTTAAGAAGCGATGCAACGGTCGGGGTAAGGCTAAGATGGGTAACACCCATGGTCCGAATAGCCTGTTCTATATCTCGGAATAAAATATCATTGATTGCTGAGCATAACGTCAAGCCCGTAGATAGCGAATAAAATATCTCAAAAGCGGAAACTTAGACTTGTCAGTAGGGACAGATGGCTGGGTGGGAACTTCGCACTGATTAATAACTAACCATCAAAAGCATGGGAACAGGCTTGGAGGAATTTCGATCCGGGGTGGGTTGGGTATATTTCTGATAGCACTGCTATATTGCTTTGCAAGTTACGGTGTGTGATGAGTACCCCCTTTGGCTTTCCTGTGCTCCCTGAGGTGAAAGTGCAATAGGCCACTGACGAATCGGAAATGGGCACTTCTGAAGGGGTAGCTGGAAAGTCATGAAGCGTGATGGTATCTAGAGCTACGATTTCCGTGCCCCGTATTTCTCGTAATTTGAGTGACAGAGGGGAATTCGTGATACAGATCGAACATTTCGCCTCTTCTATGATTGTATTAACACGATTAACCGGTGTCTGTGGAGTGATCGGCACGTAACCACAACCGGCTTTGATAACGGCTATTATGGCAATATAAAGATCAATGGACTTTTCAAGGAATATAGAAACGAGGCTATTAGGGAACAGTCCACGGGAAAGTAAGTAATTTGCCAATTGATTTGAGCAAATGTCCATGCCACGATAGGTAAGTTTTGTGATGCTTGCTGTACCCAATGCTGGATCAAACGCATCCAAAAACTCAATCGCGACTCTTTCTGGATCTGACTTGGCCAACTTTTCCACTCCATCTGCTAGGCCTGGCAAGGCTGTCTGTTTGATATAATCGGCGTTCTCGATAGATAAAGTAGAGCTAGGCAAGCGGCTGTTAATAGCTCGCAAGAGAGTCTCCGGAGAACTGATAAAGATTGACACGATATGCTCCATTTGGAGAAGGAAAATATCGACTTGGCTGTCAGGAAGGATCGACTGTTGGAAGTTGGCCTGCGCAGAGACATACTCTCCTTCAATTGTCAACTCAAGTGACATATTGAATTCCAAAAAATCTCTGGATTTAACCTCTCGAATCAGCTCTGAACGCGCTTTCTCCCCACTCAGAGTCTCTTGCCAAACAAATATACTATCGAATAGAGGAACGCCGGAGTCAATTCCAGAGCCTCGTTTTATATCAATCAGAGGTAAGAATCCATGCTTGAGGGAATTGCGATTCAAGTTGTGAATTGCCCCAATGAGATCGCGAACGGTGCGCAACTGGTCCAAATTAATTCTCAGAGGGTTTGTTACCATGCAAGGCCCTATAATGTCTTCTATGCCAGCTATCGGAAGCATACGTCCAGAAGCGACGGAGCCAAAAACAGTATCTGAATCTCCTGTGTATGAGCTAAGGAGGTAGCTGAAAGCAGCTTGGAATATTGCCTGCCGGCTAACTCGAAGGTGTTGAACTGTAGCATCAAGATTCTGCACCTCAATGCCAAGGAATCGTTGAATGGTTCGAAGGCCAACTGGAATGTCGGATGTGTCCTGGAAATTCGGCCAGGTGGTCGGTTTGATGCCTTCCATTTGCTCTTGCCAGTAGTTGATAGCACTCTCTCGATCTTCAGTGCTAATATAATTCAAATAGTAGTCAGTAACTAGCCGATATTGCGGCCGCAAATTTAACGTTCGCGAATATAAAAGGTGCTCAATATCGCTGAGAATTTGATCCCATGACCACCCATCGTACACGGCATGATGGATGTGAACCAGTGCATGAATTCGGTCATCTATCTCTGTAAGTTCAACATAAAATGGATTCAGTAAAGGATATTCATGGCTGGATGAGTCGTGTTTCAATTCTGACACTTCCTGGACCTTATCCCCGCCCAATTTGTTCCAGATCACTTGAACATGAGAATGGTTAGGGTAATCGGTTGGAATAAAACTAGACCGAAGTATCTCGTTTTTCAATCCGATCTCGTAGAAAGCGTGCTTAACATCATTTATTCGGATGCTTTCATGAAATTGTAATTCTATCCAATTCAAATATGCTTTCGGATCACGCATAGTTTCCGAGAGCATGGCCATTTGCACAGGGCTGCAAGGAACGACGTCCACAAAATCTGTTAAGTACCCATTTAATTTGAGGGAATCGAATGTCGCATTCACGACGCATTTCCAGTTGCCAGACTCGAATTTCCCCGTTATCGTCAGAGGATCAGCGTTGGATTCGTGGGAGCGGGCCGCAATTCCCGGGATGGAGTCCGCTTCTAGAATTCCCAACACGTCAATGTTTATACCGGCATTTCGCAAAACGGATGCCAGTTTAATTGCTTTAAGAGAGTCGAGGCCGGCTTGAGTTAGGCTAGTCGATTTTCCAACGCTTAAGTTTAAAACATCTTCAACACATGAGGCTATTTTCCTCTGCATTTGATCATCGAACCCCGTGGTATCTGTGCGTTGCAAGTTTCTCCGCTCAGAATAGTCGCGTTCCAGAGCTGCATTATCGATTTTTCCCGATGGAAGTCTGGGGAGGTTATCCAGGAGCTCGACATCTCCAGGGATCATAAATTTTGGCAGCCATTTGCGGCACACCTGAATTATATTTGTTATTCCCGGAAAAGTTTCATCCACAGATACAAAAGCAACCAAAGTGTTTTCCAGTACGTTCACCACTGCGCTTCGAATACCAGGAACTTTGTAAATGATCCGTTCGATTTCGCCAAGCTCAACGCGTTGCCCCCTAAGTTTTACTTGGCCGGTCGATATTCTTCCTAAACATTCCATTTCTCCGGATGGATGCAGCCGGGCCATGTCACCAGTGCGATATATCCTTCCGTACCTTCCAGTAACCAAGAAGGCTTTCTTAGTTTCCTCTTCGCGGTTTATGTAACATTCTGCAAGTTGCGGACCACCGATCGCAAGCTCTCCAATATGACCAATCGGAAGAATCTCGGGTTCATCACTATGATTGGAATCAGGAAATTGTGGGGATACAATGAAAGTGGACACTGTCTGGAGGGGAACACCAATATTCCCAACACGAGATTCTGCTGAAATATTTGGTGCAAGGGTACAATGAATTGCTGCTTCTGTTGGGCCATACATTGCATAAAGGATGCCATCATTATTGGGTGAGGATCCGAATTCGTCAACCACTTTCCTTGTTAACATCTCCCCAATCGTTAGCAGCACCTTTAAACATGGGGCTGCAGATCTTCTCTGGAGCAATTCCCCTGCCACAGTTGGGGTGAGCTCGGCTCCATCCACATCCAGTTCTGTTATAATTCGCGGAAGATCTCCTAGCATTAAATTGCGGTCACATCCGACAAGAGTAGCGCCACGAAACAGTGGGAAAATGATCTCAAAAATGGACACGTCAAAAGTTGGTGAGGCAAATTGCAAGAATCTCTTGAAAGGCGGGATCCATTTGTCATGAGCAAGCAATGATTGAGTGGCAGCACGATGCGAAACAGCAACCCCTTTGGGAAGACCCGTAGAGCCAGATGTGTATTCCACATACGCGATGTCATCCGCATCTATTTGAGGAGCTTGGAACCTGTCAATATTTTTGGCTTCTATATCAACATCTTCCGTTATGATAGTTTGGATATGTCTGTCGAGATGCTCCAGCCTGCTAGCCAATGACCGTGTGGTAACGATGATGTCTGCACCAACATCATTCGCGATATACTTGATTCGCTCGGGAGGTGCATCCAGGTTAAGGGGGCACACTGCAGCGCCTGCTTTCAATATCGACAACCAGGCAATATAGAGTTCGATAGATTGTGGCAATAGCACCGGTATTACGGGATTTCGTTTGCATGAACCAGTGAGTGATTCCAACGCATCTGTCAGGCGCACAGTCAATGCTGTCGAGTTGAGATGAAGCAATTCATATGAAAGAGTGCTCCTGGTCTTATTCCCATTGAGGAAGTCTATCGCCAAGTCATTTCCGCATCCTTCAGATCGGACAAGATCGTGTAGAAGTGATGGTCCAGGGATAAATTCAGGTGTAGGGTTCAAGATGGAAAGATAGGGCCCGTCATCGGAGGATTGATCTTTTAGTTGACACTTTAGACGATTACAAATAATTGATGTCAATTGCCGGGCGATCTGTGTGAGATAACGGGCGCTTGTGCATCCTGTCGATATGATATGCCCACCGGATTGCTTGGGATCGTATGTCACTGCGATCTTGCATCCAGGTGGAGGTGATGTCAACTGGAAACCCCGTTAGTTGATTGGGCCTAAGAGTAGAGAGAGTGAGAGGTGACTGTTATCTCTTGCATTTGCAGTAAATATTCCCGTATAATTCCCATGACCTCGCACATGCGTATCCAAGCACACCTTTTGGAACGTTGCCGTATTCAGATCAGCCTCGATGGGCTGACCATCAAAGCAAAAGGTCGGGCATTCATGGCCAGTAACGGACTTAAGCAGGGAAGCCCATGAAAGAATAAGCACGTCCACTACCAATTGGCAGCGTTCAACCCTCCAAGCGATAGTTATACTGCGTGGTACCTCTTCCTGGCCATAGTCAAGGTCAGGGAAAGTTGTATATCTCCTGCCCAACGTGGGATCCATGGCTTCCCACGTAAGTGCATGCGTAGTATATTGATATTAAAAGAGTATATATATAACGCAAAGCTGCTATTGGGACAAATATATGCATCCCGAGGCAATAATGTATCATCCGCTTGCAGTTCTTGGCGAACGCGGGGCTTATTGAACGTCCTCAAACCGACAAATAACCTCGCCGCTTGAGATTCGCATGCTTTTCAACAAAGGATTAGAGGTCTCAGACCGCAGGAAGGGCCACAGTTCCTTGAAAGAGGATATTGTCTGTGCTGCTCGCTTATGTACCGGGAGGCGAGGCCCTGAGGCATTTTGTTACCACCAATTGAATAAAAATAAGTGCATGGAAGGAACCGGCGCATGGCACGGGAAATGCAAAAATACCATGCCATAGAATCGACAATTAATGCCATACCGTTTATGTCATAGTATGGGGTTCCACTTACTTGACAGTCTGCGAAAACCGGCAAAAATTCAATGTGGGTTTCGAAACTCGATAAACCCATGTCTGTCCACGCGGGTACGTTTTCCTCAGGGAAGAGGGAGTATCAGTCACGACATCCCCTTAGCCCAATGGCATGAGAATACAATATTATTTAAAAAAAATTTCGATAGAAGAGATAGTATCTAAATGGTTGGAACACATTTCGGCTTGCTGACGGATATCTGGTTTTTGGGTCAGGGAAAACCGGTTCCACCACACTTTTCCATACCTCCCCTAACACACACTAGTTCAATTTCAATCCTCCTCTACTTGCCGCGGATAATGGGGTTTGTTTTCTTCTACATTCCTCGTACCCCCACCCAACCCCCTCACATAATCCCCAATTCTAACCCCCGCAAGTGTTGAAAATGGCTAGAGTTAGAGGGTGTGAGCGTAGATGGCGTTGGTCAAATATCTTGGCTCATAACCCTGTTGGCTGAATGTCGGAGGCCCCACGGATCTAATCTTATCTATCTTATCTATCTCTGCAGCCGGATCTTCATCCACCAATCGCCCCAGCAAGTTCAGGGAAGCTGCTTTCCATTCCAAGGTTGCTTTCCCTCAGCCAAAACGCCACCATATATGTTCACATGGTGTATTTGCGCAAGTACTCAACAACATGGAAACTTTACTAGAAAGCTGCGTGACATTCCAGGCGTAGTGTAACGTAAGATATAAACTCTAAGGCGCTGGAAGGGACAGACCAGACAACCTCCGTAATGTAGCCGGGAAAATATATATTATTATTATAATTTGTATAAATCAATCACCCCACCAATTCGCCCAAACCACTCGTCTGTACCGTCAAGCCATGTAATTAAAATACGAATACATCAGCGCCATCAAATCTATACAGCGTCTTCGCCCGCAACGCTCCGGTATACCATACCGGAACCTGCCCTACTGCCTCCGGTCCGCGTCATAAGCGGCATATCGAATAGACGAGAGTAATTTACAGTTTCACCGCCCAACATCGCACTTCCTGTATCCCGCTTGCCGAAATACGGCTGACTATCGCACCAAAAATCTTTGCAATTCGTAACAACGCCACGCGAAAAGGGGTTCCTGGATCGCGCCCCACCGCGTCGATCAAGGCCATCTTGTGCGGTGGCTACGAAGGTATCTAGACCCAGCAATTTCTTCCATTGAGATAAACAGCCGTGGTCGTGACGGAGGGGAGGGGGTCGGCGGTGTGATGGTATTGTAGTTGGCGGGATTGCTGGGTTTGGCCCTTGGCCCGTCGCGGAGAGGCCACCAATATCGGCTGAGGCTGTGCCGGTTGTAATGGCAGAGGTAACGGCTGCTGAGGCTGAGTTCGCGTAGTCTAATGTGTGCCCGTGCATACTTTCGTAGGTGGTCTGGTTGCGGGATATCTGGACAAGTTGGACGACACACAGCATGCTCACCCATATAAGCTGGATACTGATCCATATCGTGAGGATGATGGTGAAAGTATCTCGACTGAGGATATCGCAAAGAACTGAGGAGAGGATGTTGCATTCAGCATCGGAACGTGCGGGAATTAAATCGATATCTGTGACTTCGTGAGTAAGTGTTGTTTCTGCGTAAACCACCCGCCATCTCTCCTTGGTTATCAGGACTTACGAGCCATCACTAATTGTATAAAGAAAATAATGCCAATTTCCATGCTAAAGATATACAAAATAAAGTGGCGCAAGTTATTTGCGCCAACGCAATTATCGATCCATGGGCAATGGCTATTTTGTCACGCCCCAGCAGGTTAGTCTAAAAGTGGCTCTCCTGAATAAAATCAGGGGCTTGAAGGATATATACTTACTGGTCATGCTTAGACACACAACGCTTACAACGTCTGCAATGCTTGCTGCGTAACGGCTTCCTAATCATGCAATATACACAAAAGTTGTCTTCGTCAAATTTCCAGACATCAAAGAGTTGTGTTATCGTATCCCTCTGTTGATTTCTGCTTCCTAGCTTAGGGACAAACCCGGGATCTTCGAGCATTGCGAGACCATAGAAATATGTAGTCAAGCCAAAAAATATTATGAAGAAAAAATTTAAAAACGGGTGTGATGAATATGTATCTATGGTAAAATATTAGCCATCAAAAATTCTCGAATCAAATGGCCAATATTTTTAGGATCTTACTTGGTAGCACCTTCAGGGCCCAACGGACTCCGACCCAAAATAGAGATCCCGCAAAAACGCCTGCTAGGAGGGGCTAGATCTACGATGTTAGAAGCTGATTTACAATGCAATCCAAACGTCGGGGAAGTGAAATTAAAGGAGTAAACGGCAAATATGCCCGGCTCCAGGGAATAGGCATACCGTTCTATGCAACACTCTATACTCTGAGGGCCCGAGATTTGCAACCCGTTGCGCAATCCACTGCATGCCGAACACAATCCCTAGGGTAAACGGAATACCAATATATATAACCGTGTTGCTGAGAGTGAATATTGAAAAGAGTATGACAAGGAATGGCCAAAAGAAGAAAAATTTCGACGTGAACCGCTTTGTCCGTGCTAGGGCTGTCAGCCCGAAAGGAAGCATTCGAAGGTTGCCTTCTCGGTCATAACCACATTCGTTGAGTGCGCGATACCACGCATGAACTGTTTTCATTTCGGCCGCTACTGTCGCAGGCGTCTTTCCGTCTCGCGTCTTCGCAAATCGGTCCGCGCCATACTCGATGATCTTCTGAACGCACGCCGGGGAGCCCTTCACCAATGCCCAGTGTAGTGGAGACAGTCCCCCTTCGTCCACAGCGTTTACATTTGCGCCCCACCGTAGAAATAGATCCACGCAGGCCGGAAAACCTTTGTATGCTGCCCACATCAGACCAGTGTGACCCTGGGGATCTGGCGAGTCGACGGGGATTTCTTGGTGTAGGAGGAGGACGAGGAGGAATGCGTTTCCATCGATGGTGGCAAGATGTAGTATGTTATACCCTTGGATATCGGTAGATAGAGGGTCTGCGCCGTGCTGGAGTAAAAGGTTCACGATGTAATAATGGCAGCGCTGAGCTGCCCACATAGCCGCCGTGGCTACAGACTCGCCGCCTTTCGCATTTACGTCGGCGCCGGACTCGAGCAAGAACTTGCAAAGGGCATACCGGTTGTTTATTGCCGCCCACTACAGACACCAGAAGGTGAGATGAAAACGGTTAATGACCAATCCATTTTTCCACTCAAGCCAATTGACGAAAGAGGCGCGGGGGACATGGAGTACTCTATGATAAACTCACATGCAAAGGAGTAATACCCTCTTCATCTGCATATCTGGCATTGAATTTACCGCTTTCGAATAGCTTTTGTATGGCCGCTATTTCTCCCAGTCGAGCCAGTTGCATAATATCCTCCTCGATGGGGAGAGATGGTTTGGGGTTGCCGCTGTTTCCATCTTCGGGTTTGATATCCTTCAGCTCTAGCTCATTTTCCCGCGTCGACAGTTTTGGAGGCACAGCTGCCGCCTTTCCGGTTGTCAGCGATGTGGAACTAGAATTTCTGTCAATAGAGCTCTGGGCATCGCGAGATGTTGATGAGGAGGACATGGCTCGGCCCTGGGAGGCTAACTTGAGACAGACGTTGGCGCTTGGGGGGGGAATGCGCCGGGTGGAAATCAGACAGCGTTTGGTGTTTGTTCCTCAGTTGAGAAATTCAATCATTTAGCCATTCCAGGGGAACAAGAGAGAAGGGAGAGTCAAAAGTTCTGGTCTGGCAGGTGGAAATGAGTCTAGCTTTCTTGCATATGCGCCGCGGCGTGATCCAGCAATTTTTTTTCCCCAAGGCTGATATGATCACGAAGCGGGTACGAGATCCGTATCCAGCAGCCCCAATGCGGTTTAGAGCAGGGGAACGAGACGCAGTCAATGGACACCGTTATTCAATTGTGAATTCTGTTGAATTAACTACTGTTGATGTTTAGTTATTACATTTATTTATCTTTTTAGACAGTATCTACTACTAGTTTGCCTCTCCCAACAGCTGTCTGGTCGTTTCCAGCTTTCCAAAAGACGCGCTGTAGAAGTTTTCACATGGCCTGGCTGACGCAGAGGACATTGATCTCCACAATTGAGACTGAAAGATTTCTTGCTGTTTGGCGCCTCGTATTCCCCAACCAGCACCAGGCCACAATAATCGCGAATCTCAAGGAGGCTGTCAGTGTCAACACGCCTTGGACGAAGATTCTCTCACCATCATCCACGAATTCTAGGCCCCGAAAGCTGCAACAAATTTGACGAACTGCTTTTTCCTTCCCAAAAAAAAAAAAAAAAAAAAAAGAAAAAAAAAAAAAAAATACCAGGTGCTAGTATGTACAGATCTGTGTGTATAAATATAATATGTACCACAGGGTCTTATTTACCGTGACTCTTCTCGATATGCCTCGATCTCATGAAACATCATCTCGGCATCAACCCTCAACTCGAAATCCATCAAGAAGCTAAAGCTAATCTCGAGCTTCGCCAGCTCCCGCTCCGTCACTCCTCCAACTTTAGCAAACCGTCTGTGTTGGTAGCAGAGATCCTCTACAATTTTCGCTGCTACCCGCAGTCCACCTAGAACGAGCCGGTGCATGTTGCGCGGAGTCACATATATGATTTTCTCCACAATCGCCAGGTGCCTGATATATTGGCTTGTAGCCAGATACACGGCAGTTGACATGGGGCAGTAACGATGGATTCGAAGGAGGTAGTCTGCCAACGATATCGGGGAGATCTGCTTGCAGTAAAAGCTCTTGATTAATACCATTGGACAGAAGGTATCGAGATGTTTTGCGCCCGTTCTCGGGTTGGCGTTTGATAATAAATTGTCGGCACTTGGGAGGTTGGCGCAATTATCATCCGTCGTCTGGGATGCGATGATGTTTCCTCCTGTTGGTGGCGTAGATGAGGGTATGTCGCCAGTGAGTTTGGCTAAGTTATTAACATGGGCGCAAAGAATCATCAAAGCTGATTCGGGAGAGAGGCTAAATACTTCATCGTAATGAGGCGATTTGACATCAGCAGGACTAGAGGCTGCGGGATGGAGGGGCTGCTTCGGTGAAAGAGAGAGTCGATTTGTTTGCGCAACTAGATCAGTTCTCTTTCGGCCTTCTAGTTCCTCGCTTCGTCTGTTCATTCTGAGGAATTCTTAGCCTGTAGTAGGCTTCATTGACACTTCTTTGCGAGCTTATTCCATATCAAGGCGGGTTTTCTCACATAGAAAGTATCATGATTTGTTGTGTCTTATTGTATGGTGAAAATCTTCTTCCTGGGAACGAGACTCGCATTGTCGAGCGCTTGTCAGTCTCTATTAAGTGATCCGAAGGTTCGATAGGCAGATATATCTGCAGTCGCAAATATCAAAATGGATGGATCTGACTGAATGTTCAAATGAGAGTTCTATCTCTCATCTGGGATACTTCAACAGGCATCAACAATCTTAATTCAGCCTTAGGTTTCCATGTACCCATCCACAATTAAACTTTTACCCCGAAATGCACGCCAGAGACGGGTCCGAAGAGAGGATGCACAAAAGTTAAAAAATGGAACTCAGCGCGAAGTGTCGGTTTTATTGTATTTTTAATCCACGTTTTCAGAAGGCTGCTACACTGGGGAGAAAAAGTTGCCAGAGAAGGAATTAGCAAGGACAATCAAATCAAACTGCAAAACAGGATATACCATAACAACAACAGATTTGACTGGTGCGTTAGACGCACTCGTTCAGTGGTCCAATCTCTCGTGAAACCTGATTCCTGATTGTATATATGTATAAATTTAGCGTCCCAGAGGAGCGCGGGCGGCGGCCTCCCGAAGGGCATGGGGACGTGCTACGCTAGAGAGATTTCTGTCTATATACAAAAGGGGCGGAAACAGGATCCAGATGGCAACTCTTGAGAGGACTCAGTGCCTTGATTCCTGATTGAAAGGCAACATCTCACATTTTCATCCGAGGGTCCTGCCCATTGGTCACGTGAAGTAACAACAGGGGGAACGAATAGGATGTTGGGGGGATTGGGTTGGGTGATTCGTACCCTCTATACCACCACGGCGCTGGTGGTGATTGAGCTCTTTTGCCCTAGTGGCCTAATATAGGATTGCTATTGTTACGCAAACCGGTGGAAAATTTGGGCTCGCAGTCCTTGCGTGTGGGCAGAAACAATAGTTTAGGAGTTTGTAACGCCTACTCCAATATGGCTCAAGAAAGGTCTGATGAACCAAACCAGGTATGAAAGAATGGAGGACATGGGAAATATAATCGATAGGAGTATGATAAAGAAGGGGAACGGAAGGAAACTAGTATCAATAATGATTTCCTCGAAAACGAAAAACTATTTCTCATCCCCATCTCTCCATAAACTTCTCCTGCGCCTTGTCCCCACCATGCAAGATACCAACATCAAGCCCATTAATCCCTTTCCGGAGCACTTCAATCTGTCTTTCCAATGCGTCAAGTTTCCCATCCTGCGTACCGTCTACCATAGCAATTTCGAAACTCGAATCCGCATACAGGGCGGAATGCAGTAACTGAGCAGCTTGGTCAGCTGTTCCCAAGTAGAGAGAAAGAGGGGACTCGGCGGTAGATTGCAGATTTTGAAGCATTTCCAACATGTGCTGCTTCTTCTCATCAAGGGCCATTGACGCATCATGTGTTAAGCCGCTTTCCACGAGATCGATAGTAGAAACCCCGAGTCGCCGGAGGAGCTGTTCAAGAGCTTTTGAGCCATGATCAAGTGGAAGAGAAAGTGGGCTTTTTTGATCAGTATCTTTAGGCGTCGAGGGCATGTATGATAGTCGAGACAAGCGTTTCTGTGGTGTGATTGCTTTTCCCGTCTGTCTCTCTGATTGTTTACTTTCCTGTTCGCAGTTGTATTTTGTAGCTAGATAGTTCAACACCGTTTGGTGCGATTGCCGGTAATTTAACTTCTCGGTTATTCGTTCAGTGGATTGAGTTAAGTCGAGTATAGTATCAAAAATCTAGGTTGAAAATTAGCCTTCATATTCATTTCTTGAGGTGTACGATAGCAAATGGTGCAAATAGAGAAGGGATACGAACCCGCTCCAATTGCTGTTGAGAAGTCGAACGAGCCTCCGCTCCGCTACTCTGAAGAGCGCGAAGTATCGGAACCTTGAATTCCTGTTGAGTGGTCATTTCCGAAAGAATTTCGATTTCCGAGTATAATGAGTTAATCTCTTCCTGGAGAGTCGCTAATGCTTCTTCGTCGCCTTCATCTATTCCTGGAGCGTTGCTTTGCAAATATTCAATATATACCCGATCCAATCGCGAATGGACTTCCTCAACAAGGTATCTGGAGAGCTTCGCAGTTAGCTCGGTAGCCCGTGCAGTAAGCTCTTTATCAGCAGTGTCTATTTGAATTATTGACGCCATTTTTTCCAAGCTCTGCAGAGATTGGTTATCGTCTTTCAATTTGCCAGCCAATTGAGGGAGCAATGTATGAGCTTCGGTGGTCAATAAGGACTTCATTGAGCTGAGAGTCGTCTCAAAATCGTGGGTGAGGTCTTCAACCTGCAAGAAGCCATCAGTGTGATGTATGCATGACGTTTATCGGTGGTGAAACTGTACCGCAACATCAATCTGTTGTTTCTCCAGCGCGTGTTTATTTTTCCATTGGGCCCACGCCTTCGCTTCTCGTTGCCGAGAGTGATTTCCGTTGCGAATCTGGGATTTAAGCTCTTTGCATTGCAGCTTCAATGTCTCCGTTTGGTGCTCAACGGCCGCGGTCGAAGCCTTGAGTGATCCAATCGCTTTGCGTATTTCATCATCTAGGAAAGGTTTTGTTGATGATATTTCTTGGCCATGCAGAATGCCTTTGAGGGATCCAGTTGCTTCGATTTTTGTATACCTTTAATAAAAGGAATCCCAGTTAGCAAGAGTTTGGTTAGAAGCGAGATTTTTTGTTTGTGAGAGGTTTAAAACGTACACGGTTAATTCTTCTTTTGACAGAAGCGTTTCTGGAGTAAGATGATTTTCTATCCATTTGCAAGTGTCGGCATCTGCCAGAGCAGCATTAATGTCATCACGTTTAACAGGAATACCTCGTTCCCTAAAAGCATTGGCGACATTCTCCTGGAGTGATATTTGGTTGTTTTCCATGGTTTGGTTCGTCCTCGCCAGGTGCTGTTAATTGTACACGTGAAGGTTGGCGCTGGATCAAAGCTTGGAAGTCAATTGATTGGCGTAAATTTATAAACAAGCCTGGCTTACGGCGTACACCGGAATCCTGGATGGAATTTTATCAACAAAGCAACCAAGGTTTCAATTGAAATCGCGAAATATGTTATCGATTATTCTACTTATCCACAGAAATCACGGCTATGTATTAGGTCTAGCCTCGCTAGAATGACAGTGATGCTAACTACCCAGATTGCAACGCCAAAAAATTTGATGATGTCATTTAAATATTATCACGTCCTGCACTCAACGTATCTTTTTCCAGTCCGTGATTCAAATGTGACCAAATGCAAAGGTGAAATACCACGCCCGAAAAGTAAGAGAAAGGGTTTGTTCATCAATGTTCAATGATGTTCTCCTGCCGGCAACCGAACATTTGTCGTCAAATCATGTGGGTTTGGATAGTACCAAGAAGTCACGGCGATGATGATATACACCAGAACAAGCAGCGCCCCTTCTAGATAATTCGATTTACCATCGCGGAGGAAATTGCCAACAACCAGGATCGAGAGCACGAGCATCGCAACCATGAATATTTCGAAGTTCAGATTCATGTCCTTTCCTAAGCCCCAGCCAACAATGACAACCAGGGGAGCATTGAAGAGCGCCGTTTGAATGGACGGCCCAAGGCAGTGGAAGAGCGCAAAATTGATTTGGTTGTCCCTGTAGAGAAGGAAAACGGTGTTAGTTTGAGGAGAGATAAGGTATGTGTTTACAAGCCGTGCGTGGATGTTGCCTACCAAGCTTCGTCAACAGCAACCAGATGCTCAGCTGCTTTCTCGACTAGAGGGACCAAGATAAGGCCCATGAAATTGTCTGGGACGCCTCTTTCAACGATAGGTGGTATCTGCTCAACTAGAAACACAGCAGAAAGTGAAACACAGGTGAGCGAGATAGCAATAGCTACGAGGCATTCGGTGAATGTAAGTTTAGCTCTTCTCTTTTCGTCTGCCCCGTCTTCATCCTTTTCTTCATCCGACTCAAGGACCTCGTCGTATATGCTATTATGACTTCGAAGGTTGAAGAATAAGAATCTAGATTCCAGTCAGTATCGTCAAGTCGAATTCTTCATAAAAGAGAAAAAAAATCCATGGAAAATCGTCCTTACATTAAAAAGGCAACTAAAAGGATGACTGAAGTCGCTCGGCTGATGGTACGAGTGTTGTCCAAGAGCAATTGGGCGGTGAAATGGCCATCAGCAGTTGTGCTTCGAGAAAGAGCGGAATAGAACGCGCTGGGAATTAGGAGGCCAAACCCGGCCACAAGCAGCATTCCAGAACCCGTTTCACTAATAACCTCGTGGAATGTTTGATCATTGCGCCTCAGTCCGCCCACGAAAAAACATGTCCCCAGACAAAGCAACAAGTTGGCCAAAATCGAGCCTAGAATTGCGGCATGGATAACAGGGACCAAGTTACTGTTATCGTCATTGGAAATTAGCACCATCAACAAAACAATTTCCACCAACGAACTCAATGCGGTTTCCAACAAAATGCCAAAAACCTTTGGCAGCTTCCGAGCCAACTCAGACCCTGCAAAACCTAGCAAATTGGCAGTTGGCACCATGGCGATGTAATTGAGGCTAAAAATCCAGAGATGGAGATCAGGGCGCGCAAAGCTAAGAGCGATTGCAGCCGGGACAAAGGGCCAAAGCACATTTACGATCATTGAGACGCGATTGGTACTTTTCGTGCATACCGTTAGGAAATGGATGGGGTGGATTCCTCTGCGGCCGCTCTCGCCAGCAGAAGCCACACGGAATAACGATCTGGAAGGCTCATTATGCAAGGGGAGAATCGGATGAATAGGCTCGTTCGTCTTTGATGACTGTGGAGGAGATCCTGGACGGTTGTTCGCGTCCTGGGAGGAGAACGAGGGAGCTCGCTGCTCCATATAGTTGTGGGAGTGAAGGATTGGTTGCGGTTGTCAGTTTCTAAGGGTATGAGGTTACTCTTTTAAAAACGAATACCAGCGCTTCCTCTGGAGAGAAAATAACAATCCCAGCGGTCAAGGCTGTGCCGCGAAACGACGTCCGATCGGGCCCCTGTGAAAATCTCAATGAAGTTTTAAGGCTAACTTGTCTTTTCGAGGATTGATGGGGTCGAGGAAGCCACAGTAGATGCCCAGAGCGTAGTCAACCAAGGTGAAAAGAGATCGACCTGTAAAAGGAGAAGGAAAAGAGAAGCAAAACTGTGCGTATTGACGCAACAAAGGGGGTGTTGAAGATGAAAGAAAGGGGAAAACGAGACGGTGAAAGAAATCCAGGGCTCCTGTCTCATGTCTCCTGGGAGTTCGCCACGGCATCATTGGCCAGGGGTCATCAAGCAAGCAATGCCTGCCTGTCCTGCTCTCATTTGACGATTGAACACGTACCGTATCCATAGTTGACTCCCTCGCACACTTAGTCATGTGATATGGCACCAATCAAAAAAGCGCCAACGATTTCAGCCTAGGTAGCGGCTACTCCTATCATCAACTCGATTCTCCTAGGATGGTGAAATACGTTAGTGAGGGAGCTTTGGTTGTGATTGGAATGTTTGAACCTGCGTTTGTTATAATCCGGAGACGTATCCTTGCAACCCGCGCGTACTAGAGGATGAAATATCGGAACTGAAAACCAACTGTTCGCTCTGACTTGGCTGGTCCAGTTTGTCCAGTTTCAAGCTTCTCAAGCTTTCAAGCGGCGTGGTAGCGCATTGTTGAAGGAATGTGTGGAGAAATATTAGTCGTCACTTAACAGGAACGAAAACTTGGCTTAGCTTGGCTGAGGTTCCTGGCTTCTGACCTGGCGTGTTGGCAGGTATCAATTTCCTCGGAGTGCCCTAACTGCTAGGGGAAGAAGAAGCGTCTTAGAACGTTTCATGGAGAGAATGGGGGTGCTGGGGAGGCATCGTCGATCCAATAATGCTGGAACACGCATGGGGTAACTGGCCTCTGGAAGCAGCGCCTAAAAGCCCCAGAGCCAAAGAAACCACCGAATCTCAGTTTCTGAGAAGGTAAGCGGCGGCGATGAAGACAGCAGCTGAAATCGCTGGTGGCTGAAGCGGCACAAATAGCACGGGTTGTCTTGAAGCCACTATGTAGACGAGGCAAATGGGATGAGCGCCCAAGAATCCCCATTGAAGGCTCCGGTTGTGTTTAACAGCTCCTGGAACAGCATGCTCAAGAGAAATCCCCACCACCCCATCACTCACATCCTTTCAACCGCCGAATTTACAGACCGTTGTGTATGTATGTTCCTTGAAGATTTTCTTGCGCGGCAGTGGTGCTGCTGATGTCAAGGCCAGGATCGCTGGCCATAACGTTATATCGGCTGTTAGGACGAAAAGGCGGAGCCTCGTATCAGGATCCCCATAACGAGATGATCGATCCGCCCCTCATATGCCTGACAGAATCCTTCCCCCGCGCGAGGGGGAATCCAAACAGCGCTTGTCAAAAGATATAGTGAATTGATGAGCGACGTAACAGACACTTTGATATTTGCCTTTAACATGAAATTACTTCATGAAGGCCCACATGTTGCTCATGTTATGTTTCCCCCCAGCCCTTGGTGGAAATTTTTATTTGACACTGGGGAGAAATGGGTTATAAAAGGCCATCTCCATGCTGTTGTGAGATCGTCTCACTCTGTATCCTCATACAGCCGACGATTCATCCAGCATCAAACCATCTCTTGGTACACAGAGAATAAGAAATAGCCTTCTATTGCTACCTTGAACATGCCTCGCTTCACCAGCCCCTTTGACGGAGCCCAGCTCTTCTATAGGGATTACCAACCTACAAGCAATCCCCGTCCCTTCAACCTGGACAAAGCCTATGCAAGCAAGCAGAAACCAGCACTGGTATTCATCCATGGATGGCCAATGTCTTCGCTGATGTTTGAACAACAAACTCTCGCCCTTTGTGAGACTTATCGATTCAGATGCATTGCCCCTGATCGCCGTGGTTTCGGCCAAAGTGATTGGAATGGTGGGAATTGTGCCGAACCGGGCAAGGAGCAGATAGATTATAACGTCTTCGCCCAGGATGCGGCCCATCTGTTAGAGAAACTTGATATCGGTCCGTTTGTTTTTGTGGCAGCGAGCATGGGTCCAGGAGAAACTCTGCTAGCGTACGAGCGCAGCGAATACGTCAGAAGTAACTGCAAGGTATGAGAACGAAGCACTTAGCTCAGTGCGAGAATCTCACTGACACCGCCTGGCCAATACTTAGGGGTTCTTTTGGATAGGCCCCGCGCTTCCATACCCCCTGGCTACACCAGAAAACCCTACTGCGCCATCGCGCGAGCTTTGGGACTCGATTCTCCAATGATTCCGTGGCTCGCGGGCTGATTACACACATGAAGCTCTACCCCCATCGCTCTCTGTACCTTCACCTGAGCACAAGTTGTCAGAGTTCACGCTCCGACGGCTTGAAGGCTTTGTTGCTCAGGCGGATTCCGTTGCCATCGAGCGCTGTATCCAGATCATCACGGGGGTGGATTTCACAGATCGCTTGCGAAAACTTGGTGCAGAGACTGACATCCCTATCATGTGCGTCCATGGAGATCAGGATTTGGGTTGTCCCATTGAAGCCACTTCCCAAATCATCAAGGAAATCATCCCCAGGACGGTGGTTAGGAAGTATGAGTCGGGAGCTCATGGTGAGTGAAATTATTCAGCTTGTTTTCCGTCGATTTTCAATGTCCATGTCGCCTTGCATATTCTTCTATTGCTAATCAGTTTCATATCTTGACAGGCCTGTATATCACGCATGGTGAACAACTTGTTCAGGATATATTGGCATTTATTGAAGGCTCAGCGTCTTAGCTTGTAACACTGTTTGATGAACCGTAAAATTGAGCAGCATCCTGTGACCAAAGATATAGAGTCGAAAATGCTGTTTCTATGTATTTAACTTATTCTGAGGGACTCTGATGTAAAAATGAAATCGTCAAATTCTTGACACCCCCGCGTTACCTCAACAGCTCGGATACCAGCATTGCCATGTCATCACACAGATGTTCCTATTCCTACTCCCACTCGTATTCAAAACAATCGCATACGCATATCTGGATGTGGTGAATATCTTCAGTTTTGCTAGAATATGCTAGGACTCCTCTGTCAAGATGTCGGAGCGCCACTTCTAGAATTCCTCCTGCTGCTTGCTGTTTCCAAAGTTTGAGGGCGGTTGACATCGGCCCGCGCCAATAGGCCAGGCCCGCCTCATCACGATCTGTATATATCTACACGCTGCTTCTCTCCCTTCGGCCTTCTACTTGTTCCATTTCTTTTCTTCTTTTGTTTTATCGCCGTCTTTCGGTTTCACTCTCCACCGACATCTACACCCCCACCATAATGTCTACCAAAACGAACCCAGTTACCCCTCCAGCGGTGATGGAATCCATCACGCAACAAATCGGCAATACACCTCTAACCCGTCTCAACAAAGTACCTCAGAGGCTTGGTGTCAAAGCTACTGTCTATGCTAAACTAGAGTATTTCAATGCTGGGGGAAGTGTGAAGGATCGAATTGCCTTGCGCATGATTGAGGAGGCCGAGCGCAAAGGGAAAATAAAGCCCGGTGACACGCTGATTGAGCCAACAAGCGGAAATACGTGAGTGATAACTGAATGCGCCCATTTTGGCTGAAGTGAGTGATATCAGTGGATTTAACTGACTAAAGTGCAATTGATGTATTTAGGGGTATTGGGCTTGCTCTTGTTGCTGCAGTAAAAGGTCAGTAGCCGCCTTTAGCTAGGCCACTCTATTATTTACTTGCCGACAGGCGCATTTAGTATATTTGGAGTGTTTTTCTAAATATTTATATATTGCGTGAGCAGGCTATAAGACGATAATCACTCTTCCTGAGAAGATGTCCGCTGAAAAGGTTTCCGTCTTGCGTGCGTTGGGAGCTACAATTATCCGAACACCAACAGAAGCCGCTTTCGATTCTCCAGAATCCCACATTGGTGTCGCGAAGAGATTGGAGAAGGAGTTACCAAATGCACATATTTTAGATCAGTACGGAAACGAAGATAACCCACTAGCTCACGAATATGGAACTGCGGAGGAAATATGGGCCCAAACTGAAGGCAGGATAACAGCCGTGATAGCAGGTGCGGGGACGGGTGGCACGATTACTGGTATTGCGCGTGGCCTAAGGAAGCATAATCCCAATGTCAAAGTCATTGCCGCAGATCCTCATGGCTCCATCCTTGCGTTGCCGGAAAATTTGAACAAGGAACACATGAACGAGCCATACAAGGTAGAAGGTATCGGCTACGACTTCATCCCTGAGGTACTGGACCGCAGTATTATTGACAGGTGGTATAAAACTGGTGACAGAGAATCATTCCAGTATGCCAGACAACTGATAGCCGAAGAGGGACTTCTCGTGGGCGGGAGCAGTGGAAGTGCGATTGCCGGTCTTGCAAAAGCAGCCAAAGACTTTGATTTTACTGAAGACGATGTGATTGTCGTCATTCTCCCTGATAGTATTCGAAGTTATCTGACAAAGGTATCTATATTTTTTTTTAATATGCTTTTACATTATTTGCAGACCATGGAGTTGGCTCGCATGATACTTATTAGTCTACAGTTTGCGGATGACGACTGGCTAGCCGCGAACGATCTGCTGCCGGAAGTCTCACCAGTGGTGGAGCCTTCGTCACCAGAGATACAACCACGAAGACCTCAGGATCCATTCTCCGGAGCCAAAGTTAAGGCGCTGAGATTAAAGCCAGTTACTACAATCCCATCAAATTCCACATGCGAGGCCGCTATCGAGGTGATGAGAGAAAAAGGTTTCGATCAACTACCTGTGCTTGCCCCCACTGGAAGACGTTTGGTCGGTCTGGTAACTCTCGGAAATATCCTCAGCCGAGTCTCTCACGGGAGAGCCACGAGCAGCAGCCCCATTTCTAATGTGATGTTTGACTTTTCGAAATTGTCGGAGGTAGTCACGGATCCCAGAGATATCGCATGGTCTACTCCAGACCCGCTCGCTAGTTCTATTGGTACTTCTAAAGCCGGGCGGGCCGCGGAAAGGCGTCATCAATTTATTGAAATAACTCTAGAAACTCCGCTGAATGCATTGAACCGGTTTTTCGAATGGAATAGTGCGGCTGTTGTTACGGAGAAGGATGAGCATGGAGCTATGAAGCCGGTGGCTGTGGCCACGAAGGTAGATTTACTAACATGGTTGCTACACCAGAGTAAAATCCGGACCTAATTTTTCTTCCTATATGAATGTTGTTGGCTGTTCTGGTGTTCGGTCTGCTCCATCCCTGCGACAAGCCACCATGTGGCTCTTCAGACCTTCTTCCGGATAAAGCTTTCACTTTGATATCGACATCGAAAAACCATCCAGATTCTAATTTGTTTTCAACATAAATAACACACTACTGACTCCTCATTACCTCCAACTCTAACTGTGGCATAAATAATCGATTACAATTATATTTAATTTAACATCGAACTCCCTACTTCTGATGAGATTTCTATATATTCTGAAACATTAGTTTTCAAGATTCGAATCCTCGACTGCCCTCCTTCAAGCTAAGGAGAAATATATTGGCCATCATCTTCCTCAGGATGTCACAACCACTAAACTATATAACCTCAAAAATATCAATAGCTATACTCGATAGTGGCTGCACAAACCAGTCAATTGAAAAGGGAGACGACAAAATGTTAGGTGAATTTGCAATGTCAGGTATTGCCACTCTCACAGGTTCAGGACCTTATGGGATAGTAGCGGCTATCACGACCAGCTTGCTTCATGTCATAGAACATTTCTATCGAAACTACATCTAGTCCATGGCAGCGAGTTGCTAGCGATTTGTGTGTTAAGTATTATTTTCCCGGGTCAATTCAGTTCAATAATGAGATCAATCAGGCGTGGCACTGCACATGTACTGTTCCAAAAAACAAAACAAAAAAATGTTGTGTCCAGCTCTCTACTATAGATCCCTACACTTCTGGGTTTGGACTGCTTTTCTTCCTCATCTCTAGAGATAAGCACGAGGTTATCTCCTCCATGCCATGAAGAACATACATAGACCTACTTGGTCACAGACAAGAGAATTGTGGTGCTTTCTTCGATATCTGACAGATGAGCCCGCACACATTCAGCTGGGCGATGGTGTACCCAACGCGAATTTTGGGATATATGTTACAGGGAAATCCTATAACCGGGTGTCCTCCCATTTTGTTCTTTTTCAAAGCGATATATAAGGGGAAGATAAGAAAAAAAAAAAAAAAGGGGGGGGGGGTTAGGGATACGGTTTCCCATACCGGCATATATCCAACCTATTAGTCCTCTTCCAATATCACGACACTCCCTCACCTCTGCCACGTTAAAACAAGAACTCCATAGACCCATCCCAACACAAACACAACCCTCTTATTCTCCCATATATCTGGAAATGGTATTAGGGCGCTATGATGGGCAAGACCCTTTGTGTTGACAATATTAGCCTGGTACGAAGGTCGTAGTACTGGGGAACAGCTAGTAGAAGGAATGCCGTTTCTCAAGGAATTTGTTCTATCCAAGCCAAGAGGCGAGGTGGGAGGGAGAAGCTGAGTTGAGCAGTTGCATGATAGAAAGGAAAGAATGAGGACTTCGCGTATCCACTGTTCCCCGAGATGGACGATGTATATCCTGAGCCGCTTCACTCTGCTGTTAGGTCGAAGAGCGATTTCCTTTGCTGGCTGCGACATATACCCAGATCACATTTCACTAGGGCATACACAAGCACACCTTCTCTCATTCCCTCTGATGGCCGCACATACGTAATGAACTTGATTGAACCTATTAGCCGCGAGGGAAAAAAGAAAATCACCGCTACACGGTACATCAGATGAAAAGCAGAAGCAAACTGAATCTATCATGTGCACTGTACCTTTCTGCATAACAGGCCCATCATAAACACATCCCAATCCACTCTTCCCATCGGCGCACCCCACTCCCGTGATCCTCGTCATCACCCACCACCGCACCCCCAATCACATCAACTCTAATTCCCATCCGCTCATCCAGCATCTGAAAAGTGAACTGCCCTTCCTCCTCATTCCCGCCCAGAATATCTGGCTCTTCTTCCGCAGACAAGGAGTTCATGCTCACATCCAACAACCCTTTCCGATTCGAGACCCGAACCTTCTCAATCTCGGACTCCAGTTTCGCTTTGACTGAGCCCGGCGGCAGGGCCGTGAATAGATCTTGCTTATTCGCAGCGACCAGGACGGGAATTTTAGGTACCTTTGTAGAAGAGGACGATGATATTCTCGCCCCGTTCTTGTACACTCGGTTTTGCAATGTCATGAGCACGTCGTGTAGATAGGTGCCCGCATCCCGAAGCGCTTCATCGCTCTGTGAGAGGGTAGCAGAATCGAGCATGAATATTACCCCACGGATCCCGACAGGGCCTTTCCTTTTAGGATCTGAGAGAGACACCAATGAGGCGATGCCCTGGGATGCGCGGAGCTTGCCATGGCCTGGGGTATCTCGTAACCGGTAGGTAGTTGGATTCTTTGTGGCTTCTAAAAGAGTCGGATCATTGACTGAGCGGTATTTATTGGAGCCAATGGGGACGGCTGGCGGCAGGGTTATGGTGATGGAGGAGGAGACTTGAGATGTATGAGTTCTTCGAGGGGGTTTCTGGGATGAACGGGAGATCGACCGTTGTTCTAACTGTTGGAATGGACGGGATTAGTTTCCATGATCTAGGTATTATAATATATAGGGTTAAACCTTGGGAAAACAGCGCTGCACATACGAGTGAACATAATGCTGTTTTCCCAGACCCACTAGGGCCCAGGAGCAAAAAATCCCTCGAGGCCTTTGCGGGGGAGCTTCGATAGAGGAAGATATGCAGTAGGACAGGGAGGGAGAAGGCAATGGTGCAGGTTATGAAGATAGCAAATAAGTTGCCCGAGAGAAGAGCGGTGGTTATTCCGCTGGGACTCCAATCCATGATGGCTATATTGTCTGCCGCAATTAGGCTACACGTCTAGCTCACAGATGGCCAGATATTGTTTGATATTTCTTAATTGACTTTGGCAATCTTAGATCCCCAGCTTTCTCTGTAGTCAGATCCCGTGACACAACAGCTAGCCTCATAGCGGCCTCGTATTCGCTGTAATTTTAGTAGCAGCTATGCTTTTAGCCAGTGTAGGTAATTTGTTTTCGACCAGTGAATTATATAGATGTTCCTCTCAATCACACGAGGTGGCTACCGATCAGAAATCCATGCCGTGCTGCATATTCGACTTCAGAAGAAAAAATCGTCCCGCAAGGATGTGGGTATTGAAACTGAAACATTTACACGTGGAAATTGTGTCGGTGCTCTGAACCGTTATCTCTCAACCCTTGACACTGGACACTCACCTCCAACACACAGACAGACCACGAGCCCGTCGAAATGGCGTAGATCACTCACTTGCTATTCCCAACCGCAGAGACTCTTGTTGGTTTTTCTAAGTCTGCAAGGCTACTACTTCCTTTTCGCTTTCCCCTTCATATACAACTGTTCATTCCTTCAAAAATGAAAACACGAATACTTTTGCCACTTACGCAGCTTGTCCTTGCCGCCTCCGCCTCCATTGAGTTCACAGCACCGGCCGCTGGAGCGGTTCTAAAAGGCGGGGACACCCTTGTCGTGGAATGGCAACAATTATGGAATAATTCAGAGGTTTCCGACGGGACCCGGTTTGACATTTTTCTTTGCGCGGGTGGGAACCACGAAGATTCCTATGTATGGATGTTAATTTCTCCCTTTTGGTGAAATTGAACTCTTCATCTGTTTATCCATTAACTTCTTAATGCATAACACAGGGCCCATTGATACACGTAGCGAAAGACAGATCTTTTGCCCAGGGAAACTCCATATCATTTCCCCTCGCTGCTGGTATAGGCGGAAACGAACCCAATGCATAGTGAATAAACCCCTGGCAGGCCACATATTAACAGTGGCATATACCAACAGGTCAATCAAATACTAACCATCGCTATAATACCTCCCAGTTTCCTCCAAATGGTCATAAACAACCCTAACGGGCTCGACCTTTTCCACTCCCCCCGCTTCACCCTCATAGGAATGACCGGCACCTTCCCGGGCAGGCTGCTAGATGGCATAAAGGCCATCTCCGGCGTCACGGATAGCCCACCAGTTCACTACAATCAATTGGGCAAACGACAAGCAAATCTGCCTTATGGGCTCCAAACGGGCCCGACACGCTATGCGCCCATGGCCAAACAGCCCCCGACCAAAATCACCCTCAGGACCGCCTCACCCCAATATCCCCAAAGCCCTTTTCATATTGCAAAAACCTACTTACCTCCACCTTCTGTCCAGACGACGCTTACTGCGAAAGCAACGTTTAAGGTGGCTAGTATAGAGAATACGGTGGGTAGTCTCAATTTTTTATAAATATTTATATATCCACATATACCGTTCGTAATTCCTATGTTTTCGTGGCTGATGCGTTTTGGTTCTGGTGTGTGATAGGCTGCGCCCGCTCCTGTTGACGACGAAATTCAGAGATATTTGAACAGGTGGAAGGATTAACGTCGGAACTATGATCCATTCTTTCTGCTTTTCTGCCTTTCTTCTTGTTTTTCCTTCTCATATTTCAATTTTCCCATTTGTATTTTGATCTGGAAGCGCCAAGTTCAGTTATGTTTTATGTGGTATGTTTTATACGTTATGCGTTCTCTGTTCAGCTAGGTAGGCATCATTGGCTGGTTACGGAGTTCGGGATTATGGCTGTATTCACTTTGTATTATATCAAGTAGCGAGCGACAACCGTCAACGTTTTACATATTGTTCATTTCCGTATTGTTAACAACTCTTTCTATCCCTTCCTTCTCAAAAGAACCGTGTCTTTGCAATCGGGTGATTGTAGTTTATTGGACACCTGCGAGCGAATATATGTTAACCCAGCTTGATTATACCGATTCAAACAAACTATTTCTTTGTGATTTTATATAGTGAGATAGATAAGGGGATATATATAACATCGACAGTAGTAAACCATGAAGAACGCCGCCATTTTTATACTATTCGCTAGTTGTGAGTCCAGTTGCGTTATCAGTAACATGAGCATGTACCCAAAAACGTATCTGATGATGAACAATGGGAACATAATATGTTAAGGAGAAAGAGAGATGAAGATAGTCAATTTTACCGTCAAAATATGTGCTTGAACCTTTACCTTCCGAGCTCAGCTCCCATTTTCTTGGGGCAATGCATCCTGAAAGCACCAGGGAGGAGAAAAGTATCGAAATCACTCAACAGATCCAACTCGAGGCCCAAGAAAGATATCTCAAATCAAGCCTCCCGCGACGGTATCCCACTACGAACCCGAAACTCATCATCCAACACTGGAGTTGCAGAACGACTCGTTCTTTCCGTCGCCCCAAAGAATGCAATATTCTCCCTCAGCGCCACATATTCGCTATCTGCATATCCCAGCACAGATAGGATCTGCGTGCTCCGCAGGCCCTTAATGCGCGCAATTTCATTGCTACCGTAATTCACCAGCGCCCGCCCGACTTCCCGGGGCGACGCACCCCGGAGAGGGAAATCGCCGTTGAGGGCGGCGGCAGAGGCTGAGCGGCGCTCGACGACAACAAGTCTCACGGCTTCTTGCTGGCCGAAGTGACCCTCAACGCCCACAACGCCTGCGGGGAGTAGGCTAGCTTTGTTTAGGGTGGCAGAGTAGGCACCTGCGTCGATGTAGACTGTGCCGTGAGGGGCGAGGCCGTGCAAGATCCAGAAGGAGCGGGAGTGAATTGGGGTGGTTGAGGGTAGGAAGCAGGTGTGTGCTGGCAGTGATGATTTTGCTGAGGATGGGGATGGGGGTGTTGATCTTGGAGGAGAGGCGGACTTCTCATCCAGAGCGGGTGTTTCTGATGACGAGTTCTGTGATTTATCTTGTAGATATCTGATGATCTCGAGGATATTGCCTGGGAGGGAACTACGAGTTATTATAGTTGTAACACCAGCACTTGTCGCTAGGCGTGCTGCAACTATTTTCGTACTCATCCCGCCGGTTCCCAATGAGGAGCCTGCGGAAGATACGTCGGCTGTGAGAGTGGAGATGTCAGATACCACTTCGATAACCTGTGCGTCTGGGTTGGTGCGGGGATTAGATGTGTATAAGCCATCGACATCGGTCATTAGGAACAGGTAGTCTGCTCCAACCATACCAGCGGTGATGGCAGATAAGGTATCGTTGTCTCCGAATTTGATTTCCTATCCGGGATACATCATAAATAAGTATTCGTCGCAGCAACTAACCCTCCATCCATCGCCAGCTCATCATCGCAGCACCTACCGAAACAGCCAAAGTATCATTTTCATTCACGATCGGAACCACTCCCATGTTCAGAAGCTCCGTAAGCGTATTTTGTGCGTTACGATATTGCGTTGTCTGATTGCAAATTGTCCGGATTAGTCTCCATAATCGTTCCGTTTCTTGGACCATCTAGAGTGCATGGATATGGAACACTCTCACGTCCGCAATGTCATTCCTTGTTAATAAAATCTGAGCCACGGGTTGTCGCAAATGCGCGAACAGACTATCCCAGAGACTCATCAGTCTGCATTGCCCAACAGCCGCCAAAGCCTGGAGTCGAGGTTAGCCATATCCACAATTAGTGAGTTCGCTCAAGTATTGGCATATACTGCTACAATGCGAACCTGTATTCGAGGAAGATGTGCTGGTCGAATGTCAACATCCATCCTTCGCAAGCCAACTCCGATAGCACCCGAAGAGACGATGATGACTCGATGTCCATCTCTTAGAAGTTTAGCTGTGGTCTCGACAATGAGAGTTAGAATGGACAAGATAGGTTCATGCGTAACTTCGTCAACGATTGAACTCGTCCCTTTTAGTTTAATCCAGACAATCAGTTTCTTATCGAGAAGAGCGATAAAAAGAATGGCTTCTAGGCTCTTTATTCTTAAGGAACACCCACCGAGTTTAATAACAATCGTGTACGTCTTTTGACCTTTCATATTGTCTCTATCGTCGTTACTAGAGAATTCTCCTTGCCTGGAAGTCGGGCACTCATATCCATGAGGGCCCCTTCCAGGAAGGGAAGGGGGATATGAAAACGAATCCAGGTTCTTGAAGGTATATAAAACACCTGCTGTGTGTCCGTGGGTCCCGTCATAGGGCGTCGGTAAAAATGATCATCTCGGCTTGGTATATAATTTATTCTTTTCAAGTCTACCGAACAACAAGTAGACTTGGCACATGTTCTTCTGCCTCTCTTCACCGCTCTTGGGCAGATCTCTTCACGCCCTAACATGGATCACATTTGAAATTCCGATCAGGAATTGTTTATTGACATTACCAGGTGCATAACAAAATTAATTTCCACCGTGCAACGAATGGCGGGCATGAACTCACCAGGTGCCGGTCCTAACACCCCGGTGCCCTCTAAAGACACCGGCTTCACACCAGGCGATGACACTTGGACACAGATGAAGAACATGTTCTCTATTCTGACCGGCAATATGACAGAGGAGGGAAAGGAACAATTTCTACTAGCGCGGGATATTCGAAATGAAGAAAGTGATTGTAAACGTTGTGAGGATCAGCGTGATTATCTTATAAAGTACAGTACGTTTGTGCTGTCCAATGCGGAAATTCTGGTGGACATGTTTGGAGGGTTTCCGTTACGTTTTCTGCTTACACTTATAACTCTTCTGGACCAGGTCCCATAATCAGATTTCTCCAAGATAACATCAGGCAACTGGGCGGCGATATATCCAGTCACAACATCCATTGCCGTCGTTGCACGCAGCGACAAGCCGGCGGCTTCGACCCGCAGTACGGCATACGGATATGCGCAAATGCAATGAAGGACCAGGGACATCTAGAGGATACAATGGCACATGAGATGATGCATGCGTACGATCATTTACGGTTCAAGTTGGATTGGACGGATAATCTGAGACACGCTGCTTGCACTGAGGTTTGTCTATCTTTCCTCTCAAGTTTCTTATTCAATATAACTGCATATATCCTAACCGTTCATTGGTTTGCATGTTATTAGATCCGTGCGAGTTCGTTAAGCGGAGAATGTAGATGGGCGCGAGAGTTCTTCCGACGAGGCCAGTGGAAGTTAACGCAGCAACATCAAGAATGCGTCCGGCGGCGCGCGGCCTTGTCAGTCATGGCACGACCGGCCTGCAAAGATGCGGAGCACGCAAAACAGGTCGTGGATGAAGTTTGGGATAGCTGTTTTCGAGATACCCGCCCCTTCGATGAAATTTATCGATAAGGAAGAGAGATTTGGGTGTTTTGGAGTTACTTTCCCCCTATTTTTGTTCTTGTACAGTATTATATGAATACCAGTGGGAAGGCTCGAACTAGCGTATCTTGCAGAGCAAGGCGGAGTTTTGATTTTTGGATTGATTGATTTTTGGGTTCCCTAATAGACTACTCAATTCCCGGCAGAAAGACCGAAAACTTCAAAACAGCTGCTGAAACAACACAAATGACTATTATCCATATGCAATTAACGCCATGTCTCCGATCATCAACCCCGAAGCTTAGAAACGGACATCAATCATACTCCATACACCCGCTTGATGAACACACAGACACCTTGCAAACTCAATACAAGAAACGCTCGAGACAAAAAGGCTGAAGGTGGTGAATTTACTCTTTACTACGGTTATTTCCTGAACTTCGCTTGGCTGCCCTCTCGCCTTTGACACAGTGTTTAATGATCCAGGGGTGCTGTTGGACCTCATCCAGAGGAATTCGCTGTTCTGGATCGAGGACCAATAACTACTTGAAGTTAGCGATTAAAAATCTACTGTTAACAGAATGGTGCTAGACTAACCTTCTTAATAAGATCCCTAGCCTCCGCGCTCACAAATGACGGCACCTTCATCTCACCCCTCGCTATCCTCCGCCGTGTCATGACTGGCGTGTCTTCAAACGGTGCCTCGCCAACCAGGAACTCGTACGTGAGCACACCCAAGCTCCACAGGTCGATTTTCTCGTTATAGTAATTGTCCTGCAATCCAGGTTTGAGCATTTCCGGAGGTAGGTAGTCCAAAGTGCCGCACATGGTATTTCTCCTGTTATTTGGGGCATGTACGCTCCAGCCAAAGTCGCTTATCTTGATTTCGCCGTGGATGCCTACAAGTATATTCTCCGGCTTGATATCGCGGTGCATGATATGTTTTTTGTGCAGATATTTTAATGCAGCAGCCATTTGGGCGATATATTGGGCAGCCTTCCACTCAGGGAATCGGTTCTCCTTTCGTAGGTGTTTGTACAGCTCTCCATTCCCCGCAAACTCGAGAATTAGAAACACCCGTTTGCTGTCATGGAAATGGCCATATAAGCGCAATATATTGGGATGTCTCAAGTTGCTCTGAATCTCGATCTCTCGCCGTAGTTGCTTCTCAACTTTGCCCTGGACCAACTCGCTTTTGTGCAAGACCTTCAGAGCACAGACGAAGCCAGTCGATCGTTCTCTTGCAAGATATACTCTCCCAAACTTTCCCTTACCAAGGGGCTTCCCAATTTCGAACATTCCCAGATGGAATTTCTTTGGGGCGGTAGGCTGATCGTAGAAGGGAATGGAAGTACGGCTGGCCGCGGGGTTTTCCTCAGTGGAGTTACGGGAAGAGGAAACCAAGCTCACACTACCTTGAGGCTTACGGGGAGACGAGCCATTGCTGTTTTGTAGAGCGTATTTTAGTAGATTTGAGCGGTTCGGGTTGCTGGTCAGCTGTGTTGATGAGGTTGATGAGCTTATCGAAGCCGTGGTAGTGTGTTGGCCCTGCTTATAGTATTAGCCAACACATCCTCATCGCAATTATTGTATATAATATATATACGAGTGTGTGTATATGATGAGGTATAATACTTTTGATTTATGGTAGTGTGTGGTGGTGTTGGGAGGTTCATTTTCGTCATTGACGGAGAGATGCTCAAACCGAGCCTCGAGTGTTTTCGACATTATGGTAGAAGGTAAAAAAAATAAAAATGGTAGACGCCCAGGGAGAAAAAAAGATAAATGAAGAGCTTCTCTGAATAGCTTTCTGTTCTACAGTTATCTTTTCTGCGATGGATGGAGGAATTGATCTTTGTAAAGCCGCAAGTCGGCTCCGCCTTTATTTACTCCCGTCGGGGGGTCAACCGTCACCACAGCAACCATCGGGTCAATGTTACGCCGTTTACCCGTTCTTGGCGTTATTCTTGGCATTTCGCGGGGCAATGCTTCGAATTCAGTTAACAAGCAAGAACCTCACTTGAGCAAAGCCAACTCCCAGCTGTGGGATCTTTTGAGCTCCATGTGTGTGCTTCGAATTTGGTCGATAATGCACAACTAACTGACTACCTAGGTAGTTCGTCGCAACGGCTAGTCTAGGTATTTTTGACGAATATTTATCACCCACACTCCATAAAATGGCCTCCAATGGCGTATCCCCAGATACCCAGTATCCCTCTGTCAATATTTCCAAAGACAATTCGATTACAAGACATGGATTCAAAATAACAACTCAAAAACTCCCAATACTCAAAGCTGGTCCAATCGATGAGATGACTACAAAATTGGGCATTGCGCCTCCGGAGATGATCTTTGGCGACAACCACGCCACAATCGAGCACCAACCCTCGGGGTGGAAACTGGATTTCAACGCTTTTGATGCCTTGGACCGCGTGGACAAAACTGGGGAGACAATGCTAAAGGTGGCTTATTCGAAAGAGTGGCAGCAGAGCAGGTGAATACCGCCATAATGTCTTCGGTCGAAAATGATACGATTTGGACGCAGGAGCTAAGTTGTTTACTTTTTGCTTAGAGAAAACACGCATGAAGGAATTAAAGAAGTAGTCAAACCGTTCGATTGGTCCTATAGCACGGATTACAAAGGCACTCTCTCTCCGGGGTCGAAGCCATTCGAATCGTCCTCATCCCCTATTCCTATTGAGCTCCTAAAGCGACCAGATCCTATCCTCTTTTTCGACGAAGTAATGCTATACGAGGATGAGTTGGCAGATAACGGTATTGCTATGTTATCTTGCAAGATTCGTGTCATGCCTTCTCGCCTTCTGCTTCTCTCACGGTTTTTCATGCGGCTGGATAATGTACTGGTTCGCCTAAGAGATACTAGAATATATGTCGACTTTGAAACGCGGGAGGTGATTCGGGAGTATCAAGCAAAAGAGGAGGAGTATGATACCGTGAGACAGGTATATACTCATTTCCGAATACGCATGATGTCGCATGTGAGGCAATTAGCTAATGGATAGCACAGCGCCTAGCCAGCTCGCGGGAAGATATTCCAGCCGTCATGCGAGACCCAAATAAACTCTCCGATTTATTACCCAAGGTGGACACAAGCTTGGAACATGTTTTCGTTGGAACCTGATATGTATACCTTTGGTATCCCTCTGCCCTCCTGTTAAAGTATCGCATACCCGCACGCCCTCTTGCTATATCATGACATGCAACGAATATACCCGAGGCAAACAACAATACATTGCCGCTGTACAGGCGATGATCACTATATCAAGTATCTTAGAGTATTCCTTCTTGGAAGCTGCAAATGGGCTACCCCCCCGAACTTGGGTATAGGGGGCCAGCCGGTAGGAACCTGCTACATGTACCTTATCGTCGTCTCTTCGTCCTTTCTCTATCCCTCCTAGAAGCTGCAGCAATGTAGTGTCGATACTGAGTCTCATACGTTGTCCTACGAATATGTAGTGCAATATGGGATATCGGATAGGACGTTCACTAATATATGCGCTGAATGACGCAACGAGTGATTCATCGTATTTTCAGTTTCCACTTTTCCTGTTCGTTGAAGATAATGCTGGTTGAAAAAAAAAAAAATCCTGGAATGAGCTGAGGCCGATGTCCCTTGCAAACAGTGCAAACATCCACTTCACCAAGCAGGAGGAAATAATCAAAAACGATCTTTCAAACATGTTAAATGATAACTAAAAATTATTCAACCCAATACTAACCACCTTCTTATCTCATTGCGATAATCCCCCTGTTGCTTCATATATAGCAGCCGATGATGTTTTCGAGACAATCTTGTGCTCAGTGCGCGGATATGCTGAGGCTCGCATTCAAACCACAGGTAAGCAGTAAATTCTATTCCGTCAATCAATTGTAGCTTTCGGATCGACAGATTCCACTCAATTCATTTTACCTCAAAAATATCGTACTAAACACATTTACTTATAAATATATATATATAGCCCCAAAGATATTGCGCTCCGAATTCTGCTTGTCCTGTTGGCCGTCGCGGAGCCGTCTCCTCCCGCCTTGCATCCACATCCGCATCCGCACCCGCCACGTCCATATCCACATCCACACTTCCGGCCGAGAAGAGCAGTAATAGAAAATTACTGCGCGATTTAAAAAATGAGCCTGTTAACTCGCCATCTTCGCCAATATCTCATATAGCAAACTCACTCCAGTCGCGCGCCTCGCGCACGACAGAGACGTATACGGCCTTCGGAGCTACTAAGAAGATGTTCGAGGCTTGCCAGCTGCAGGCGGACTATAAGATTCCTCAAGCGTCGCAACCCGGTGGCGTAGTGCCCAAGACTGCCCATGGAGAGGACCTAGGCGTGGGTGAAGGGGCGTGGTATAAAGGTTTGTTAGTTTCTTCAAACCACTACCTTCTCACTAAGATCCACCTCTTTCGAATATTTTGTGATACGCACGGCAAGGAAGAAAAAAATGCTCTATCGATATACAAACCTTTCTCCAAACATAACGCAATTAAAAAGAAAAGAAAGAAACTTACCACATAAACACCAGAACTCGGCCTCCTCCCAACCTTCTCCACCTGGTCCCAAATCACCTTCCTACACATGTACCTCTTAACCGTCCGCCTTCGCGCCCTCCCTTCCCCCGAGAGCTTCCGCACGTATTCCCAACACCTCCTCGACAACTTCTCGCACAACGCCGAACACCGCATGACCATCTACCACGGCATGACCATGCGCGGTATTCGCAACCGCTACCTCAAAGACTTGTTCATCCAATGGCGCGGTGTGCTCGCCGCATATGACCAAGGCCTAGTGTCCGGCGACGCAGTGCTTGGGGCGGCTGTGTGGAGGAACATTTGGAAGGCGTCGCATGTGGACCCGAATGCAGGCGGTGATGGGAATGTGCCGGAGGAGATGGATTGGCGGAAAGTGGCAGCTGTGGTTGGGTACATGAGGAGGGTGCTGGTGGAGCTGAGTCGGGTGCCCCATGAGGGCTTGGTGGATTTGGTTGTTGGGAAGAAGGTTTTTGGGTTGACTCGGCAGGATTGGGGGTTGGTTGGGACTGTGAGTCGGGGGATGAATGAGCCGTTCAGTCAACCGGCGCCAGCAGAAAAAACGGAATCTTGAGGGTGTTGCTAGTTGTGATGTGTAATGTGGTAAATCCTGCCACTTCGCATTAGTTTTCAATAGCTTGAGGTTGTTGACTACTGTAAATTTCAAGGTATATCATCTCTGCGTAATTCAAAGGGCATGAGAATTCAAAGCTTCTTCCCGGAGATGCTGTTGATAATTGGCTAGAAATCTAATGACCCATCTGTTGACGGAAGGGTAGACGGATCGACAAGGTTGTAATTTACGTATATAAACGAGCAGGCCTAGAATATATGGCCAGGCGCACGAACTCAGAATAGACAACATTTGCGCACATAACATTTTCTATGATATATAATCATGTGTCGGCTCACATCCGCAGCCCGTCACATGGAGACTTGCCAAAAAAGGCAGGTCTAACTCCCCTTGTTCCCAAACAGATCCTTCTGGACCAAGCCTCTACAAATAGGATGGTAGAAACTCTGGTTCTTTTCAAATACTTCGATAGCGATATTGCGATCAAGCTTCTCCAGCGCACGGTATCTTATTTTTTGATGCCATGTTAGCCTCATATAGATACCTAACAAAAGATATAGGGATAGTAAAAGACAGTCACTTACAATGGACGAACATATTTCATTCGTCCGATGCTCGACAAGAATGCGGCGGTCGGCTCGATGACACTCTTATCACCAGCCTTCAAGCCGACTTGGAAGTACATGTTCAAAACCTCGGCATTCTCACTCTTTGCAAGACCATATTTATCGCCCATTAACCTCGATTGCTCCGCTGACAGGGGCTTCTCAAATACGAGCACCTGCTCTAGGAAAACTACCAGCTGGTTCGCGACTAAGCCGTTGACATCAACTGCGGACGGAGAAAATCCTGACTCGGAAGCTGTTCGCCATTTCTGCGCCAGAGCGTAAACGATGTCAACCAGTGAGGTGTCAAAGTCCGGTTTTGGTGGGAGTCCAGGGCTGTAGAACCATTTGTCCCAATCGAGGGAGGTGAGTAAGGCATGGGCTTCAGAGTCGGATGAGAAAAAACTGAGGATGCTCGACTTGAATTCATACGAATCGAGAGACGCCTCTTTGTATTTCGTAAAGTACTTTTTTTTAAAAAAAAAATGTCAATACGCCTGTAGCTTTGCTTTGAATTTTAGTTCCAGGATGGCGATTATGGGAAAACATACGTGAGGGATAAATTTATCAAATTTGTCTTTGCCGATGAGGTTCTCGAGGTAGAATAAGAAATTGAACCCCTTTTCATAGGGGACGCTGGAAAAGGCATCGTCTGGGTCCTTTCCTTTGAGATCCACAACGAGCTTTGTGAACTCATGGTCTTTTCCGTAACGTTCGACAGACTCAGTTAGAGCTTTCCACCCGATTATAGCCGAAAAATGACGATACGGCTCGCCATGTCTATTAACACATCAGGAAACATCAGTAAATGGGAAAGCAGAAGGCGGATTGGAATGGTGGCTCTTACACAGCTGCAAGGATCTGGCACCTGAACGTTAGCTTCTCCGAATAAAATAATTGTGAAGTTTAGGGATGCAATTTAGAATTACTCTTCTTTCCAGATAAGTTGTCCAGCCCTCATTAAGCCAGAAATGTTCCCAAGAAGCATTCGTAACGAGGTTGCCGCTCCAGCTGTGAGCGAGCTCATGAGCAATAACGTCAACGTTTTGTCGGTCCTAACGAGAAAAGAGTGTCAATTGAAGATTAGGAAAACAAGGAAATAAGTCGCATATACTTTCGAGATTACACTAGGCGTAGCAAAGGTGAAAATCGGATTTTCCATTCCACCGTAGGGGAAGCTTGGAGGCAGGATTAACACATTATACTCCCCCCAGATGTACGGGAAGATTATTTTCTATAAAAAACCTTTTGAGTCAGTTTCCCTTTGTGCCTCTCTTTCTTTCGGACAAAACCCAGAGCCTTCTGGAATTTTCATACATCAATTGCCTGCATAAACTTTTCCGTGTCTGCCTCAAGTTCCCATTTACACTCCTCAAGCTTGTCAGGACTTGCAGCGACCCTGCTCCGTGGGCCGATGGGTGCCTCTGCAATTTCCCTGTTTATATCAGTATTGGACACCGTTGTCCCACGGATTATTGCAATTCCGTAGTGAGAAAGAAGGGGGAATGGGTCACCATATGGAACAATATCACGGTACTTACCCACTGGCCATCGCGAAAAGATACGTCGGAATTGGCACCTTCTGGTGGAATCTATAGACCTTATTTTTCGATTTCGACGAGGGGGATGAGGCATCATTCACTGGCACACCACTAGCAATGACAGGCAAAGGGGACGAGATGTTGAAATCAATAACGGCCTTGACATCAGGAGTATCCTGGCATGGGAATATAGATCTGGCATGAATCGCCTGACATTGGGTAACTAAGAGTGGCAAACGGGTAGATAGTCAGCGATTACAAATGATCTCTCCTTTATTTGAATATCCTATACTCGTGAGAATAGAAGAAGCTTACACATATACGGGTGCTTTTGAGTGGACGTCTGGGCTGGCGTGAGCCACTGCAGGGCCGTGCATTTCTCGGTTGTCTCGACAGTAATATCGATATCAACCGTTTTGCTCAAAGCTACACCTTCAGCCAAAGGTATTTTCAACGCACTGCCATACGGTTCCTGGCAGGGAAGCAGCTCGAACTTGCTTTGCTTGCCGTCAACCTTGACATCGTGAATATTCAGAAAGCTAGAGTCTAATATGACTTCGCGGGCCTCCGAATTTGTGAGTGATATCAATTTATGAATAACGTTTCCAGTGAGCTTCTGCTTCTCGAAGAGGATATCGAAGTTGACTGTCGTATGGGTGGTCCGAAAGGCATTGTAATTGGACTGGGTATTGGGGTCCCTTGGGGAATTGGTAGCTGCAGCCATACTGTATGCTCGACGGGCCAAAGTGATTTGAAAGTGGAATTGGGGACCAGACAGGAAATCAGGGACCTTTAGATGGGCCTTGAAAGGGCGAACAAAATGCAGTGGCTGCGGCAGAAAATGCATCGAGGGGCATTGGAAGGTCCTAGCCCGATTAACATACATCCGCTATTTTTGCGCATTGCGGGGATGTTTTCCAGGCAACCTGCTTAGTCATGTATAGTGAGTGGGCATCAAATTCCTCTCAGCAGCTCTGATATTCTTGTCATACTCGTAGGCAGAGGATGCGCTGCCTGGACTACCTATTCTCTCTCCGATGCTAGATCCTCATCTCGATGTTGACGTTGTTTCCGGATACTGCCTGGGTTAACGAATCATCCATCACCGACCAGCTCATCGTCTCCAGAGGTGCCGTCGAAGTCACCAATCGCCCACACTATGCACCCGGGCATATAGATAAGTGGTATCATCTACTTGCATTTTTACCATGAACTCGTTGTAGAGCCCCCCATACGAGAAATTCACGAACTGCTTGGAATAAAATAATGATTAGTTAGCGGGAATCTTTTGTGATATTATTCATAAAAGCGGGCAGCTGTTCTTCTTGGCCATTTTACCCCAAGCTAACACACCCAGCAAGCCTGTTGGATGGACGCTTATCCTCGCAGAATCTCCAACTTTCGTCTCAGGATGTTTTCAATTGCTGTCACCGAACAGCCATGGTCGAAATATGGAGATACATTTTTCGTTTAACGTCGCAGAGTAGATTATTTAGTCGTTGTCTGGATTCGCCGCAAACCAAACAAACCTCCCGAACCACAAGAACCGAGGCTGAACAACAAGCTTCGCGGGCCATGCATGAATTGTGAGTTTGCAGAAGCTCCACGCCCCAAGCTGTAATTGAGTTTGGACTTGGTGGATCAGCGTTCCAGCTTCTGGGCCGTTTGAGAGTTTCTCCAAAAATATCCATGACCGTCTGAGTTTTCGAATAAAGAGGAACACGGGAGATGCAAGATGATTCACTCGCTATCTCGCTGCTTGGGGCCACTTCCAAGTTTTTCTTTTGCATATTTATCTATGGCCAGGAACCCTTATGTTGCTGAAAAAGACTGTAGTTTTCTATTGTCTATTTCCTATTCTTCTGCATCGTCTCCGGGGTCTGCTCATTCACTTTGTTCACCAGTCACTTGGGTTCCGCTCGCATACTTACCTAGGTAATAATTGCTCAAGATAGCCCAAGGATAGATCCTGATCGCTATTCGGTTTTTCTCATACAATTTAAAAACTACCCATCTCTCGTCGATTACTTCAAATTGTCCTGCCCAACGACAACGGCTAAACTACCGTTTCCTCCCGGCTGGTTCCGCGCGTTAGCTACTGGGCCATACTCATTTTTTCTTTCTTCTCTCAGTTCGCCATGTTTCAAACTCGGGTAAACTCCGACGCACCCATTTCCACTTTCATGAACACCAATGCATCCGAGGAGCCTCCTCAATGGAATAGCGAAGCCATGTTCCAACTACCCCCGTGGGGGGAGCCTCTTGTATGGCATCCTCGGGGCCCCGAAATAGCTGAGATGCGATTTGTGATAATGCTGATGCGATAGACCAGATCGTATTAACTATCCTTGTCGGTGCGATGATAGCCACGCGCACAAGGGGATTCCAGGTTTCCGACCGACCCCATAAGAACCGCCTATCGATTCTTGACAAACCCCGTTGCACGGAGTCCGTAACTCAATTCCTTAGCTATGATCCTAGGAGCGAAGATGGTGAGCAAGACGCAATTTCGGCTTCTAGCCATCAATGGAAAAAAAGATACTGCTTCGGTATGGTTATTTGGACACCAAACACCTCCCGTTTCGCGGGGAATCTGCATAGCCGTGTGATGCAAAGGTTTCCATTCCTTGTTGAGATGTTTTACTGGATTTTTACCTACTTCTTCTACCGGATGACAAAGCTGGTGTCCCAGACGGTTTTCTCCAAGACCGGAATATGGGATGTGGCGCTGCAAAATGGCCTTCGCGCGCTAGAAATCGAACAGTCCAGCTGGTTGAGCTTCCTCTTCCCCTGGACAGAACACGACGTCCAACGGTGGTTCATGCACGGCCATCAATCTTCATTAACTGCTCTCAATCGGTTTTACGCTCTCGCTCACATCCCTGGGACAGTTGGGTAAGGCTACGGCATGCTGCTTGGCTTGAGCATTATCAACCAAAGACTCATTGTGCTGAAGTGAAATGATCTAATAATCTACTTACTTTCCTTGGCAGGTTCATTGCATGGTATTATTATAGCGCACCATCCCACAGCGCTTTTGCCACCGTTCGCCGGACTCTCACGCTCACAAATCTCCTGGCCTTCGTTATATTCACCTTCTATCCATGCATGCCACCCCGACTCCTTCCACCGGAATACGGATTCGTAGATTCTGTGCGCCGCGACAATGCTCAGAGTATCTGGATGAGTGGGAACTACGTGAACTCGCTAGCTGCTATGCCCAGTATGCACTTCGGTTACAGCTTTTGCATCGGATGCGCATTGCTGCACCATGCAGGCATATTCCAGCGGACTTTGGAAATGGGAGATTCGAGGAAGACGACATGTTGGAAACTTTGGTACCTTGCCCTCGCACTGGCTTACCCACTATGTGTGCTTGCGGCAATTATAGCCACAGCCAATCACTACTGGCTCGATGCTCTTGCTGCGGTTGTAGTGGCATGTGCGGCCTTCCTCTGCAACCGGGTCTTCCTTATGCTACTGCCAGTAGAGGACTTGTTATACTGGAGCCTGCGCATGGAAAAGCCAACCCCATCGACCGGGGAGCAGTTTCGTGGTCGTAGAGGCTTGATATGAGACAATGTGTAATTCTATTTTGTATCCGTGAGAGCAAACGATCATCTTAATTCTGATGCCTTCCAGAACCAATTTGCACCATGCCATTTCCGTAGTTAATTCTAGAAATCTTTAATTAATAGAATAGCTGAAAATGATGAGCTCAAGGTTGGAAACTAGAGGCAAATGCTTCACTATCGGGAAGCCATACGCTGAATGAGCGGATAGGGCAAAAATAGAAACGAGAACTTAAAAAAGAAAGGAAACAAGGAGACAGACAAGGGATGGGTGATATACTCACGATGATTGGTTAACTACCTAATTACTACCATTCATAATAGCTTCAAGCTGCCACCTACCACGTCCCGGCCCAAGTTTGTCGCAAGTTCAATTGGACATGATGTATATTTATACTTCATCATCTCCTTGCCTGTCCTGTCACTTTCGACGATATCAGGCTTCAGATTGCTTCTGCCAGGGACAAGGATGAGATGCGTCCTGAGTATCTCTTCTTGCAGCAAATGCCGTCTCTTATTGGCAGTATCTCATTCCCAGCTGGAGCTTACTGCGACACTTGCGTTTTCTCCCATCCAACATCATGCCGGCATAAATACTCCAATCGGCATACAGATTACAGCTGGGCAGGGTTCAAAAACAGCTTCTTCGTCCGGAAAAGCTTTCAGTGTGTTTCAAGCTCCCAACCATGGCAACGGTCCACGGGTTCCATACACGCAACTTTTTGAACCAGGTTACTAAAACTACACCTTCCTGCTGTGATTCAAGGGGTTGCCCTCTACTATCCAAGCTTAATCCTAATCCCAACCGATGAGTGGATTAGATTTATTAATAATGTTGTGTATGTGTATGACTGTATTTTAGATGGCATGGAAAGAGCAGGGCAGAAGTTATGTTTTTTAGAGAGAAACAATAAATACCACGTGACAGATACTTGGGCATGGTAAAAGTTGTCCATATCACCGAGCTTTGTTTCAATTGTATTTATTATTTTTGCTCCTTGTGACCCTTTTTTTTTTAATCCTTCATATCCGAATTATATACAGTCCTTTGGTTCTCTATCGCAATATCAATTGCGCATTCCGCATCCCTTTGGCGGACAGCAGTCAATCTTTTTCAGATACCTAAACGTTTCCTTTCTCTTCTACGTCTTTGTTGTTGAACAATTGTAGCCGAATGGCGGAACCACGAATTGAGATCGGTGCGGATGGCGATGTAGAAATGGCCGCTTCTACGGAGACTCCTGTTGAGGTCGAAAGTGCGGAAGCTGTGGAGGATGGAGCAGAAGCTGTGGGCGCCGATGGGGAGGAAGTAGGTGCGCCAACTTCAGACAACAAGGAATCCACATTTGTCGAGTGAGTAGTTTAGTAATTCAGTCGAGAGCCATATCGCCTCTCCCCATGTGTGCATGAGAATGTCCACGTACTGGCCTGCGGGCCATGCACATGATATGCCAAAGACGGCCATCAAAACGCAAGCAAACGCATTCAAAAATTTCGGTTTTTGTATAGCAACAGACAACTGACGAGTGGCGCTGCCCACCTATTATCATAGGTTCTTAAAATCGCCGATCGTGGAATTGGTTGTTGGTAGAGGCGATGAGCAAACCACCGTCACTGCACATCAAGCCATACTGACAGCGAGCCCCTTTTTCAAAGACGCAATCTCACATTTCACTGACGATGGCCCTGTACGCTACCCTACCCTCTAAGCCCACTTCTGCAATGGGTTTTGGAAACCTACTAGCAATAGACGGGATGATACAAGCACGGGATAAAAATTGGCTAACCGATCTCTTTCGCGCCCGATAGCGTCGCATCATTTTGGAGGACGAGATGTTAGATACCATAGGCTGCTTCCTCCAATATCAGTACACCGGCGAATATTTCCCAAGACGCCTTGTCGCGCCGTCGGACGCACTCGAAACCCACCCTTCAATTCCAGCCATCGATGACACTGGCGAGCAGCTGCTAAAACATGCGCGCATATACACCCTAGCCGAGAAACTCGGCCTGCAGAAGCTCAAGCAACTGGCCCACAGCAAGATCCATCGCATCAACAGCACAGCGCGTGGCGAAATCGCATACGCCAGATATGTCTACGGCAATACTCCCGCGGACGATACCGTTATTCGGAAACCTGTTGCCGCCTTTTGGGCGACGAGGAGTCATGTCCTGCGCCACGAGGCGGAGCAGGAGTTCAAAACCATGTGTTTGGAATACCCACAGTTTGGCTTCGATGTGCTCAGCCTTGTGCTTGATCAAAAGGAAAAGCGTAGTCACGACCGGGAGGCCGAAACGCCGGCCAAAGGTAGCGCACGAAAGAGAGCACGAACACAGCTCTAAACGAAATAGCCTTGCGTTTATACGTTGTAAGAATTTAGACAAGCTCCTCCTTTCTCCATTCGTCTTTGTGTCTATTTGTTAATTTATTTATTGCTGATTGTTGATTGTTTTATTGGTTAGTTTCTTATAATTATCCCTGTAATCTCTGGGTTGATTGATTTATTCTCTCTAAGGGAATGGGTCGTCATGTCTATTTTCCCCCATGTGCGGCATGCTTCTGGTGAGAAAACTTGTTTGAATCTTTCAATTTATATTCATAATAACCCAGGCTAAGGATGTGGATATGTGGCATGAAGATTTTCGTTAGTGGGAGCGTGCTTTTTGTCCACCTTGAAGGAATATCTTTGTGCTACTAACCCCCATCTGAGAGCAGCATGTTTTTTCAACGAAAGCTCATCGGATTCTTGAAGGTGTGATTTGAGGAACATGGTTTCAGCCCTAACTCATTTTTGCCAACTAACCCTCGTCAACGGAGATGGAGGCTCTTGCGGTAAAATACATTCGCAGCGTACATATATATCCTTTTGTCGATTGCTGTGGACCCTGTGGAAAGAAAGTGTTATAAAAGAGAACAATGATCATCGATCATCAAGTATAATACTTCGTTGCAATTAGACATATCCTCATATTTCCCGAATGTAACTGCATGAATACAGAACTGGGATGCAGCCTTGCTTGATTGGATTCTTCGACCAAAATGTAAACAAGGCGGAAAAGCGAGCGAGGTCCATGGATAAAAATAAACGAGATGCAAAAGTGAGGAGTGAAGATATTTGAGTCGAGCCTTCGCCAAGGAACCTCCCCACCCCCCCCCCCAAACGAAAAAAAAAAAACAGGAGGCAATGGCAAAAGTGCCCGTAGCATTGTCGGCCGTATAACAAACAGTGTCTGCGAAATAATCGATTATGTACTCTGCAAAAGATATGGAAGTTTGCGTACATGATCTCATTGCCGAATCCACATCCCAGTAGAAAAAGCGCCTGCAGAAAAAAAAAGGTTAGGGAAGGCTATTTAGGCGATTTCAACTTTGCGGGTATGATGGGCAAACTTGTTTCTACATTGCCATTTCACAATGGGTCATGTCCACCTTTTCCGAATTTTGCTTCTTTTGATCTGGAATAGGAGAGGAACACAGTGCGTGGTGTATAAGTCTTCAAAGAATGTAAATGCGTCTGGGACGCCGCCACGATTCCCTCTATCTAGACAATGTTTTCCTGTCATAGAGACAAATTCCCACAAGACAATCAAAGCAAAAACCAGCAAACGGGGTACAATACAAGCCCACAGATCCTCAGTATATTTGGGCTTTGTTAGGCTGTGCATTTCTTCATTCTCACATTGTCAGGCTATGTTGCAAATCCCAACATATTTACTTGAACAGAGCTTCCAGTTGATCATACTTTTCAATATCGTTCCTGCATGAAGCCTCAATCAACGAATGGACGATACCCATATCAAAAAAGAGGCATGGCCCAGCCCTACGCCGCCAACACTTACACTTCATAGCTGTCGAAAAGCGCCGACGATGGAATTACTTCGGGCCCCATGTTCATCCTCAAAATACATTGTAGGAAAGGCAGCCAGAGCAACCGGTTTTAAAGATCTTCTCGGCACATTGCACAAAATATTGGACCATGGAGGACAGGATAACTTCAAATTGCCTCCGGATATGTTTTTCCTCTCGATCAACGTCCCGGCAGAAGTTTCCGCCCTTCAAGGCTTGTGGCGGCTGCAGATTTTTCAGGCAGGCAGGATGGACCCGAAGAAGAGATTCAGGACTTGCCAATTTGGCGGACTGCTTCTGTGCAAAGAGAATTCTTTCCATCAGACAAAACTGTTTTGCGATATCTCAATCATTGTCCATGCCTAGGGAGATGTCTCTGTGTGGTTAAGCTCTTTGATATCCCCCTTCCTTTTGGCTTTGGAATCCGTCATTCATCCCGAATAGAGATGTGGCTATGGGGGTTAGAATGGCGCACGTCGTTCACTTGTAGCTTATTGTTATGTTATTTTGTCGGATCTCTTTCTCTGACAACAGTTCCCATTCCGGAGGCCCCTTGGACATCGTCGGCGCCAGATCCAATCTCCATTTCGATATCCAGTGACTGGCTGAAATTACTGGGCAAGATTGAAAGCTTCGTCAGGTTGCAATTTCGCTTTCTAAGTCGCGTCAGTCCTTCTTCGGACAGTGGATTCCCGAGTATTTTCCAAGTCTTTCCGACCACACAGGAAGTTGGCCGTGGTGTCATTGTCTCAGACCGGGTGCTTCAACGGGTTCCGACGGAAGTCCTTACTATATCGTGAGTTGTCAAGATATCCTCAGCATTTGCTAATCGCTTGGATTCCAGAAGGAATGCTTTTCTTTTCTTTTGCTTTTTTTTTGATCTCGACCTACTAATCATCCCACTTGTAGAGGCTATGGGAACTGGACCGACCAGGGGTGGAGCCTGAGGTTTCGTGGAAGTATTTACAAGCAACCAAATATTGCGGATAAAATGCTACATGGCCTCGCAAGCATGTTTTTGCTCGGTGCTTCGCTTAAGGAGCTTCCTCCACCAAATTATGCGCACTCCCTGAATATGACGCGAAGTGTATTTATTCTCAAACAAAGCCATACAAAAGTCTCTTTTCGCGTCACGCCTGACATACCTCCGGGGTATCCTGGTGAGGATGCGGAGCCTTTGGTAACGGAACAGGACATAGATGTTCCGGGAGTCACAAATATGGAAGGCGACTTCGATTCGTTCATTGAGATCAAGAATGTGTCAGGGGCGTTTCCGATAGCAGGAAACGAAACATGCAAAACGCAACGCCTCAAATTATACGCACATGGAACGGATACTGGAAATGCCACTGCTTACCTCATTCCACCTGAAGGGCTTACACTAATCAGTGATATCGATGATGTCCTTAGAGTGTCGAAAATATACTCAATCAAAGAAGGGTTGAATAACCTCTTCGGTCGACCTTTCATTCCCTGGATGAATATGCCAGAGATATTTTCGAACTGGTCAAGAAGCTTACCAGATCTACACTTTCACTACCTAACAACATCACCCGAGCAACTGACTCGCCCGTACATGGATTATGTCTTCAGGACCTACCCGGCCGGCAGTTTTGATACGAGAATTGTGAATTTCACCGATTTAGGAGCGACTCTATCAATCCGCGAGTTCTTGCTTGATAAGGTCTTCCAGACCTTTCCAAAGCGCAAATTCATTGTCTTGGGTGACACAACAAATTTGGATATCATGTCATCTTATCCACAACTTGTGACGAAATATCCCGGCCAGGTCCAATGTATACTACTGAGGAACACGTCGGCCACGGATAGTACCAATCGGATACCGTACAATACTAAATGGTTCAGAGGAATAGATCAACAAATGTATATGTTCTTTAGAGTTCCTGTAAGGGGTTATTTTCTTTGCTTTGCTATTCTGCTTTCCTTATATTAAATTTGCTGACCTTTTGACAAGGATGACCTAAAGGGGTTGGCGATAGAAGACGGTCGTTGCTATAATGCATCCGTTCCCCAAAATGTTACCCTTGGATGGCAGGGCCTTCCTTTGGGCAGAAATCCATGATTTCAGAAAAATAGAAATATGCCCAGTGACATTGCTGGGGGTGGGGGGGGGTTCTTTCTTTCCTGCTGTTTGGATCAATCGGGGCCGTGTATTGAAGTCGCTTGCACTATTGCCTAATTTGTTCACCGGTCATTCTCTTGGGGATATTATAGCTTAAACAACGCTTAACTTGTTTTCAATAATGGACGATGAAGTTAGATTTCGTTTTGCGATTATATGCTTGCCGCCATGCTTCGGTCAAAAAAGGCTTATCAGATTGAACGCGGGACTAAAAGGTGTCATGGCGTTCGCTAGCCCAAAATAGACTCTCGGTGTTCCAACGTCTCTGTACACCAAATAAAGTGTCATTGAAACCGGAAATTCAAATCTATACGTACGTTCTACTGAATCATATATCCCTAAACTGCATTGATCCCTCTGGTCTACCTTTTATAATATCCTCACCTCTCCATCATACCAGTAGCAGTAGGAAGGAATGGTTGAATTAAGGAAGCGCAAAGCACCCGCCGAGCCCCCTAAACCCAGTACAAAAAAGACGAAGAAGGTCACCAAACTTGATGCTCCTGCTGCTGTCGCTGCCATACCAACGCCCAAGAAAGAAGAGGCCTTGAATGCGGACGCGACGCCTGTGGCTCCGTCGTCGCAGAAGAAACCGCCGAAGATCGGCGACACAATTGACCTCGATCAGATCGGAACCAATATCACGACTCACGACGGAGCTCCAACGACGTTGAAGTCGCTGGTTGAGCAGAGCGCCTCCGGTGTCGTTTTGTTTACCTATCCGCGCGCTTCAACACCTGGCTGTAAGTAGAGCGTTGTGCTTCTATAGAATCCACTACCATTCCATTTGCGCACTGTGTCACGTTCCCCGGCGCCACTGCATCTCAGTCTCCTTTCATGATACTTGTTCTCTGATAGGAACACGCTTATCGCATCCCCCGAAGAAAAAAAATTCTTCCACTTTATCTCTACGAGAAAACGTTGCCTCTACTTCCATATCTCGCTTACCCAGCTAATAAATAAAATCAAAAAAGGCACAACCCAAGTCTGTCTTTTCCGTGACCGATACGACAAACTTACATCTACGGGCTTGTCTATCTTTGGACTTTCTGCCGACTCCCCCAAAGCAAACGCGAATTTCAAATCTAAGCAAAATCTCCCGTATCCTTTACTCTGTGATCCTACAGCTAGTTTGATTGGTGCTCTTGGACTGAAGAAGACGCCAAAGGGAACCGTCCGTGGAGTGTTTGTTGTGAGTAAGGAGGGTAAGGTACTCCTTCTAGAGTCTGGTGGACCGGCTGCTACGGCTGATGCCGTTCAGAAGTTGGTGGAGAGTGGTTAGAATTAGTCGACATAGCTCCTTCGTAGGCCAGTGACAGTTTCTTGTCAAAAAAGAGGAGAAGAGACCATCTTCTAAAATAAAATATATAAGAGGGCTCAACAACATATGTTTGACGAAAAACACTCCGGCTGTTGCTCGTTTCAACCTGTCAAAATATATAACTCCTATGTAATACTTCTCAAAAATCAAGAATTTGATCTGACCAGTTACCGACCTGAGGTGGTAATATCAGCCAATAAGGGGCGAAGAAATCAGCTACTTGTGCCTGCATGAGCCAATTCTGTCGTGACAAACCAACGAATTCCACCTCGCAAGTCATGGTGTTTCTTTTGTCCTGCTTAAGACATCTACACAACCCGCTGCACATTCAAGAAACCTACTAGTATGCAAGGCTTTGTCTTCCCATTCTATTATGAAGTGGCTAGAAATTATCCTTGTGCAGGAAGTAGCTGGATGGCTGGATGTCAGGATGGAGACTCTTTTCTGCAACACCCATGGAGATCGGGAAGCAGTTGGATCATTTGGTCAAATCCGGGCAAGGAATGTGAAGATGTGCCAGATTATTGATCATATAGAAAAGTTTCATATAACAGAATAGATAAAGGATTGTAGATAGAGTACCTACCCCAGGGTGTACACATCAACTACACTGACCGCGCTAGTGACCCAGATAGAAGGGAGGAAGTCTTTAACTGTATATTTGATTTCTGGCACAAACTCATACAACCTCACAAATACGCTTATAGAGCGAGAAAAGAGAGAAAAACGCCCATACGCTGTAGATGGTTAGCTGATGATCACCTTGAGCGTAGATGACCAATGAAAGTCAGTGTCCTCCAGGGCACCTTTTGCTGATGTAATCATCACCAACTGCAATCAACAACCTTCGATCCAATCTTGACCAGTGAGTCTCAAAGTTGTGGGTTTCTTAATCGCACTGACTGTTCGCAGCTACATTGAGATGCGATCGACCCAGATATTGAGAGCGGCAAAGTCCGCAAATACCATCCCCGTTAATCAGGTACCAAAATACATTACCCCCCTCCTCCCTCTTCGTCCGTTCATGTTCATTTCTCGATTATTCTAACTGAATTCGGAAGAAATACACCCTTCAATCTACCGGTATTTGGGAGCGCATCCGCCGGATATTCGCCGTCGACCCAAGCCGATCAAATGGTGTCCCATTAAACCCGCAATTCCGAAATCCCACACCAGGGGCTCTCGCACCACAATCCTACGATGACCCTGTCACGATGCCTGCTGGCGATATTGCCGACAACCCTTACTGGAAACGGGATGTGCGACGAAATTACGCTCGCCCAAGCGTAATGAAACAGGCAGATATCGTGGGACTTCTTACGGTTGGAAGCGAGGCGGCTCCTAAAGCAGACGTGCTTAAGGTTGGAGACGCGGGCACCCAGCAACTCGTGGAAGTGAAGCAAAGGGGAGAGGAACATGGGTTGGCTGCGTTCTTCGAGAAGGAAAAGAAAGTGGACGATGTGCTTGACTCACAGGGACTCCCGCCTATGGCCCCGAACTTAAACCCGAAATCGAGGTATGAGCTCGGTTCTGAACATGGTTATCCGTCGAGGTAGGTGCGCTCTACGAATGACAATTGCTGTGATATGTAGCTAATATGGCACCAAGCTACCCATGCCGTACTTTCGTGTAATTTTCCATGTCAGAGTCAATTTGCTTTCCATCTTTTAGAGGCAAAAGTACATAATTATTTTATTTTATTTTATATTTTTTCATCGTTTATATTCCTGGCGTTTGGCCCATTCGCATCAGTTACAGGATACATCTATCTCCCTAGAGAGACCTGCTAGCATTGATGCCCACAGTATTCATCGAGCATCTGGGTATACCCGTTGAACAAAACCTTGAGGTTTCAAGGTTCCTCTTCCTTTTCCAATGGTGTGGGACCTACTTGTCCAACTCCACAAAACAAGTAGGTTAAAGAATATCGATATGATTTCATATGTATTTCATTTCTGAGGTCCTGGACTTGGTTCATATATTCCACCGCCTACAGGGTTAGACTACATTCCAAGGAAGAAGGGAACCGGAACCCAAGCTTTACAGAATATTATCAATCGAGAAGCACACTTGCTTCTGAGTTTAGCATAATAGGGTTGAGATTTCGTGCGCCCCTGCCCAAGGTATGAACTTCTGGGCTATGTAAAACCCCCAGGTTGTCGTATTACCATGCACAACGTATGGACTAATGACCACCACAACCTCCAGTTGCATTTGTGTTTGTTTCTTTATTACATTTCTGCGGGAGTATCTTTAGGTTAGACACAGCTTCCATGCCCTATACGATTGTGGAAATGCGGGGTAATATTATTCCCACTTGAAAAGTCTTTAGCCAGCGACACGCAGATTCATTCTCATTCTCCACAAAGACCCTTAATCCTTCTACCAATAGCAGCAACAAAAGTTAGCAAAAAGCGTCCCAATCCTGTCCCTCGACGTTGCCACATTTGAATTGCAGTTCTACGTATATCCAATGATTCTCCAGGGAATTTGGCTGTGGTGGATGTGTAGTAAGTACATTATCATATAGACAAAAATGAAGCCTTGAGCTGATTATTCCTGCTAGGTCTTTACTATTCCCAAGTTCAAATGGTGAAGAAGAATCCATTGAGTCAATCTCATATTCAAGGGAGCATTTCAACTATTGAAACGTTTTTTATCGTATTTTTTATTAAAAAAGGGGGAACCGTCCATAACTAACAGAACAAGTAGATACATAGATCAATTGACATGTTTGTTTTCGTTCATATGTACAGTACATACAAAAAACAATTAAACACATACCCATATATACATGGGTAAACATGGCGAATCACATAACATCGTACAAATTCGATATTCGCTTCCCCTTCCGTCCTTCGTCCCTAGTTTCCTAGCAATACTATTACAGCAAGAAGCGGCCGTCTTCGTGCCAATTATCCCTAATCAAAGGGGTTAGTTCTCGTTCCCCACCAGGTGAGGAACAAGCTCAATCCAACTGTCTCAAAGACTCTTGCCAATGCGCCAACTGCAATGGTATCCAATGGTCTTTTCTCCGTTACGACTTGCGAGACGAACTATAAAATCAACTCAAGTTAGTTGTCCACTTTTTTTAATCCTCCCCGAAGCCTTTACTCATCCTTGAACCAAAATAATCACCCAGCAAGTAAATCAGGTGGAAAGATACTTACCTCAGGAGCCGTACTCGCCATGAAAATCAAGGTTCCCAGATAGCCGGCTCCCTTAAAACTCATTGTGCCCGTCGCATTAAGCAGTGCTCCAACTCCGTAGCTCTGCAAGGCGCTGCCGACAATCGAGCTGGTCCATGCTGCGGCGGCAGAGGCGGCTTCTTTGGACTTAATAAATTCCTCTTTTGAGTTGGCAGCCTGAGCGCGATGGTAGGTGTCACCAAACAGTGGGGCGAGGACTGCTAGTGATACACCGTGGCTGAAAACCGTGCCCAACGCAATGGCAGACGGTTTGACAGCGGGAAAGTCTGGCGGTTAGAAGTGCATATTAGTGAAGGTCGTTCTGCCCGGGATTGGGCGGGTGCTGTTAACTGACGTACAGTGAAGAGTGGCCATTCTTTTTTGAATCAATATCGTACGTGATGGTCCCAGTGGTAATAGTACTCCTGATCAGAGAATGTTTTATTTCTATTTAGATTCTCAAGATATCAGCTTAAAGATATTTGAATATTTGAATATTAGACTGGAAGGCTGATGCTGAAGGTTGAGGGCAAAATAAGAAAGGGTGTTGGCAGGGGTCTTTGACTTGTATCAGGTTGGGAATGATGACCTCATTATGACACCCACAATGGCAAATCTCACACCATATGGAGGTTCCAAGGTTAATTATGTGAAATTACTGCCATAATAACTTTTAATTGCTATGCTCTTTAATGCAGAAATTTTGTCCATCATGGTTGAACGTACCAGGACTTCGCAGTTACGTCAAGTGTGAAAGTGGATAGATAAGCTTAAATTTCCAGGTTTGTATGCCACAAATGTCTAGACGGGATAATTAGGAATTATATATATATACATAATTATTATGAGCCAGGCTATTTTGCCAGGGACAATCATAACTATCATGCTTGGTGAGCTCATCAAATGGCACCTGGATTTGACATCATTTACGATCCCTCTGCTCCTTGAGGGTTCTTGACAGCAGCTGTGATAGCATAAAGTGGCTCACATCTTCATCAGCCCAGTAAGAAAGATGGCTAGCAATGCTAGCTATAAGAGATATATCAAATGCACCTCTATGTGATTGTGGTTAGATTAGCTTACGTTTTCTTCTCAAAAAAAAAAAGGAAATGAAAAGAAAAAGAAAAAGAAACGGCAGAATGTTACCCGAATACACGGCACGTAGGTTTGTAAAACATACTCTTGTATACTATAATCAACCCGACCATTAGAATTCAAAGCGCGGACTTTTTCCTCCTCATGCCTTATATTGCGCGCGCGATTTTCAAGCCCGATTGAGGATTCGGATTCAATAGCTATGTCGATCGACGAGTTCCTAGTTTTCTGGAACCCGTCATAGAGCGTTTCTATATTCGCATCGATGAGAGTCGGGTATTTCTGGGATGGACTTGGCTCGTTGACCACCGCTCCCATGTCAACCGCCTGTGATTGATCGCTATCTAACTTAGTGCCTGAACCAGTTATTTTTTGCCGTTCTCCAACAGCTGGTCGTGGTTGCATTGACGCTTCACTCAGGCCCAAGCTGCGGTTCAGAAAGCTGCTTGCAACCCCGGAAGCAAAGTGAGTCCAAAGGGAGCCGACACTCTGGCCCACCCGGGTACTGATATTAGTGAGGCTCTGACCTGACGTGCTCCATATTGTGCGTTTGACGTATGGTAAGGGCTGAGGTTTCAGTGCAGTCATGGCTGGGGATATCAAGGGTTCAATGCGGTAACTGATAGGGTCGGACGGATGGAAAATATTGAATAGCTGCCCACACTTAGGTGACGAGACTGAAGTTAAGAAACCAGGGGGTTGGGTCGAGTCCATTATCTTCAAGTCCTTTCCGACAATTCTTTTCCCTTTCAGCATCTGGAAAAGCCCAATCGGAGATCCAAGGCAAAAGAAATCAGCACATTCGAAATCCAAGGGAAAGGCTTCTGATTTCGGAGCTTCAACTCCTCTACTTTTAGAACTTGAGGAACTCCAATTAGTGGACTTGACCTGTCCTGGAGTCCTTGGTTGGTGGCAGAGGATATCAAAAAGTATGGCGCTACCCAGGGAATGACCGCAAAAGCTAACGGAACCTTTAAACCTCGGGTTGCGGACTTTGAAAAGCTTGTATATGCGATTGCACTCCCTTTGCACGATACCCGCAATATGCTCCCGGTAGGCACTCTGGTAAAGCAAAACATCCATAGCTAGATCGGTAATCAGATTTCGGACAGCAGGGACCCCTTCTAGTGTAATATCTTTCAAACTTGGATAGTGCGCATCCTCAACTGCCATTTTATCAGCGTCAGCAAGGTCAAGCTCTTTTCGATGCTGCTTGAGTCCTTGTTGTGGGAAGTCAAGTAAATGTCTCCAGCATACGGGAAGGACCTGGACACGACAGTTCTTGAGCTCGGAGTCAACGTGCGAGTTAAGAACCTGCAAATCTGGTGATGCGGCGTATACACTTTTCATGGTCTTCCTGAGGACATTGACGTCGTGCACGAAATTAATACTATCCAACCGCAATCCCAACCGTTGGCCAATCCCGTGTGTGACAAGAATCAGATGATCAATCTCTCTATCAGCCTCTTCACCGTCGACTTCCCCTGAATCTTCCATCTCTTTCTCCTCTTGTTTTCGGGCTTGTTCTTCGAGTTCCGCTAGTTGGTCATCATCCTGTGGTTCTCCAGTCAAAGATGAAATCTGACGCTCAAACGGATTTCTCTGGCGCTCAAAGGAGGTAAGGGGCGGCTCCTGGCTTTTATCATTTGAGGGAAATGGTGAAGACACAGAGCCAGCCGGAGCTGATCGCCTTTTAATGGATTTATTAGGGTCTTTGGGGACCGGCTCGGTCGATTTTCCGTCTGCGGGTTCTTTAGCTTTCTTGCTTTCCGAATATCCACGAACGACCTTTGTCCCTGCGGCTGCACCAAGCCGCTGATATACGGTATTGCTCATCCTTGACACAAAATCATCAGACATAAGCCAGGCCGTACACGCATCCTGGTATGTGACCCTATTGTTCATGTAGGAGCCGAAAAGGCGATATGACTCATTCACAGCACTGGATGGAGATAAAGGCACCCACACCGTTTCATTGGCTGGGCTCTCTTTGCTGTCTAGGTCCACGTTGGAGATCGATGGCCCCCTGCTTCTGGCATCATAGGAATGTACCGACACGTCGCTTGCTTGCGGGCTGTTTGGTGAGCCCTTGCATTGGAAATTCCATGGTCTCACTTTCAGATAACCCTCTTCCAACTGAGTTGCAAGATTTTCTTCACATGGACGAAGATTTGAGCCTTCTTGAAAGAACCAAGAACCACGCCTAACCTCGTAAATCGGGCCCAGCCAATAAGCAGGGCCAAGTTCCCTTTTCTGAATGTCGACATCGAATAGATAATCTTCATTGACAGGAACTTTGACCGTTTTGGAAGTGTCCTTTAGCTTGGATGATTCCGCAGCATCTTCTCGGTCCGCAAGATCCCGAAAGGCAGCTTCGATAGACTGGGAATCGCGAATCGAAAATGGAACGAATTTCTTAGGCGCTCCCTGAGGTTTGGGAGCAACATCCTCCTTTTCCCAGAACGATGGCTTCGATTTTGGGACATCAACCGCGTAGAACCACCTAATTTTTAGAGGGGGGCAACTTTCGGATAACGAGCTGGGCTGATGCGGTGGACATGGGATACGGTGTGGTCACGCCCTTGTGAGCGTTGTAAACCTGGTCTTGGATTCTCACCATCGGAGTGGGGTGTCCCGCTTCGTGATGCATTCCGCGAGGAGGTAGCGGGGAAACAATTCGCCCTCTGGTCAGGATTAGGCATCTGCCCACAACGACCCCAGATACTTACCCGCAGCGGAGATAACCTAACAGGGCAGAGTGGAAACGAACGAAGAAGGAGTATGCAAGAGGAGTTTGCAGGTTTGGAGAAGCGCATGGACCTCTGAAATCAGATATCTTCTAGAAGACAATAGAAAGCCGAGACGCAAACGAGGGGTATGATACGATACAATAACCAGCTAGCTGGTGTATACGGAACCCAGGTCCTTTATGAGAAATCAACTGCCTCCAGCTTGCACCACGCGCCGTCTGCAAAGCTCGTGTACCTGGCGTTGTGAGCTGGACCCAATGACGTAGGTAGGGGGCTTGTCGTATGGCAGCCGTAAAATACAGCGATATCACAGGAATGCTGCTGCCTAGTGTGGTATTAGAGGATACAAAGTTTATCTTACGCCGCTTCAGCCTCATCCCACCTCCTTCGCAACATCAACCGCCGCAGATACTCATCATATATTGTGCAAACTATCGCTGTGTGCTTCCAATTTCCACGGGTGAAACCCACGCTTCTCCATCTATAACTAGCTCTCCGTAAATCGTTGTTCTTTAACTGTTGAGTCGCTAGACTCACATTTTATTCATCCATCTACCCCGCCAACCCAAGTTCCCTACCTGCAAAGAAAATCGCCTCACTCAACCGTCGCGATGAACGTCATCAAACTCCAAAAGTATGATATACCAGAATTGGCGTAAACTGAACGGACATCCAAGATGCTAATAATTATTCTTTTTTTAAACCTACCAATTTCAGAAAATACCCCCAGTTCCAGCAGAGCGAAATTTTTTCACTCCAAGATGCTTTCCGACGCCTAGACGTCGATGACAAGGGCTATCTTGATGAGGCTACGGCGATCAAAGCAACTCAGCAGTCGGAAAGGCAACCATACGATGTTGTTCGCCAGGCCTTGAAGCAAGTCGAGCTGGACAGCTCGAGGCGTGTTGAGCTCGAGGACTATGTTGACGTAACTCCTCCAAACCAACATCTTCCCTCCTCCTTGGTATACATATTGCAGAGGCACTAACGTTTACGTTACTTTGTGCTTTGCAGCTCGTAGCTAGACTCCGCGACACTTCGTTCGCGCCATCCCAGCGTTCTTCTGGGCCAGTACCAACCTCCGCAGCTCCAACCGGTGCGCGGCATGTTTCCAAAGGCAGCATCGGCGGGAAGATTCACGTTCAAGGCTCCTCTGCGAATGTTACCCACACCATCAACGAAGATGAACGGACAGAGTTTACGCGACATATCAACGCGGTCCTTGCCGGCGACCCCGATATTGGACACCTCCTTCCTTTCCCAACTGACACTTTCGAGATGTTTGACGAATGTAAAGACGGTCTGGTACTCGCCAAGTTGATCAATGATAGCGTTCCTGATACCATTGATGAACGAGTTTTAAACCGCCCAGGAAAGAAAATAAAGCAATTAAATGCATTCCATATGACGGAAAACAACAATGTTGTCATTAATTCCGCTAAGGGCATTGGCTGCTCAGTTGTCAACATTGGTAGCGGTGATATCATCGAAGTTCGAGAGCACCTCATATTGGGTTTGATCTGGCAGATTATTCGCAGAGGCCTTCTCGGGAAAATCGATATTAAACTACACCCCGAACTCTACAGGCTTTTGGAAGAAGATGAGACCCTGGAACAGTTTCTTCGGCTTCCACCAGAACAAATTTTGTTGCGATGGTTCAACTACCATCTGAAGAACGCCAAATGGGACAGGAGGTATGTACCTGTGTACCTGTTAGCAATGGGTTTACTTTCTATGACGCCGCTGATACCAGACCGAAATAATCCAGAGTCAACAACTTCTCGAACGACGTCAAAGATGGAGAAAATTATACAGTCCTTCTCAACCAACTAGCTCCAGACATCTGTTCCCGCAGCCCTCTCCAAACTCGCGATTTACTCCAGCGGGCAAACGAGGTCTTGGAAAACGCAGACTTGCTTGAATGCCGCAAGTTTTTGACCCCAACATCTCTAGTAGCAGGCAACCCTAAACTTAACCTTGCCTTCGTGGCCAACCTGTTCAACACACATCCAGGCCTAGATCCTATTACAGAGGAAGAAAAACTTGAAGTCGAAGACTTTGATGCCGAGGGTGAACGCGAGGCCCGTGTTTTCACTCTTTGGCTGAATTCTCTGGATGTCCAGCCAGCTGTCAACTCGTTATTTGACGATCTTCGCGATGGAACAATCCTCCTGCAAGCTTACGATAAAGTTATCCCTGGAAGTGTTAACTGGAGGCACGTTAACAAACCCCCTACTTCTGGCGGCGAGCTCATGCGATTTAAGGCTGTGGAGAATACAAACTATGTCATTGAGCTAGGAAAACAAAACCACTTTTCCCTTGTTGGCATCCAGGGAGCCGATATTACTGACGGGCAGCGGACTCTGACTCTCGGGCTTGTATGGCAGCTCATGCGCAAAGATATCACCAATACATTATCCTCGCTTGCGCAGAGAATGGGTAAGCGTGAGATCACGGACAACGAAATGATCAAATGGGCAAACGACATGTCACGTGCAGGGGGCAGGAGTTCTGCCATCCGCAGTTTCAAGGACCAATCAATTGGAACTGGCATTTTCTTACTTGACGTACTCAACGGAATGAAGAGCAACTATGTGGACTATGACCTGGTTACCTCTGGACGCACAGATGAAGATGCGTACGCAAACGCGAAATTGAGTATCAGTATCGCACGGAAGATGGGCGCGACCATCTGGCTCGTCCCTGAAGATATATGCCAAGTTCGCTCACGACTCGTTACCACTTTTATTGGTAAGTCTACACTCCTCCCCCTTCGATTTTCTCGTGTCAGATTATGCTGTCCCTACCTAGCCACGCATATTCCACGCTGTCTTGCTATTGCTAATATAACTTTTCGCCCCCAATTAACAGGTTCTTTGATGGCTACGTATGAGAAGATGTAAAAAGTAGTTTCTGCATTTATGAAGGAAAATGTTTCAAGCGTCTACTATGGAATGAATCTGCATGACTGGCTAGATACTACATTCCTGGGATCGCACACATCTCCTTTTACCTTTTCCTCATCATTCATTCCTCCTTCGCCTTCGTCGACATTATCCTTCTTTTGTTTTCTTCGGTTTATTTGCTATTTAAATGTAACCATATCTTTATTCCCGATTCGTCTATTGGTTAATTGGTTCGGAACCCGCAGCCTTGACAGCTGACTACCGGTGTTGGTAGGCAGCTTACCAGCTCATAGGCTCATAGGCTCATTTCAAGTTTAGACACTAATAGTAACTCTCCAAAAGTAAAGAAATGGTATCAACATCGTTATCAATGCTTCATTTTCCGCGCAGTCTACATACTAAACATCACTATTTGAAGACCGAAAGGTGTATCAAGGTAAATAAATTACGGGGAGAAAGCTACGTGGTTTAGGTTGGAAATATGTAGGTGAAACCCTTATCCTGCTCTCCAGGCGGAGATCCATATGAAGAAATGGAACGAACTCTTCTTTCAAAATAATGGAGCTATCTGCAAACTAAGTCAATAAGGGTAGACAGCTTGCCAGCCGGCTCTCCAGACCAGAAAGCTGCAAGGGGGAAATAATTACGAAAACAAAGCGCTGAACTTTTGCAAATTGTGCAGGCTTTCGAGAGACCGGACTGGTAGGTTTGTTGACTTCGCTGGAAGAATGTATCCACATCAACATCTAAGCTACCCGGCCGGCAGGAATTACAATTTTTGTGACAGCAGAAGTGAAGGGAAGCAAGGAACAAAACAGAAGGCAGAATATGGTGCAAAACTTTTTTTGGGTTTTTAGAACGAAGAACAAGAAAAGAAACTGAGCAATAGTAAAGCGGGGGTTCGGGAGGAAATTATTGGATATATTGTAAGGAAATACCGATCATGGAAACAGTATGTGGCTTCGCGTGAGATAACTACAATGATGTTGTTTTCCAGCCATCGTATAGTTACCAGTTCCGAGTACGAAAGTGGGAGTTTACTGCAGATCATATTACCGCCATCGTTTTTTGTTAAAAAAGGTGCGCGCAATGTTATTTGATCAAAGGATGCAAAACTCGATTTCACTCAGCAGTATCCAGCTCATCATGAGCTGGGGTTGGAGAATCCAGTGGTACTAAAGAACGCGGTTAGCAAGGGAAGCTTATCATGTTCAGTTAGTTGTATTTGAAAGATAAACACTAAGGTCCTACCTTTCCTGTCATCGTTATTCGTTCCATTCTCGCGATCGTCATCACGTCTGTCACGATCATCCTTCATGTCCCGGTCCCGGTCCCGCTCACGGTCTCGGACACTAGGACTTCGAGAGCGGTCGCGGTCACGTCTATCGTAGTCACGGTCGCGGCGGTCATCTTTGCGGGGAGAGAAGTCTCCTCGACCTCGTCGAGGTGATGGAGAGCGGGGACGGCGAGGGGGGGTACGGTCCCGGCGACGGTCCCGACCGGAATCAAAGCGCCAGGACGCAGATGGAGGAGTACGTGCCCACTAACAGCTGTTAGCTAAAGAGGTATAAGGTATTGACAAGCAGAGATTACTGACCTCGATTTTTAGAAGGTCATCCCTGCCGATACGTTTGTTGTGCATTTCATGATATGCGTCATCAGCATCGCGACGGCTCTCATACTCAACAAACGCAAAGCTATACATGGTGTTGTGTCAGTCAAATAGTATCAACAATTACACGTCAAAGAGCCGAAAAAACTTACAGGCGACTGGAAGCCGTACGGGGGGCCGGAATATCGCAGCGAACAAGCCGACCATATCTTCGGTAAACAGGTTAGCGCGATTTGCATCATAACATGCTTGACCTATGTTATTGAGAGCAGAGAAAAGTTGAGGAAAATGGATGAAAGAAAAGGTCAAAGCATCAAAGAAATATGATTTTTCGAAGACTCAGGAGGATCCACCCAAGGATCATCATTATTTTTTATGGTGGACAATTATTCAGGAAGAAAAGCGCCGGTAAGGCCGTACGGTCGGGCGCAGGGTGAAAGGGGGGAGGAGGGAGCATAAGTATCGGTATCACGATTTTTCCGAGTCAAGACGAACGAAGGAGGACCGTCCGCAGGGTATCGGCAAGGGAGGATCGACGAATGGGACATACCGTTCGAATTCGTAGGCTAGTTCTCGAGCTCGAGTACCGTGGCCGAAACCAGTGACATAGAGAGTAGTGCCGCCACGAGACATGGTGAAGGAGTGTTGAATGACAGGAGCAGGAGGGATGGATAGACAATATAAGATACCAAACAGAGAGCGGAATGAAAAGCCCCAGCTTGAAGAGGGACGGTAACAGAGATGATGGGGATGGGAAGAAAGGATGGAAGAGGGTGGAGGAGAAGGAAGAGAGATGGATGGTGGATGAGGTTGGAGATGGAGATAGCAAGAAGAAGGGAGAAGAAAAAATATGTTGAGCTGGGCAGAACAAGAACTGGTCGGTAATACACGCGAATTACAATGATACAATGATACGCTGGCGAGGAAGCTTTGGCAAGCAACACTGCGGTATTACCGATAAGAATATCATTACCGGCTGTATTATGATATTACGGTCAATACTTGGCCCATCGTATCAACTTGTTGGCGAGGTATTGTATGGCTTTCTTGACTTCAACAGCTATAATGATAATAGCTAATCATGGCAATATCGTGAACAGCCTCTCCTGTGCATCTACGGCACACTCGAATTTGATATTTCAGGAAACCAACCTTGGAACCTTGAACCTTGGAAAGGCACGCTTTGGGAGCGGTTTACAATCACGTCACATGATATAGGAAGCAACAAGCGCGAAAAAAAATGGAACAAGATTTCCCGAAAAGAAAACCAACACCAAACTCGAAGCCAACGCAAAATTGGGACGCTGGAGCGCTTTGGAATTTGTTTATTGCCGCTACGCTCATTAGTTAAATGCACCACCATCTGCCAGGCAATATCGTCACGGCTTCTTGTTGCAATTGGTATCATTGTCCTAGTGCGATCTCCAAACCTGATCAGTTGACGTATCCTTCGCTCAGCCTTAGTCTCTGCCTCAGCCGTTTGACAGGTTGATAAGGAATTAGGCGCGTGTGAGAAGGAGAAAACATACCCTTTGCAAAATAGACATCCGATCTCTCACCCTTCGCCTCGGACTATCGCTTTTAATACCGAGACTGCCTCACGGCTGTACGCTTTTCCATGGACTGCGCAGTGTCAAGACTTTTGTTGCCAGAAGACTGCCTTTCAGACCAGTAGCACATATCTGCAGAGCGTTGTATTTTTCTTTTGATCCCCACCTGATGAAAGAGCTTTCCCAAGATACTCACACGAAGCGATTTACTCGTCCAACGTGTTTTGGCTAGTTTGCGAGATTGGGGACTCAACCCTTACGTGGGAGTTAGGGTTCGTGAAACGGGTTCCTCACCATGAGCCTCGGTCCTAGAGATGCGGCTCGAAATGAAACTTCGGAAAAGGAGATGACACCTTTATCATCTGGCAAATCCGAGTCGCATATAAAGGTATGAAAATGAATTACCGTATCGCTCCCTTTTTGAATCTCATACCTCTCAGCACCTGTAAGCTCCCCAAGGGTACTTCTCTAATGAATTCGATCAGGACCCTCTCCCACAACCGCCTACGCCTGTCGTTAGACAGATTAGGGACAGATTATCGGAACCCGTGACGGCTGCCTTCATTGCGGGTGGGGTTGCTGGTGCGGTATCGCGAACAATAGTCTCCCCCCTCGAGCGATTGAAGATTTTGCTTCAAATCCAGAGCGTTGGCCGAACGGAATACAAATTGTCAATATGGAAAGCATTGGTGAAAATAGGCAAAGAAGAAGGGTGGAAAGGCTACATGCGTGGCAACGGGACAAATTGCATACGAATCGTGCCTTATTCTGCTGTACAATTTGGAAGCTATAGCTTTTATAGAAGGGTAAGCCTACGTCCATTTATTTCTCTTCCGTCTAATATTTACTCTCCCTTTTCTTGCTTAATTTCATTTTTAATAAATTTAATGCCATCTTGATCGCTACTACTTCACGCTATCGGATTCTCCAACCCGTGTTGCGATATTTACTGTTTATTTGCTAACAAAGACCTCAGCTCTTTGAGCCGGCCCCTGGGGCCGAACTTACTCCTCTTCGTCGCTTAATATGTGGAGGTATCGCGGGTATCACGTCTGTCACATTTACTTATCCGTTAGATATCGTAAGGACACGACTTTCGATCCAGTCAGCGTCGTTTAGGGAATTGCGGAAAGGACAAGAAAAGCAGTTGCCTGGAATATTCCAAACAATGCGGTTGATGTACAAGACTGAAGGCGGCTTCCTTGCGCTGTACCGCGGAATAATCCCCACTATTGCCGGAGTTGCCCCTTATGTAAGTGTTGAATCACTAAAACGGACCCCATTATCCCAATGACAAACTCTAAACGCATTTAAAAGGTTGGATTGAATTTTATGACTTATGAGTCAGTACGAAAGTACCTTACGCCTGATGGAGACCTCAACCCTAGTCCTTACCGCAAGTTGTTGGCCGGCGCAATATCAGGAGCTGTTGCACAAACATGCACATATCCATTGTAAGACGGGGTTTCCTTTACTTTCTTGATTGCTGTCTAACTAGTCGCTGTAGTGATGTCCTTCGAAGAAGGTTCCAGGTCAACACCATGTCGGGTTTGGGGTACCAGTACACCTCAGTATGGGATGCAGTGAAGGTTATCGTGAAGCAAGAAGGAGTTAGAGGTTTATATAAAGGAATTGTTCCGAACTTACTCAAAGTGGCCCCAAGCATGGCGAGCAGTTGGCTCAGCTATGAACTAACGCGTGATTTTTTGGTCGGCCTTGGTGATGATGAATAGATATTATATGACCCAAAACCAAATTGGCAACCTGTCCCCGACATACGCTCCCGTGTTGTGATAAATTTCAGCCAATTCCTATTCGCATTCTGCGCCATGACCGTGTCAAAGAGTCCTTATCCTGCCATCTCGTTCCATACATACTAGACATTTTCTCTTTGGCGGTTAACTGTGTTTCACCTATCTGTCTCTTTTTTCATTTCGCTTTCTATTTTCACATCTGTTCCCTGAATTTCCCTATACTTCTCGCATTTGACCAGCCGAAAAATTGCTAGAGGTCGAACAAGTTGACATCGTTTTAGAGGGGGAAAACCGAATATTGTTCTTGAATCTAAATTCTATAGACTAGCTGTTCGGCGCAGAATGTTGTAAATACATCAGTGTATAGATATTGAGGTATATACCCAGATCATCAATCTGCTGGACGACTCACCTCATCTCCACCTGCTCTCTGGCTGTATCTTCTGCCGAAGTTTGCAGTCGCACTACTTTCCATTTACAGACTAGCGAGGTATGGGTAAAGCTAGGAACGCGGCTCCAATCTGTCCCAAACGAGCTAGCGTAGGGTTACGCCCGCACACTCCCTCTAACTGCTCCAAAATCTTGTCAAGCAACACATCTGACTACCTTAGAATCTCGCATCGGTTCAAAAGTCAGCTTTCGACAACGGTATCCATTTCCATCAGCAGCCATGGGTAAGTTACTTGGAACGAATATTATACTGAATTTGTTTTGAAGGTTTTGCTCTATTTAGACCTGACTTGCGGCTGCTGTGGAGTACTGACACAAATCTCTTCTCAATCGTGGCAGGTATCGATTTGGACCGTCACCATGTTCGGGGCTCCCACCGCAAAGCGCCTAAGAGCGAGAATGTCTACCTCCTACTTCTCGTGAAGCTTTACCGCTTCCTTGCCCGTAAGCTAAAATCCCCGCGAAGCCTTTCGAAGAATTAGGCCGAAAGAGGGCACACCACAAAAAATAGAGATCTGAAAACCAAATAACGAACAGGTCGTACCGACTCGAACTTCAACAAAGTCATCCTACGCCGTCTCTTTATGTCACGCGTCAATCGTCCCCCCGTTTCTCTATCTCGAATCGTAGCCGCCGTAGGGACCAAGGAGACCGCTGAAGCAAACAAGGGAAAGACTATTGTTGTTGTTGGTACCATTACTGATGACAATCGCCTCCTCAACGTCCCAAAGATGTCGGTCGCAGCTCTCCGATTTACTGCCACCGCAAGGGCCAGAATTGAAAAAGCTGGCGGTGAGACCTTGACTCTAGACCAACTCGCGCTCAGAGCCCCAACTGGCGCCAATACTTTGCTGCTACGAGGTCCCAAAAATGCCAGGGAGTCTTTCAAACATTTCGGATTCGGTCCACATAGTGGAAAGGTTAGATGCTTTCCAATAGATACGCATATTCATCTCACCTGGATATTCAGTTTTTACTAACCCGCTGCTTTTTGTCTGTAGAAACCAAGAGTCCAAAGTAAAGGTCGAAAATTCGAACGAGCTCGTGGTCGGAGACGGTCGCGAGGCTTCAAGGTTTAAGGTGTTTATTTTTCTATGGTTCTTATTTGGGTTCAGCAAAATATTTGAGGCGGGCTTGCGAAGTTGGCCATTGTAGGTTTCTAGTCAAATTGAACGAGCCCATAATGAGTTATGTTTGACAACTTTACCTCCCCGGAGTTCCTGAACCTTTTCTTTATTTATTTCGTCGAATTTCACCGAGTTTTTTTCCCACCCTCATTGAAAGGGAAGGGAGAAGCGAAACAACAGTAACAAGGGTTTCCTACAAAGTGAGTATAGGGTAGTAGTCTCAGCCTGCAATCCACCATACAAGGGTGTAACCTACGGGATAACACTGTTAAAATTCCAAGACTTGGGATGGAATAAAAGTTGGGGGGAGCGGAGAAGCCGCTCCCTCCCCCGGCAAATTATATACGTCATTACTTTTTCTTTCTGGGGGAATATCGATCATATGCGCTCCGCGGCAGACATTCCCCAGGAAACTATATACTTAACTGCCGATGTTTCCAGCTTTTCCCACCCTCACCTTCAAAATAATCACCAGCAGCCTGACCGTTACCCCTAATTAAATACTTGTAGATAGTCAAACCCTCCAAGCCTACTGGTCCCCTCGAATGAATCTTGTTCGTACTAATCCCAACTTCTGTCCCAAACCCGTATCGCATTCCGTCAGCTAATCGAGTGCTCGCGTTCCAATAAACACCAGCGCTATCGACACCAGCCAGGAAACGTTCCGCAGTAGTCTTTGAGGAAGTTAAAATGGCATCTGTGTGTTTCGAGGAATGTGCATTTATATGGGCAATGGCGGCGTCAACAGAGGTCTCCGTGGATGAAGGCGTGACCGTTTTGATGGCGAGAGTGAGGTCTAAAAACTCAGTGTTGTAATCAGTCTCGGTTGCGTCTTGCAGTCGTGCAGATTGGGCCGCTGTGAGCTTTTCCTGGAGAGCTTGTTTCGATAAAGCATCACAACGAAGGCTGACACCTTTTGAGAGCAGGGCCTCCGCAATGGCTGGTAGCTGAACGGACAGGGCATCGCGGTCCACCAATAGTGTCTCCGCGGCGTTACACGCGGCGGGATAGCCGGTTTTGGCATCAATGATAATTTTCTTCGCCATTGACAAGTCGGCATCCGAGTGAAGATATATCGAGCAGATGCCATCCGCATGGCCGAGGACGGGGATTTTAGTGTTATCCTTCACGTGGCGGACGAGGTCGTTAGATCCGCGGGGAATGACGAGATCGATATGTTTATCCTGCGCAAGGAGGGGGAGGATTGCATCTCTTGTTTTCACAAGCTGGATAGAAGCGTTTGGAACTTGTGACAGGGATATTGCTTCTGCAAGGACATTGGAGATGGTCACGAAGGATTCCGTCGATTCCTTGCCCCCTTCAATCGAATTTGTTATCAGCTCTCTGCAATGGCTACATGACGGTTAAATGGATTGATTAGTAGTAGTACCTTTTAAGATAGCTGCGTTTCCGGACTTAATTGATAGGGCTGCGATGTTCACAATCACTTCTGGGCGCGCCTCAAATATTATAAGCAATACACCTATGGGACATGTCATTCTTTCGAGAATAAGATCATCGTCCAAGAGTGTGCGGAGAGTAACCTTCCCAACTAATCAATGCGTTAGCATGGTTTAGAGGACACTAGATCGATATAATGCGAGGCATCGGATTAAAGGCAGCAGCAAAGGTTAGAAAAGAAAATAAGGCTTAACTGAGGTCGACTTACCGGGGTCTTCCAGCTCTCGCACATCCAGAATGCCTTTCAACATGTCTTCATATTTCCCGGGCTTTGCCAGATCCAATCTCTTAATGAGGCTCATGCTCAATTCGCCTTTCTCCGCTGCTCTAGTAGCCGCTTTGACATCTCTCGCATTTGCTTCGAGGATCGCATATTTTTGCTTTGACAGCGCGGCATACATCAAGTCCAAAGCCTCATTACGAGCAAAACCAGACAGCGTAGCAAGGTGTCGAGAGGATTCGGCAGCAACTCTTGCCACCTCCTCAGGCGAATACTCCGTGAGTGACATTGTTGTATCAATGATAAATATAAACACTATGGTGCTGATGCGGAGCAAAATGCAATTGAGCGCGGGGTAAAATCGTTCCAATATTTATTCTTTCCTGCGAAATCGGCGCTTGGCCACCAGCCCGAGAAGATTCAACCAAGCATTTTCCGGCTTCTGAGTTTACACCAAGGGTCCCCTATCATAAAACATATAATCCTCGGTTTTCGATGTTTCAAAGATAGTCTTTCAAATCCATAACCAAACAGAAGAAGCAAAATACCAGTTCGGAATTCCTCTTTCATTTAAATCAGACATCCATGTCTGGGTTGTACGTTGCCATTGGCCTGATAGCGCTTTTTGAATGACTTAAACCGAAATGCTGTTCATGAAGCCCCGCCTCATGGAACCTCCCCAGAGTGTGTTATTTAAGGGCAGATGCAAATCTACAGCCTAGCATCACTGGGAGAATATCATATCTCAAGTTACGCCATCGCATATGCCCTACTATTTACGGCTTGGGACGTTCTAGATATCACATCCCATGCATTAAATGCCCTACAGCAGACACACCGCCAAATCAAACAAGCTCTTTGTACAATTTTATCTGAGTATCAAAAGGTTCCTGCAAACGTCCACCTGGTAGTTGAAAAGACCGTTTTCCCGGCTTCTGCTTCATTAGAGCCAACAAGGGATCAATGTTCCTTGGGGGCATCGTACCCACCAGGCTGTCAACTTCCTCGTGGAGTCAATCCTTGAAAATCTCATGTTCCATAGGCTAGAGAGCATAAATAAATGTTTCCAGTTGTTCTGAGAACATATAAAGACCTGGGGAGAACGGGCTGTGAGCATGGAGAGCGAAGCAAGACGAGGCATCCTAATTCATATTAATGTACTGTACATTGCCGGTCTTCTGCTAAATGGGAGTCTAGATAATTTGAATTGCAATATCTATCAAAAGATAGCCAGAAAAATAGCGAGATCTTGGTCAAAATTAGTTACTGTCGTGAACACGGCAAAAACTTTATTATCATTCAAAGGGTAAATTTGAAGAAGGGGGGGAAGTATCTGGGGATCCCACCAACGCTGCTCAAGCCTTCCCAGACAAGCTCTGCGGGATCCTAGTTGGGAAAGAATCTAGAGAGGTGAAAACAAGAAGTCAATGCTTACGTCTTCACTCTGAAATATTCCTCGAATGTAGACATTACGACGCGGGGCTCTTGAACTGGAGGAGGGGCACAATAATTGGCGGCGGGAGTAGTATTGCGCGAGCAACTTCTGATAGTTTAAGGTAACGCAATAATCCCAAGTGGTTGCTGTTGAGCCTTCACTTTCTGCAGTTTTTGCAGGAGTCAGGTCAATCTCCTCTACAGGAACAAACCAACACTCCTTCAGGCCGATGGCGAATCTGTTTCTATTATACAAGACGAAAACAGCAGAGTTCCCACAGAGGGCGTCGTGAATTCCAATGAGAGGGGAAGAAAATATAGAATCCATTGAGAAGACCAACAACGGTACAAAACGCGATGCAGAAGTATGCGCCAGGTTTACCGCAAATTGAGACGTACGGCATTGTTTTATGGTCGATGCCCTGACATACCAGTGACGTGTGGAACCGACGATACGAAAGCAGGCACAAAATCCAAGAGGAATAGGCGGCTATATTGATCATATTAACAAACCAATTGAACACCATGCCTGCACTAAAGCTGGTGCTCAGGTACGCCAATAGCGTAATGGAGAGCAGCTCGTCAAGCGAAGTAAGAGACATGCAGCGATTCAATATTTGTGGCGAATATCCTGCCACGGCCAGAGAATAGATGGAGCCAGAAGCCAAGTGCATGAAATGCTACCAGAGGACTACGCGGCGCACAAGATAACAGTATCCACGATGTGGTCAAGCACCTGGATGCCTGCATGCTTGATTCCAACAACAAAAGGAGAAGCTCCGGCGCCAGCGCCGCCAGAGCCGCCAGATGTGAGTTCGGGTATGTTGGACGGGTAGGGTAAAGTAACCGCTAGGATACGAAGTAAAGAGAACAGGATGAGATGAACTATGAATGTTTTGGCGGCCACGGGTAGCGTCCTTCGATGGTTCCTTGTTTTGTCGCTGGTGGATCCCGGAACTGAATAATGAGGTTCGCCATATTCACCTCAAAGGGAAAAAGAAGTGCATATGCATACCAGTAATTCCAAAGCAATACAAAACCAACCGATTTCGGGAGAAAATCTGTCAAGTAGAATTCCGGAGACGCCCCACGAGAAAGGATATATGCTGCGATTTTGAGCAGCAGCATGAAAAACAAGGTCCAAACAACGGAACAGATAGCGATGGATGTAGCTAGAGTCATCGTCAGACCTCCTCTGGCCAAGGTTCGTCCAGGGCCCACCAAATAGGCCGTGACAATGCACCCCTGGACGATATTTGTCACATCGTTGAGCGATTTATTTGAGGGTTTGAATAATAAAGACTTGCTGTTTACCTCAAATGAAATCATGTAAAGATCCTTCGCCTTAAGCCAGACCGAATCCCTTTTCGTTGGCGGCATCTCCGTGCCATTTTCAACCATTCACGTTCCATCGAAATCCCCAATCTCTCTCACTAGTAGGTTTTTTTTTTTTTGTTTGGGGGGGGGGGGGGGGGGGAAGGGGTTGTTGGGGTTCCATAAGACGTTGCACCCTTTGGAGACGCATCAGCGACATGTCTCTCTAACTTCTCAATCCCTTGAGGGGCTGTGATAGCTCCAATCGTGGTAGAAGAGCAGAGCCATGACCCACGCGAGGCTTCTGCGTAGCCTTGAGCAGCTTCTGCGCAAATTTGTGCGGGCGGGCGAACAAGTCTGTCCAGCGGTGCGCCACTTGAGCAACCATGAGTGCGACTACTGCTTGATCAGAATCCGAGAATCTGCATCACTGAATGGACAATTACCACCAAGCTCAATTGTCATCGTTTCCAAACCATCAGAGCAATGGCGAGCCACGATTCCGTCCACAGCAGTATTTCCAATGAAGGCTACCTTACGCACGTTAGGATACTTACAATAAGCCTCACTGACTGAAGGTGTATTTATTGTCGATCGTTATGATGTTCAGAATACCAGATGGTAGGCAATTGGTGAGGCATGATGATGTCTGAACAATGCTCTATCTTGCAAAATGCAGACTGCTTATGATTTCATGCTCGGAATTCCTCTCTACCCTTGGCAGTCCCCAAAAGTGTGTTTGGAGGGAACCATCAAGGTGCCAAGATCGATTATTGCCTGCCCGTTACGGTGCAAAAGCGGGTGATCAGTCGCTTCTCTTGGCGTTTGCCGTGAGAGCAGCGATTTACATCTCTGCATATCCAGTGGCAGAGAGCAGGATGACTGACACTCCTTGTCGATGTTGAGCCATCCTTTTTAAAGGCGGTCCGGAATACGCTCCTGATCTCCAGAAATTTTCTCTCGTGCAAGTTTGGAGACCGATGACACCCAACTCGAGGATACCATTACCGGCCAGTCATGGTCGCTCTCCGAAATTTAAACCTTTGGAGGTTAGGTCTATTCCTAGACGACATCTATTCATTTGTCATGGCGCTGGATTTTGATTTTGATTTTGATTTTATTTTTTGTTGGCAATTTGCTCAGTGCCTTGAAGGCTAGGAATTAACCTTGGCTTCGATTTCAATTGTTGAAAGTAAAGAAACATTTAAAAGCTGCAGGCTTTCATTTTTGGATTCTCTTCTCGCCTGCTCATCTAGTATCTATTATATTTTACACTCTTGAGTAGCGAACTCGTTCGGATATCCCCATTCGTCTGCAACAATGGCTGTCGCTACTCACCATCCCTTTGACCCTCTTACCCCCGAGGAAATTTCCAGAGTGCGTCAGCCCTTGTGTTTCTTTCATATTTTCTGCATACCCACTGCTAAAACAGAATTTATTGCAGGCTGGACGAGTCGTTCGTCTGCATTTCGGTGGCCATGATCCCAATTTTCGAGTCATCACCTTACAGGAGCCCCCCAAAAAACTTATGATACAGTATCTCGAGAAAGAGCATCGCAAACAGCCTTCAGAAGATATTCCCACGCGCTCTGCGCGTGCTGAAGTTGTGCTGAAAGGCCACAATGATGCTAACGAGCTATTTGAACTCTTTGTCGATCTGGACAATGACAAAGTCACCCACAAGCAGCATCTCAAGGGAAAACATTCCTACATTGATGCGGACTACATGAAAGCAGCTGAGGCTTCTTGCCTAGCCAATGACGAAGTGCAGGCCGCAATACGCTCCCTTGACCTCCCTGCAGGATCAACTGTTGTGGTGGAGCCTTGGGCTTATGCCACAGACGGAATGAATGACATGGCCCAACGAGTCACAATGGTTTGTTGCTCATTACCTCCTACAAGTTACCTTGCTTTTCTTTTCAAGCTTACCGCTCGTTCAGTGTTGGTTCTACCTTCGCATTGAAGAGAATCCAAATGCCAATTACTACGCATACCCTCTCGACGTATGTGCAGAGGTTTCAGAGACTCTAGAGGTCACCAAGGTCTATCGTTTGCCGACGAAACCACACGAAATAGTCAATAATGAACAAAAACCTTTCGATTGTCGGAAAATCCGCCCGAAAGCAGTTACAGAATACCACCCAGACTTGAGACCAAGCCCAAGAACGACTACTAAACCTTATCAAGTTGTTCAGCCGGATGGACCATCTTTCTATATTAGTGGAAATCACGTAGAGTGGGAGAAATGGAGTTTCAGAGTAGGTTTCAATTACCGCGAAGGATTGACGCTCCACGACATTCGTTACGATGGCCGGAGCTTGTTTTACCGACTGTCTCTCGCGGAGATGTTCGTACCTTATGCTGACCCACGAGCTCCTTATCCCCGCAAGGCGGCATTTGACCTCGGAAATGACGGTGCAGGAATCAACGCCAATAATCTAGAGCTTGGCTGTGATTGTATAGGTATGCACAAGCAGAATTGGTCCGACAACTGTTATTAAGTTGGACTCTCTGCTAACTCATCACCTTTAAAGGTACCATCAAGTATTTCGACGGTTACCATAACACGCCCTCTGGGCAGCCTTTGAAATTGCGAAACGTGGTGTGTTGCCATGAACAGGATGATGGTATTCTATGGAAACATACCAATTTCCGCACTCAAACACCTGTAGTAGTTCGCTCTCGTATTCTCGTTTTACAGACTATCATTACAGTGAGCAACTACGAGTACATTCTTGCGTTCCATTTCTATCAAGATGCTTCAATTTTTTATGAAGTTCGTGCTACTGGTATCCTGTCCACTGTTCCCGCCAACATAGACACAAAAGCCAAGTTTCCTTATGGCACTACTGTAGCTCCAGGCGTTCTAGCACCATATCACCAGCATCTCTTCAGCCTGCGCATCGACCCAGCAATCGACGGCTATTCTAATTCTGTTGTCGTTGAAGAATCAAAACCCCTTCCTTTGGGCAATCGCTCTGTCCACAACCCATTTGGTGTAGGCTATTGCACTGACAGTCAAATTGTCGAGGAAGAGGGGGGATTTGACCTCGATTTCACCAAAAACCGTACCTTCAAGTTTCTCAACGAGAGCAAGATAAACCCCATAACGGGCACACCGGTTGGATTCAAACTTCTCCCTGCTTACAGTCAAATGCTCCTCTCCCATCCTGAATCGTACCATGCGAAGCGCTCAGAGTTCGCTAAGCATGCTGTTTGGGTTACTCGCTATGAAGATGGTGATCACTTCCCTGCCGGCCGATATACAATGCAATCTACCGGCGGTGATGGTATTGCTTCTGCCATTGCTAAGCGAAAAGAATCGAACGCGTCTGGGTCAGTCAGAAACGAGGATGTTGTCATCTGGCACACATTCGGATCCACCCACAACCCTCGAATCGAGGATTGGCCGGTTATGCCAAGTGAGAAACTCATTGTTGGACTTAAACCCGTCAACTTCTTCTCTGGCAATCCAGGCTTGGATGTGGCTCCCTCGGCTCAAGAGAAGAACAAGAGTGTTTTGTATACTCGAGATGATTCCAAGGCAACAGCATCGTGTCATAACTCTAACCTCTAGTTATTTTCTTAAAATCATTTCCCAGCTCGAAGATAAACGAAACACACAAAACACAAAAGCTAATACAGAGATAGACTAAAAATCACTGTCATCGTTAGAGTGTATTAAACAGGAATAAATGGTTTTAATGTATTCTATATTCCATTGAAGAGCAACAACCTATGTAGGAAACAATACTGCCAAAGGTTTAAAACATTACGCCAACACGTGCTCTGGTGGCAGGGAAAATCTTCCACCAACAAACAACAGCTAGATGTAGGCACGCAACGCACCACGGGCGCGACACCGAATTGGCTTTGTGAGGGAGTTGCTCTCAATTTAGCTTTACATTAGCGATAAGCAAGTTGTCACCAATTCCTGGTTAAATATCTAAATAGGCAGATATGATTCTACTTTCGCCCGCAATGCCCGACGGACATGGCGGCATCAGCTAACAAGGAAAACATAGATTTGCCCCCCCACATATCACTACCGACAGTGATCCTTAAGAATCCCGCATCGAGGTCGTTGACCAAAGCGGTTCCCAAGAAAGCCATCCCCGCAACTTTTTGAATTCCCCGCACTTGTTGAAGGTATGTTTTGATAGATAGCTAGGCATGGAAGTCTTGCCCGCTTCCATACAACTCCTGATTCCAGCCGTATTTCACATAACCTCTACCGTTAGCTAACGCTTTACCATCGACGTTGTATACAGGAACCCGAGCATGTCCATATTCTGAAATACTCTCCAAGCTCTGTCCTCGACGTCACCTTTATCACCATGGCAGAAATACTTTCGCGTTTGCTCTCCTTCCCACCCGCGACGCCAACACTGTCCAAAACATCCGACGTAGAGTACGATAAACAGATATGCGTTTTATATTCGGATCTGAAGCGTATACCTGCGCTTAAATTAGTTGCAGACATTCCTGGGAGAGGCAGTTTGTTGGAGGTTCGATCTCTCCTTCCCATCGCAACAGGTGAAATAACAGCAGAATGAAATAAATCCGAATATCCGGCTGATAAAATTGCTGGTGACAGCTGCTGGACCCGAGCACCCAAACACTGGCCTACCTTTTTGTCCTACTATCCCATTACCAAGTTTCGCAGGAAAAGACCAAAGAATCATTACCAGCCAAATGGCTGCCAGGGGGTGAAATCTGGCGGAAATCAGTAGCATTATTAGATGTCTTCGACCCTATTCAAGTCAGATATGCGGGCCAGGAATGGAGGAGTCTTGTTGATATGGTAGCAAAATCGGCCGAAGTCGCATCACGAGTGAGATCCCCAAATCTTGCATTATTGTACAGTTCAAACTTGTTAATATCTTTGAAGCCTTTACTAGCTCTACGTCCTTTAAAACAAGCTATACTTCGCCTAGATCCATCATCTTCTACCTTCACATCTCTCCATACAACTTTCGTACGGCTGTGCCTTCAATCAAGGTCTTATCTAAATGCTTTGGATATTCTCGACAAGCCTATTTACCATTTCCCAACAGCCTCTGATAAACAATTTATTAAAAGGTCACAACTTCTTCCGTGTCAGCAGCACGAATCGAGCATGTCCTTTATCACCACCGCATCCGGGTTACCAGGGAAAATAAACCACAGATCTTATTTAGAGTACTTTCTCTATGGCGCCATGGTTTACATAGGGCTGAGGAAATGGGACGCCGCTACCCATTTTCTCGAGGTGGTGATTTCTGCGCCAACAACAAACTCAGTGAGCATTATCATGGTAGAAGCTTACAAAAAGTGGGTTTTACTGGGCCTTGTGGAAATGGGAAAGGTAAATAATTGAGCGAGAGCCAATTTTTTATTCGAACTGCTAACCTTTCGTCCCATAGCCTTTGTCTATGCCAAAAACAGTGACACCCTTCACAGCGAAAGCATATAGATCACTAGCGAAACCTTACGACGCCCTCGCTGATATCTTTAAATCGGGAAATTTGTCAAGGTTGCAAGCAGAAATCACGGCTGGTGAGCGCATTTGGCTCAATGTAAGTGACACTACACATACCGTTTACGGGGACATATGACGCGAAAGGATGGCTAACTCTTGCCATGTCACTTGTTTTTTCCACTTCCTAGGATAATAACATGGGTTTGGTTTCACAAGTATTAGCTGCATATCAGCGATTTTCTATCGTGAAACTCGAAAAGACTTTCGCCGCATTGTCAATACCCGATATAACTTCATACCTGAGGCCCGGCGTCCCAATGACTGACACCTTCGTAGCAGGCTTGATTACTGCAGGACAGTTACGGGCGTGTTTGATGCACACTTCCGAGTCTTCGACCCCCGCGGTGCTTCGTTTTACATCTTCGACATCGGTATTGGGTCATCAATCAGAAGTCGAATTCAGTGCTGATATAATAACACAAAAGAACCGGCTGGAAACGCTTCTGAGGAACGTACATGGAACTGATGTCAAATTGGAGTTAGGCCGTGAGTATATAGAAAGCTTGCGGAAAGCACCGAGAGGTTCTGATATCGACAGTAAAGATAAAGCAATGGCATGGATCTCCAACGGCGCAATCGATGAAGATTTGATGGGGGATTTCGAATAGAAATAATTTACATTCACAATGCTTCGATAGTGGAAGATTTTGTGCCTACTTGTATGGACGAATGATCGAATTACGGTAGTGTGCTGCTCCAGCTGAGAGTTTAGATGCATAAGCAAGATCAGTACCGATCTTCGTTATGCTTCCCATAGGCAACAAATTTTCGCTTTCACATCTTCGGGGGTTCCTTGGCGATAACTCATCACTCTCCTATGATGAATGTGGCATGCTCTCGCATGGCTTTAGGGTGGTCGAATAATCTAAACCCTAAGAAGAGTAGGAAAAAAGATATTCGGGGACGTCGAGTAGAGAGAATAATCTGTCCATAGTGGCTTTCTAACACAATCGGATATTACCTTAAATCACAGTTTATGTTAATACAACAATGGAGAAGCCGTAGCTTTCAAAAGGTACAATTTGTCACCAATTTCGAAGGATAACGGAACATCGTCATGCGACAAGAATATCAATCAGGAAACATAGAAAATGAGAAAAGGAAAAGACGCCAGCCTAATGAAAATTCAAAACGCAAGCTGAGTGATTCCGCCATGGATCCAGCCTTGGATTTTAACAAACAAGGACAAAATGTGTCATTGTTCATCCTCAGGTTATTTAGACGGCTGTATTTTGCGTAGTTGCCGGTTCAGCCGACTCAGTTTGAGCGTCAACGTTAGGGATAGACGAGGCGGTTCCGGATAAGTCGGTGGAGCGCGCTTTCGGATTCTTAGTATAATAGTTTGAAATAGCGGATTTAATTGCATCTTCAGCAAGCATGGAACAATGGACTGCATTGACAACCGGCGATTAATTAACCATACCCAGGTTCAAATATGAAAAAAAAAAAAAAACACATCCGTCACTTACGTTTCACGGGCGGCAAACACAGCTCCTTTGCAATCTCAGTGTTTCGGATCTTTCCAGCTTCCTCCAATGTCATTCCTCTGACCAACTCTGTCAGGTAGCTGGAGCTGGCGATGGCACTGCCGCATCCAAAAGTCTTAAATTTAACATCACTGATGGTATTGCTATCCTTGTCGACACGAATCTGCAATTTCATGACATCTCCACAGGCTGGCGCACCAACAAGCCCCGTACCGACATCCAAATCTCCCTTTGACATCGAGCCTACATTCCGGGGATTGCTATAATGATCTAGCAGTGCAGAGAACGATCAGCTAACCATGGAATTGGACTTGAGATACACAAGTGCCAACTATACAATATCAGGAACGAAATAAGACCAAACTTATCTTTTTCATGATAGCTCCGAGCAGACGACACGACGATGGGGACCAAATGATAACTACTTAAGCTCGAGATCGAAGGCCGGACGGTTAGGGGCATGAATGACAAGGGCGACGCCCGCGGGGCAAGGGTGAGCAATCGTCTGAACATCGTTGTTGAAATGTGAGGATATAAATTTCGACGAATATGTGACCTCGATGTAGGAATGTGAAGGTAACGATCGAGGATTGAATCCAGTACACTAACTAATAGGTGAGTCCGGACTGGGGCGGGATGATGAAGATGGCTGATTGATAAGACAAGTGGAAGCGGAAGCGGATATGAGAGAATTTTAGCCACATATCACGTGGTTTAATGGGATGTTTCTTGGCGCCTTGCCTTCCTATTGAGGACTAGCGTTCCGCATATGCATATGTGAGTTATGCTAAAAGGTCACAGAGATAACCTGGATAATTACCAAAGGCTTCGCGTTGCAGCGTCATCAATCAGATTTATATTTCTAATACGGACTAGCGCACTGTGCACACAGTTCATAACCCCGATTAGCTAGCAACCAATACAACCACTCAGACGTCCAACACAAAATATTAATTCTATATCATCTACAAGTTAGTTGAATTAAATTGAAGCTGTAATTGTTGAGATATTCAACTTTTTATAAGGGTAGATTTTGATGGTTTTAAGAGATGTCATAATATATAAAATGTCAAGATAGGTCTCAGACGCAATCTAATTCTAAACCCCAGTGGGCAAGCTACAAACACACAACGAATGGGCACTTCTACGTGTTCAAGAGGATTCCAATGTCAACCAGCTGGATAATCTCCTCGCGCGAGACAAGGGCCAAAATAAAAAATAAAAAATAAAAAATAAAAATAAAGACCGGCTAGCAGCAGTGGAGAACATGAGTAGCAAGAATATGGAAGCATCTAAATTTAAACTTCTATAATATAATACCCAACATATAATTACACCATAACCCATTCACTCCCTCGTTTGACAAACTTATCAATCATCAAGCCTATGTCATTGAGCACGAATCGACAAACATAAAAGCCGAAAAACTCAGACGCATGCCGAGCGCTAAGCTCAAGCCCAACAAGCGTCTCAGATGAATGCTTTAAACCAGGGTCTTCGACTTGTCGAGCAATTTGATCTACATTTACAGGTTAACTTTCATGGGCCACACTGAGACGGCAGAAGAGGAGGTAAGGTGATTCCGTGAAGGTTATCAGACGAGAAGATTGCTTACCAAGGATCTGAGCCGCGTCGAATAGCCTCGCCAGAGCACTCATGTAGCTCGCATTGGGACCAGTACACTGCAACTGAGTTACATTTCTCTTCGGCGTACGAAAATCAAGGCTGTCTGTCATCGGCAACGACTTCATCGTAAGTGCATCCCTGCCTCCATCCTTCGGTGCAGAGGTTGACTGGGCAGGGCTACCCGTTCCAGAGTTTTTCGATCTTAACTTTCGCCAGGACGTTAAATATGATTTGCTTGAGCCACCGGCATGCCTTCCTGCGGCATTTTCATGGATTGTAGAAGTATCTTCTACCGATGACTTAAAAAGGGGCATGGATCCTTGGACGCCAACCTCATTGCCCAGCTTTTTTGACCATATATTCTGGACTTGATCAAGGACATTTTCTAACGACTGCATCTCCTCGAGAACGGCTTCAGCATCGTAATTGTCAGCCTGGGCGAGCTTCAGCAGGGCGGCCGTTAAAAGATCGCAACTTGATATTTTCTCTTCCACGGCCTTTAATTTAACATTCTGGACTCGCCACACATCCCGTGGCACAAAGAGCTTCGCTGTAATATACCCACCTCGAGGATGGGCAATGGTCTGATACAAACACCTCATTAACCAAAATGGTCGAAGAAGAAAAGATTGCGGGCAAGGTTCCAAGGGCAGAGGAGAATTCGAAACAGATGGGTTGGAGGAACCCGGGTTTGTAAATGAGTGGATATGGTTATCGAAAATGTAGGGGCCCCCGGCTTGAAGACTGTTGGCAGCAAAAGCACCGGTGGTAGGAGTGAATGAAGAAGGGAGTGAAGGACTGCTCACTTTCCTCGGCTCTATATTCGCAAAAGAGGCGCTAGCCGGCGTACCTGGTGTCTGTGAGACGATATCTGGAGTTGAAACAGACATACCTCTAGCTTTCATGGCCCTGAGACTCGAGGAAGATATGTTCTTTCTAAGATTTTCTGGGGCTGACGGAACTTTTGCTACTATATGTGATTGCGATGGTAAAGAACCAGAGTCATCTACCTCTTGGATCTGGGTCCTATTGGTGATTGAGTCGGTATGACCAGATTCCAGAGGTTTTGAAGCCGACGGAGTGGCTTGTATAGGGTTATTTGTTGCAATCGTTTTGACCTCACAAGTCGCATCTTGAGCAAGTGGTACTTGTACACTAACTTTACCCTCAGTTTTAGGGCCCGATGAAGACATGTGGGTAACTGCTGTAGAAAGAGGGGCAGCCTGTCGCCTATTCGTTTCGATGGATAGTTCTTTCGGACTCAAGCCATTGTTCGCTCGTCTACCTCTCACACTTGTTGATTTAGTTGATGTCGCCAGGATCGTATTGGAAACCGAAGGTAAAGGCGATGGCAAACATGGCGGCAAGGGAGGCAACGATTGCAAGGAAGATGATACTGGTGGCGGTGGTAATGCAGAAATTGGGGGCGGGTGAGGAGGGGATGAAGTCGGTTTCACCCTCGCACCCAAGGATTGAAATTCAACACCTTCAGCAAGGGTTGAAAGTGAACCGCCCGCAGTCGTTAGGCTTGATCCAATGGAACTCCCCCAAGTCCTACCAGAAAATCCACTGGAGTCTGACTGGCGCGGAAGGGCAGATTTTGATTGCAGGTCAAATTCGAAGTCGGCCATCATCTCCTCCAAAATGCGCTCCTCCTCCTCATTCTCTACGTCCTCATCATATCCTCCAGCAACTGCCCCAAAATTTAACAGAACATCGTCGTCATTCAATATGCGTCTCTCGTTGTTTCTAGCTAACGCAGCTTCGGATTCTATCTGAGCCTCCCTGACCTTTTGCTTTGCTAATTCAACATTCCTCCTGGCATTAGATATAATATCACCAGGTACGATACTATCTGCCTCGCGTACTGGCTCAAATCCTTGATCATAGGCTGCTTCAACAGCGGCATCCAGAGCAGCATCAAATTCCGCTTCAGTACCATCGCTGGCATTGCGGCCGTGTTTCGGTCGGATATAGAATAACGATGACCGCGATCGAATTGAGGAACTTGATGAAGCGCCAGACTCATCAATAGTGTCGAGCCAGGATATTGATTCGGTGCTTGCATCACGGGAATGCTGTTTCGGCAAAGGCGGAAGAGGGTTTGATGATTTTAATTGAATAGATGCTTGCTTCGTGAATTCCGTTGGTGGGGAATACGTGTTTGGCGACGAAGGCGTCTTACCTGTCGTTGCGGAATCTAAACGTGCATGTTTTAATGTCTCCTTAGAAACTTTCGCTTTTATACGAGCGGCGTTTTTAAACGACTTGGACTGTGAACGTTCGTGCAACAGTCGTGAATTTGAGACTGAATTTGAGACTGAATTTGAGAGTCTAACATCCTCATCAAATACAGATGGTAGTAGAGACTGGCGTCTTGGAGGGATTTGTGAGGGAGCTAAGCTGCGTTGCCCTCGAGAGCCACCAGAATAGGCGCCGTCATTGGTGACTAGGTTCGCTACTACAGGTGTGGGTGTATCCTGATACTCTGTCTCATTCATCGGATACGACGGGAAAACAACATCAGAAGGAGATTCCGCCCCTTGAGGTGGCTCAGGTAAAGCCTTCCCATCGGCACGCTGGGATGGTAGACCGAGCCTTCGAAGCTCAGTTACCCGACTCGTATAAGTATTTCGCTGGATGCCTCATATGTTAGAATTGGACCTGTATATGGACAATATGACAAATAACGATAATAACAGTAACGATTAATATGATGGGCATTGAGGGAAAACGGACAATCTCCTCTAGCTTCTGTTTCTCATCATGACCACCACTATGATGCATCACATGTTGTAGGAGCTGACACGCATCGTTGTAAGCATCGATGGCGCCCTCGTAGTTCATAGCATTATCGAGGAGGACAGCAGCGTTGGCCTTCTGTAGCGCCTTAGAAAGCATTGTTTTTTGGGACGGGGCTCGATTTTCCCGGTCCTGTTGTTTATCTCTATTCATTGAGACAAAAGCCCCGATCTAGGGCAGGGCTACTACGTGGGGTACAAGAAAAGGGGTGGAGTCAGAAGTTTGGAGTCTGAATGAGCCCGGCAGCATTAGCCCGCAAAAGAACTTTAACCTCGTCTGAAGGGGCATGAAGGTGGTCCACCTCTTGCAGAACTCCCATTTACTGTGTGTGGGCAGGACCGATCCTCCTCTTCAGCAACGAATGGGAACAAGTATTGTGATATAAATATCCAATCGCAGGTAATCGACGGGGGGGTAGTCGGGAATCATAGACCGAAGGAAATACTTTTACAGTTAGCTGGACGACTGGCCAGTGCTGAGAAGGGTTTTTGCGAAGGACACGACGGGTGACTAGATTTGAGAGAAGTGCTGTTCGGCGACAGCTGAAAAGTCTCATGGGAACAATCGCTCGAAGGCTCATTTGGCAGGATGGGAACTCATCATTGAGTGGGGGAATCCGAGGTCAAAGCCAGGCCTTTTAGACGGTCTGGTTAATGACGGGCGACGCTGGGAGGTTGCGGGCTGACAGGAGTTCTTTGATAGGCGATTAATATTAGGATCAATGCCGGTGGCAGTCTGGTGGTAAATGGAACAGGAGGAGCCAATCGACCGAGCTAGCACTCATTTGGCCGCTTGCTGGGGTTCCGCTGATTTAGACTTGATGTTTGAAATTGGCACGCGGCCACCTTGGAGCCTTTCAGATGAGAGTCTACGATGCATTGAGCCAAACATGGGAGGGATATTTCCGGTTGAAGGCAGTTAGACAAATGGAATGAGAAGCCGCTTGGAATTCCAAATATGACGAGAACGATAACGTACACCTGATCTCGGGCGGAAAACAGCCATCATCATCTCATATTTTCTTCAAAAAAAGAAAAGAAAAGAAAGAGAGTGAGAGAGAGAAGAGAGAGAGACAGGCATAATCTAATCCTCCATTAACTGTTCTAATTACAAGAATAAGAGAGAGGGGAGGAAAATGAGAAGAGAAGAACTACTCTGTATATCCTTGTCTGAGATCCGGCCACGATAAGGGTCTTCCAAGTCATTCCCTCGATTGTATTAAATAACCTAAAATGGCAATAACATACTAAGAAGTCAGAAAATCGCCGGTAGTAATATGCAGTACGCCATTGCACAGGGATCCCAGAAATTGGAGATAGATTCTATTCATGTCTTGTATTATGGTTGGAAATGCTCCCTGATCTTGGTCATTGTCACTACTCACCATGCTCAGCTATATATAAGCTGGTAAGGTATATCCACATAATAACGCTCAGAGGACAATTCGGCTACCTATATTGGGCTTGTTCGCAGTTACTACACTTTGAAAGGCATTATTATTTTACAAAATAAAATATACCGTCATACAGCTGTATTTATATACAATACCATTTTGAACTTCAGGTTTCCGATTTTAAAAACAACCCGATATAAAGAGGCCCTGGTTCCTTTTTGTATTATTTGGATATGAATGAAGCTATTTTACTTGCGGTACCACATTCGAGTGATCCTGGTGTGTCGCATCTTCTTCTGCAGTTGGAAGATTCCATACATAAGAGCTTCTGAGGTTGGAGGGCCTAGCAGAAAACGGGTTAACAAAGCACCATTACCAGCTGGAACCATAAGATATAAGATATATCACTCACATCCGGGAACATAGATGTCTACTGGTACTATCCTATCACAGCCCCTTGTAACCGAGTAGCTATAGTGATAGTAGCCGCCGCCGTTTGCACAACTTCCCATGCTGATAACCCAGCGAGGATCGGGCATCTGATCATAAACCTGTCTTAGTGCTGGTGCCATCTTGTTCGTCAAAGTCCCCGCAACGATCATCACGTCCGATTGTCGCGGAGAGGCCCGAAAAATAATACCCAGGCGATCCTGGTCGTAACGGGGAGTCGACAAATGCATCATCTCCACTGCACAACAAGCTAACCCGAATGTCATGGGCCATAAAGAGCCCTGTCTTGCCCAATTTGTAACTTGGTCAAGCGTCGTCCTGTTAGGGTGGTGATTAGCCCTTCTCCTGAGCAAAGAGTGATGTCCGGGTATTCTAGCACCCATACAGTGCATATTGCATCGCCCCACCCTCCTTTTCCTGGCTAGGCAAAGGAAATTCTCTTCGCAGTTTGTCCGTTGCCGTAAGAGGAGCGCTTCCATACTCGTGTTTCTCGACTTCGGTGGAGGCGTTGCGGATTGGAAGAAGGGTACTGGAAGCTATTGACCGCTGCAAACCAGGCGGCGGGATCAGAGAGGCAACTTCCCGCAGTTGAAAATTAGCATTATAACGGGGCCAGCGCAGAGTTGGAGCTCTTACGGTAAGGTGCCACCCGCGGTGATGCCTGCCTTAGAGAGAGCATTGGGAAATTATTAGCCCAACGAACCGCAGATCAGGGATGTGGTGGACTCTCGGAGGTGGGAGATGAAAAACAGTTCAAAGCTGCCATCCAGTCGTGGAAATGAATACAGCGAGTTTCAGAGCGTACAGTCTTTCTGTACTGTAAGGCAGTATATTATACGTGTACAGAAACGTATTGTATCCGGTCACATGATGATATTATTGTAACCTTGGAACTCCTCAAAAGGTCTCAGAGCATATTCACCCGGTGTCAATGATGAAATTATCACTCTACAGCCTTTGCATTCGAGAGTAGTATGGGAAACCCTTCAATCGCTTGTATCGGCATAATTGGAAAGCTCGTAAGATAAACCCGGCCTGCGCTTCCTTTGCACCTAATAAACCTTCGAGGCTGACAAAATACATTGAATGTAGGACAATCCTCTCCATATCTCGATATTCCCCCCTCATGAGGAATCCAGACTCGAGCTTTCACTTCTCCTTAACTCATGTCTTGACCTTTTCGAAATACGCCGAAAACACACGGCAGTGGATCAAGGCCTAGGCCTATTACATGCTTTTGACGAGAGGTTTGCTGCCTATGGTTGGCTAACGAATACTGACGTGAAACTTTTGATAATCGTTGACATGGATGGAAGAGTCACATCCGATATCGACAAGAAAAGGGTGCAGCCACTTGCGGGTCTCCGTGATGCTGACTTGAAACCGGCAAGTCGAGATATCCATACCTTCAGATATCATGCTGACATTGCTTGAACAGGCCTTCCGGACAATACAAACAACGTACATTAAGCTCTTGCAAAACCCCTTCTATAAGGCCCATGATGCAACACCAGTAGGAAGAGCTCCTATGTGTGTGCCAGAGTCTTTTAAAACGGCCAATAGTCGGTTCATTCAAGAAATTGAGGAGATTGGTAAATGCTGGAATGTTGGGATGACAGGGGTGTGAGATGTGGTGTAAATGAGAGGGGAAAAATATGTAATAAGAAATCCATAGTTATTCTCTAAAGTCATATACAGACAGAGACTATAATAGTCTTCATAACACTATCATTTTTATTAACAGAATTTCACTCTATCTGTGACAGATTAGCATCTGTTAGTAGTTAACTTATACAACTAACCCTCTATCACCTAGACTGGTCAGTGGGACCATGAATTTCACATTTGATTTGATTTGATTTGATTCCAGTTCATTTCTTGGTATGATTTTCAGTGGGATCAGAATTAAAATGAAAGTATAAAGAGATCAAAATTTTCAGAAATGAAGTGTAAAAGAATCAGATTTGAGACTAATATAATCAGAATATATAATAGATTAGCATCTACTAGTAGTTAATCTATACAATCAAATCTTTATCACTGTAATGAATTAGTATCTACTAGTAGTTAATTTACACAATCAATCTTTTACTGTATATACTTATATATACTTATAAAGTTCTCTCATATTCTCTTATAATTTCATTTTATAATTATATATATTTTAGTATTTTAATAATTCTTTTATTCTATACTCTCTCAGAATATAATCTTTAATATTTTTTCTATTTCAATTTCTCTATTTATAAAAACTCTTTTATATAATTTCTTTTTCTAATTTTTTTTCTTTTTTTTTAATTAATTTATAAATTATTATCATGATAATATTAAGTTTATTAATAGTATTATTAAAATAGATTATATAAATTATATAGATAGTATAAATAATTTAATTTATAATAATAATAATATCTATTTAATTAATAATATATCTATTATATTATAAATAGACTAACTGATAAAATTATATATTTTATATTTAATTTAATTTAATTTTAACTTAAATTTAATTTCATTCTAATGATTATATAATACATCAATCTGATAATATAATTAATAAAGATATTATTTCTATTTTATTTAATACTCAATATTTTAATAATTTATTATTAGATTTTCTATTTATTACTGTTAATTTATTTATTATTATTAATCTATTTATTACTATTAATTTATCTATTACTGTTAATCTATAATATATTTATTTATTATTTTCTTATATATTATCTTTGTTTATTACTATCTTTTATTGCTATATTCTTGCTATCACTATTTCTATATGTATATATATACATTCATATGTATTTTATATATTTTTCTTTCTCTTTCTTTTCTTTCTTAGTAATTAGCTATTAATTACTTATTACTATCTGTAAATCACTTACTACTATTAATATTATTACTATTCTTATACTATATTCTATCTTCTGCTATTCACTCTTTATACTGTTATTATCTTTTATAATTTTTAATTACTTATTCTATAAGAGACAGTTTATTGAGTAATAGTTATAATTTTTATATACAGTATGTAAAGCAGCAGTGTGAGAACTAGCTGCTTTTATCACAAAAAATTCTTAAGACTTTATAAAAATTAAACTGTAGAAGATAATACAGTGATATATCAGAGAGAATTTGAATCAAGTAATTAAATATTGAAGTTATAGAATATAAGAATCAGATTATAATAGAATAATTCACTGATCTCTAGAAGATTAAATCAGCTGCTATTTATATATACATAGTATTATAAACAGATCAAATTTAATACAATATTAATGATATTTATATAATGCAAGCAGTATAATAATGCCTTGATTTTCAACTCAATATGATGTTGATAATGCTATATTCAGTAATATTATATTTTTAGAGCAACTACTCTTTCTAATCTAATATAAACATTTTAATATAGATTTTTTATAATTGTTCTCTCTGAAAAAACTGCTGTCTCAGTAGATCAAAAAATTGTAGAGTAATTATAGATAATTTACAGTATCAACTGACAATGAATATTATTGTTTTATTTACAACACAAAACTTGTAGAAATAACTGAAATTATAGAATATATAATCTTACAAAGAATATAGAGAATCAGAATCTCTGAATAAATCTTAATATAACAGATTAGCATTTATTAGCAGTTAATTTATACAATCAATCCTCTACTGTGTGCTCATATACTTATGCATATTTATGAAGTTCTTTCACATCTTCTTATAATTCTGCTTCACAATTGTGTATATTTTAATACTCTAATAATTCTTTCACTCCACACTTCTTCAGAGTGTGATCTCTGATATTTCTTTCACTTCAATTCTCTTATTTATAAGAATTCTCTTGTACAATCTCTTTTTCTGATCTTCTTTCTCTTTCTTTTCTTAATTAATTTGTAAACTGTTATTAGAATAGTATCAAGTTTGTTGATAGTGCTGTTGAAATAGATTATACAAACTATACAGATGATATAAACAGTTTAATCTGTAATATTAATAATATCTACTTAATTGATAATATATCTGTTATATTATAAATTAATTCATCTGTATTTAAGATCTGAATGTCTAGTTATTAGTTTTTATATCTGAGTATATCAATTACATTTAAGATCTGAGTATCTTATTATCAATTTTTATATCTAAATATATTGATTATATTAAAAAAAAGATCTGAATATTTAATTGTTATATAAATTCCTTGTTGAGTCTGAGTGCTCTTATTATTAGATATATAGATTATCAAGTCTAAATATCTATAATATAATCAACTGTTTTATAAAGAGATCTGAGTGTCTATAAACTGTAATACTATAAATAGTATTTATGAAGAAGCTTGATAAGCTTAGTACTGCAATACTGTGAATAGTATTTATGAGAACTTAAATATTTATAAGTATTCTGTTCTCTAGAATTATATATCTTTAGATACTAAAATAAATTATCAACAAATCTATAAACACTTACTGTATTTGAATATAATGAATGATAATCTAAATCTATAAAGTATTCTTCAGCAGCAAGTGCTGCAGATAGCTGAGTTATAATAATAGTTTACTGAAATGAGTATATCTATATTCACTGTTTCCTCTATACCCACATCTTATAAGAAGTCTCTGAGAGAGAAGCTCTCAATTCTCAATAAGTACACAGAAAACTTAGTATTATATCTTATATAAAAGTTAAAAATAAATATTAAATTAAATATTGATAATTAAATAATAGACTTATTATTGAATCAAATATGATATATTCACAGCAGATTAGATGATGATATATTAGTAAAATTTTAACTCTGAATGAGTTACTACTCAGATAATCAGTATATATCAGAGCTAATTTTCTAACAGCTTAATACTTTTTTTTTTAATTCTATACTTTAAATTAAAATATTAAACTGACTAAATAAAATTCATCAGAAGAATACTGTGTTAGTAATCTATTTATCTAAATTTAATTATAAACTCTTAGAAATAGATAGACAGAACTGAAATGATATTATTAAAATTAATATACTATTCAAGAATTTGAACTTTCAGCTGTATAATCAAAGTATAGAGTGTCTGAAATTCTCAATATATAGTGAATACTACACAGATCTCTGTCTATTTGATAATAATTTATTTCAATTTTATATATTTCAGAACTGTAAAGAATTCTGCTGAATGAATATATATATTTCAAATTATCTTACAATAATTCTTATATCTGAATCAGAGTCAATGAACTGAATCTCTCATATAAATATCAGATATTCAAAAGTTTTCAATATTTCAGATAAAAATACTATTGACTGAATTGTCAGAAAAGTCTATATATATTGTGATAAATTAGAGTATTTTATAAATCAGTACTCAAATACAGTTCTTTCAAGTTGATTCTCTGTATATATAAACACTGTGTTATCTATAAATAGATAAGAACAGAGAAAAGAAAAGCTCTCACTCTAAAATATAAATAAAAGTTTAAGAAGTAATAAATCAGCTGAAGATTTGAGCAGAAGATACAAGCAGATATAATTATAATCTCTATTATTATAAATAGTCTAGTCAATATATATACAATGATAGATAGTGATTTTTTTTATTATACTTTTATAAACACTCAGCTGATAGAGAAGTATAAGCTTCAGTGTATTTCTTTCTCTAAATTATATAAACTGAATGAGTTTGATGATTCTAGAGAATTCATCTTCTATAATATAATAAAATTCAATATCAATATAGAAGAATATAAGAAGAAGAGTATTTTTATATATAAAATACAGAATCTTAAATATAATTTAATACTTAATCTGTTATAGCTTATAGAATTTGAAATCTTATTAGATATATATAACTATTGTTTTATTTTCTCAGAAGACAACTATATCTATAAAAAGAATATTGATAGAACTGCTGATCTTACTCAGATATTGACAGAAGTATTTAAATTATTAACTTATTAAATATATAAAAAGAAGAACATTCAGATATTTACTGCTAGTATAATAAATATCAAGAAAGTATTAGAAAAATTAGAGCTCAAAAATCTCAAAAAACTTCACAAAGAACTCTCTGAAATATATAAGAATTTCACAGATGTATTTAATGAAAAAATAGCTGAGATACTTCTCTTTTACTGAGAGTATAGTATAAATTATATAATTGAGCTTATTAAAAAAAATGATAAAAATCTGCAATTATCTTGAGATTCTCTCTACAGTATATTGTATGATAAGCTTCTTATTCTATAAAAAATATTTAATGAATTACTGAATAAGAATTTCATCTGTATTAGCAATTCATCTACTGCAGTATTCATACTATTTATAAAAAAATCAGATAAAAATCTACAATTCTGTATTGACTATTAAAAGCTTAATAAAATTATACAAAAAGATTGATATTCTCTTCTGCTTATCAATGAAATACTTGAATGAATAGAAAAAATGAAATAATTTACAAAGTTTAACATCTCTGCAGTCTTCTATAAAATAAAAATCAATAAAGATAATGAATAGCTAACTGTCTTTTATATATATTATAGACTATATAAATGAATAGTGGCTTTTTTTGAGTTAGTAAATATCTCTAGTATATTTCAGAAATATATTAACTGAACTCTATAAAATCTGCTTAATAAGATTATATCAGTATATATAAATAATATTCTGATCTTCACTGATGAATTGCTCACTGAATACTGTAAGTATATATAATAAATACTTAATCATTTATAAAAAACAGAATTATAGATAAACATCAATAAATATAACTTTGAAATCAAGTCTATAATCTATTTAGAATTTATTATTGAAGCTGAAAGAGATATATAAATAAATTCTAAAAAGATGAAAGTAATTCTCAACTGAAAAATATCT